CCGCACGTAAAATTCATTAAAAAACAACAGCTGGACTTAATTAAGCGCTTTGTGTACCCAAAAGCCAGAGTTTTCCAAGAATTAAGAGTATGCGAAATCAGGTACGAAGGTAGTGCTCTACTAGAATCTGCCAAACAACCTGATTTAGCAAATCTGCGTTTGGTTTAAAGTATAAATATTATGCACCCTAACTCGATAAATGTGGTTCCAACCCTGGAAATCAGCTATCATCACTTCACACCACGTGCTAGTCGGTCGGACGTGGACACGCAGCGGATATTGGCACACTCAATGACGCGGGTAATTTGAAAAAAAGAAGCGCAGAAAAAGTTACCCCATGAATGTATGCTGTTTTGACTGTACGAAGATCATTTCACTTTCGACTTCACCGACGAAATTCATTTTAAACAGGAAATATCATTTGTACATTGAAAATTACTGTAATTTAGACACTTTACAAGTAAAAAATGCATCGGAAAAGGGGCTTTTTTAGTCGTCAAGGGAGATTGGTGAACTGCTCTAATAAAAGAATGTAACTAAGTATTAAAATGCATGCAATCAATTTTTTCCAACGAATTGTAATTTTAAAGTGGAAAGTTCGATGGAAATTTTTTTCTCGGTGTTTGTGTATTTTTAATTCTCTTGTCGTTATAGTCCTTAATATAGTTAATTTTAGCCATACCAAGGGTCGTGGAGACATTCAAATTGATAATGCAGGTGAGCATATTAAAATTTGAATAATTTGGTTCAAATTCGGCTTCTGTTTGAATTACAATCCGATTTCTAGCACTTATAATCAGTTGGCTAGAAAAATGCACACTGAATTTGTCCACTGGGTTGCAAGCGCTCGTACAAGCTGCAGTGAAGGCAATCGAAATGTCAGCGGTTCGCTAAAAACCGAAACACTACCTGTTGAAGAATCTGTGATGGTTGATTCGAATGGCCTTGATTAAGTCTTGTGCGAGGTTCTGAAAAAAAGCAGAAAAAGTAACCCAGTATTTGGACAACACTCAAGAATACACTAAATCACCTAATTACCAATCCTTATAAATGTTTCAAAAGCCGTATCTTGATTTGGATCAATTAACTCAAGTGGTTACTGCGTTTTTTGGAACATTTTTCTAGTTGCAAAGCAGCTCGTTCAACAATTACTAAACTTGGTAATTCGAAAAACTCAAAGAAGCGTCGTTTATGTGTTTGTGCCTATGACAATTTTGCTTGTTATAGCACGGTTTTAAATCCTGAAATATCCATTCACAAATGAAAATACTTTCACTGCCCCCACTACTACCTTCTCCATTGCATAGCTGCGGCATCAGACGTCTAAGGTTGATAAAATTAGTAGTGTCTTGGTGGTTCGTTACACTTAAAATAACGAACTTAAATGGCGTTCGTATGCCGTGCAATTAAGTAACATGGTGTTGAGTGAATGGAAGACTAGACGACGCATATGAAGAATCGAATTTGGCTTCAGTGAATAGAGGAATATTTTGACAACTTCAAACAAGATGCGATAGCAGAGCAGAGCAGACATGCTTGCTGTAGTCGGTTGATCTTTTGACTTTTAAATCACTAACAGTCAAGTCTTCTGAACGATTTATATGTTTGGACTATGGCACTGTACTATCCATAAATTTTTTACCTAGTTTTACTGGTACTGACTCCGTGACTCAATTGAACTGTCTTCAAGTGAGGTCAAGAAGAGAACCATCGTCTGCCTCAGCACTAAATTGCTCTCCAAATGGTATCTTGGGGTTTGTGAAGCAGTGAGGGATAAATGTCCTGAGCAATTGTGAAGGGCTTTCACAGAATAGAAATGACGAAGATGGTTTGTGTTCTGAAACCACCTTTCGCCAGTTCAAACGTCAGTGTGTTTAATCTTACTGCAGGTAGGATTTGAACGAGATTGTGTGTCCTCCATGTGATATTAAAATCATCCGATTTCAGGTCTTGTAAAAGTTAACACATCGATTTCTCCGCAATGCGTATAATGTTTATACTTTGTATCAGTTCCCTAAACCTGAAATTTCTTGGAGTAGCTTCCAGGGCAGCTAGGGACTTCCCAGCTAGACTGTCTCTGAGTAATTCGCTTCAGGATGAATCGAGGCAACATGCGTCTACTTCGTCTCGTGTTACAAGCAAAAATGACGAAGACATAATATCCGGCTTAGAAAAGAAGGACTTATAAATACTGCATGGTGCGGAGATTGAGACATCTGGACTGAACGTTGAACGCATCCAATGTAGACGGATTTTAAGTGCTTCATGTTAAATCGGAATTTTGAGGCATTTTTGATGACAAAACAATGGAGTAGAAAAGGATTTCAATCTAGCATCCACGTCTTTGCTCTACTGGAACAAACACAGCACAAAGTCACGTCTTGCACCTCTAATCGGTGTCAGTCTGGATTAGCATTTGCTCGCCTTGACTTGATCTAGTTCTTGAAGTTGCGTGCCTAAAAATCATTCTTCATTCTTCATTCATTCTTCTTCATTCACTTCTATCCTTAGCCTAATGAGTAACGTAAACGTTTAGGAACAACGACAACGACATCTTGGACGACATAATTAACTCCCTCTTCTGCACACTATTGATCACACAAACTCCTGCTGAATACGTATAAGTCAGCGCCTCCTCACGCTAATGCAAGACATAGACAAGATCCCGTTGGCTGCCTCAGCCAAAGGCCAAGTGCGCGCTCACACGACCCCCTCATATACGCCGTGGGCGGCCGTGAATGCGGTAAGTAATTGGTCTACACAACTGTGCATGGACCAATGGGAAGGAAATGGGGAATATGAATATGAAATTTGGTGTGCATTAAATACGGATGATATAGAGAAAATAGGAAAATGTAGTCTTGGGGATGCTGAATTCCCAATACCTCTAAGCTTGAAGAAATTACAAGTGCTTCTTCCGATGGTCAGCTTGGAGTAGTGTTGGTTGTTGCCGTTTTCGACTACTCTGTCTCGGAGGTGATGGCAGTTTCACCGTTAGTTGGCCTCTGTCGTGTTGTTCTTGCGGAACTACCGTTGGGGATTCTAAAACCTCAACAAGAGCACATTTTGATCTTGGCGAAGTTCATCCGGATTCGATTAGGACAACAGAATGTCGTGCCCACAATATCAAATATTTTTTGCGTCAAATCTAATCTTGTAGTAACTAAAGTAATTTTATATATCGTGCTAGGTTAAAAGTGTATGAAGTTTCATTTCGATTAATATGCCTGTCAGTCACTTTAAACTATTGAAGTTTTGCGTTAATTTTTTTTTAAGAAGTGGCTTGAATACAGTCCTAAAGTTCCTAAGAGGACAAAAATACTTTACTCTGCCTAATGTAGTTAGATGGTGTCCTGATTAGTGGAAATTTTCACGAGGGTCATCCAAGATTGAATGGAATGGGTTGAATTTTGTGGCAGCTCGTTTTCGGGTGCTAAGGTGAAACCAAACTGTGTTAAGAAACAAGTCTCAAGAGTTGAATTTTGAAACAACAATAAATGTAATTAATCTTTGTAAAAATTTGATTGGTTCAACAAAATGACTATTTTGACATAATTAGAGGATTTCTGATAAAGTGAAAAGCCAAGAAAAATAGATCAAGAACGTTCATCAAATGCTACTCCACGAATATGACAGTAAACATTATAACATCAAATGAGTTATTAAAGGTTTGTTACACTAAGTCCAAAGTCACAAACTCCTGACACCAATATTTGTAGGAGGCTCTACCAATTTCAATCTCTCTTACTGATGAATCGAATAGACAGCTTTTGGTATATTTAAGTCTGTAAATTTATTTAAAAAATTTTTTTCATTGCGTTAACACTACCAAACAGCTATGGAGGAGGTCGAAAATGAAGCTTAGTCAAGTAATAGGCAGTATTTGGTTAGGTGACAAATGGACATAAATGCCTATTGAAAAGTACATATACGCTTAAACAATATGCTTTATTTATCACGTGAAAAACAATAACTAATTTGAACAAAACTTTATGGCCACCAAGCTCGAAGAAAAAACAATGTTGTATATGTCTGTCCAACTAGGCATGCACTAACTTTTCCGGACTAAAAGTAGCTGACTTAAAAGTAACTAGAGATTACAACCAACTTCAATAACAAATACATTGGAATTACACAAATTAAAATTGATTTCATTTATTCACGATAGACGTTGTCATGATTAAAACCACGTTTTTCAACGATGTAACAACGCTATGTTAAGTGTAAAATAGAATAACTGAAAACTTCAGACAGTGTTTAGAGTAATATTTACTAATGCTAAATAAGGCGAGTTTAAATCACTATTCGGCGACGAAATCCAAAGACTATCTTAGTTACGCAGCCACAATGTAAAGAAATTTTACGAAAAAGTTATATTGTTGGGAAGCATGATTCTAATTTGATTTGTGGTAAATTATCAGGCAAAAGTTTATAAAAATTTTACCTGTCGCAAGTCGGACAATAACTGTTCAAATATTCGCTGCAAATTATGTCAAAAATTCCTTGAATGGCCTTTTAAAAATAAGTTCAAAAAAAATGTTTTGCAGTATTAAATAAATGCATAGTTTCAAAATCCGAAGATTCGAATTGTGTCAAATTAATTTCAAATTGATTTTTAAGTTGATGTATTTGTTAAGTAGCATTTTAATTTGAAGTTTTTAAAAAAGGCTAAGGTTTACACATGCAAATTGCTGAAGATTCGGGTACGTTAATTTTATTCGAAGTATTGAACTTTAAGAGATCTTGTCATCATTTGAATGTCGTGAACCTAAGAGCCAGCTGTACCTACATATTTATTAAAAAATTTTTACTTCTGCAGTGGCAACTAGATCTAATTTTTTATAATAAAAATTACGATAAAATGAAGTTACCGAAGTGATAACCCAGTTTGATTTTACTGGCGCGAAAGCATAAGCCTTCTCCCATTGGCTTGGGTCTTGCCATGGGTGTGCAGTAGGGCATCTCTCGCACCTTTCTTCTAAATAATTTTTCCATGGGAAATGGACAGAATGCACACTGCGTTACAAGGCAAACTAGTCGAATCTAAGGAACTTGTTGGAGGCAAACGAAGGGAATTGGAGGTCAGCCGTCAACACGACAGCTTAAACCAGAATTTTGTACACAAATCAGCAAACAGTTTCCGTGAGGTTACTCCATCGACTCGAACTCAGATCCCAAACAAGCTTGCTAAGTACAACGAGGAGAATCGTCTCGATCCGCTTTATGTGTCCGTGAAGCAGGGCCATGGCGGTAACTCCCCTCTTCCCCCAGCACTTTCCCCTGCCAGTTTGTCTCCTTCTCATTCGTCCGTTTTCAACACGTCCTCCCGCCCCTCTCCTGCTCCTCCCGTCATAATAGAAGAAGATGCTTCATTGTCAAGTGCCCACTCCAACCCATCTTCTAACAATCAATCCGCGGTTCCATTTTCGGTCTATCCATGTGCTCCTGTTTTGCCGTCAAAGCCTTATGAACAGCGGAATTGTGCCCCTTGCGAATGCTCGTCAAGCACGTCAGCAACTTCATCCTCAACTACATCAAGTTCGGAATCTTCTGCTCTGGATGATCAGTCCCAGTCAAAGTTGCCTACACAGCCAAACGGACTTCCAATTTTAGAGAAGATGTCTGTTTCGTTAGTCTTACCTGGAGTAGGCTCGCCTTTGCTGCAGAACAAATCCCCTCCGTCACAGTCCTCCACACCAAGTATACAATCTCCCTCAAAGCAACCCGCTAGGGTAGAAGCTTCCGAACATGGCAAACTGCCATCTCCTGTAGCTGCCCCAAATGTGGCAGTGGAAGTAAACGCTCCGACAAAGAAGCCGCCCCGTCGGGCTCCTGCCAAAAGGAGACGAGTTCAAAAAAAAAGATGGTCACGAGGTGAGGAATCGGACTTTGAGATCGGTGGCGGAAGGAGATCTTCCATTTTAAAACGTGCCGAGGAGAGTGCCCACAGGTATGTAATCTTCCAGTTTGCCTTTTTTAATATTTTTAAGTCGGGCATGAAAGTGCTCAGTGTATACTAACTTACCTAAGACCCCCAAATTTGCTTTCCGCGTCAGTACTGCCGTGTGCACGACAAAAATTTTTTCACCTCCTAGACTTCCATTTCACTCCTGTTAACTTTGTGGCTTTCGCCTGGTAATTTTTGGGACTGTTCCGTAGCTATTTATTACATAATTCTCTTAGTTATTAAATGACCTTAACCTTATGCGCTGGCTATTTGTCATCTTTTTTTAATAGAACTTCAGCAGCTCGCAGGCGCTCTGGTCGAGGTAGCGCTGGCACTTCACGTAACAAAGCTGGTGCCAATGCCAGAATAGCTGCAGTCAACTCTCGTCGGCGCTACCTTGAGTCGCCGTTTTTCTGTCTCTGTCAGTCCTCCGTTCCAGCACCACCTCCGCCATCCTCCTCGGAACCTAATGCGCCGACCGACGAAGGACCGATCTTTCCAGCCCATGTAATTAACCCCGCAATCAAGGATTGTGCCATCTCCGCTGAAGATAATATCGACTGTCCGGTTCTCCAGGCCGCCGCAGGAAACCACCGGAAGCCATCGACGGAGATATCATCGGCTCCTACTTCCGAGTTACAGGCTTTTTTCACTTCTTCTCTTTACAAGCCCGCTCTGAGGCCGAGTGCCTCCCGCGACCCCCGGATCCCAGACTCCTACTCCGAAGCAGCGTGCCCATCGTGGCGATGCGTATTTTGTGGCGAGTCGCCGTCCTTCTTGCGTCTTGGTCCAATCTATGGGCCGTATTTCGTCACGCCTTCAACTCAAGCGCGTTTTCCACCTTCCCCGTCTCTTCGACTGGTCATTAAGGCTATATCACCCCCAGCCAATGGTACAATCTCAGTTAGAAGCGTGCAGCAGACACCACCGCCAAAGCAACAAAAACGGAGGCTCGGGAAATCGAGAAAGTCAACTGATATAGCCACTGCCGAAACAAAGGTCGAAACAATGCGAATCGGTCGGGACGGGGAGGTCTGGTTCCATCTGGAGTGCGTACTTTGGGCACCAGGGACGTACATCCAAGGTGACGGTAACATCGGAGGTTTGGACGAGGCTGTCTGCATGGCACTGGAGGCAGTACGTTCAGTTTCATGTGCCTTCAATGGGCTTGAAAATACTTTTCTTGTCTATCTGCTCACTCTTCGTTTCTACGGACTTCGGAGTAGGATTTAGTTAAGCTTCATCGTTCGATCTTAGCGCAACGTTAATATGCTTAGTAGCTGCCTAGAAAGCCGATTGAATTCTTTTCTGTCTCATTTAACTTTGAGATAATCTTTTAATTACGCTTAGTGTTCGGTCTCATGTTCGTGCTTTGACGTTTAACGCGGTCCGTTAATAGGGTGATCATAGTGATCATACTGATCGTGCTTTTGAAATGCTTATATTTTCACTTACCTGATGGCGATTGTGTCAACTTCTCCTTGGGTTACTTTGTGGCATTTTTCGCGGGCAGTCTCTTAAGTTCTGTCCCTTTTCCTCTTAAGTCTTGCTCTCACTGCAAGAAGCCCGGCGCTATCCTCAGTTGTCGTAGCAGGGGCTGCGGTCTTTGCTACCACTACCACTGTGCGCACCTAGCCGGTGAGTTCTTTTGTATCGACTTTGTTCCTTTTTTCCGCACCTTAATTTGGGCACTGCTGTTAATGGGGTCTTACGCACCTCGCCTCTCGGGAAACAACCTTATGAATCTGGCGTTGGGGGTTTTCCTGCGCATGTAAATTCCTGTTGCTTTTTCAACTCGGTGTTGCCTGAGTGTCCACTGCTTAATCTCCCTGAGTATTTCACCAAATGCATCCCTAGCTTCTAGACTATGCTATTTAGTTGAAGGGAGTGGTTAAGCTGTTTCTTTTGCAGTGCTGAGCCGCAGTCCTCAGATAGGCGGACGCGCCTTGTGCGGTTAGCACCAACTAAGTGTCGTCTGGCACATCATTATAGAATAGTAGCTGTTTTAGCACTTTTTCTTTGTTCGTTCCTGGTACACAAGGATTAGGGCGGCCTATAAAAATGCTGGCGGTGGGTAGTGGGAATGACACTAGATGTCTTAAATGAATTTCGTGGTAAAATTTAGTTTCCAAAATCACTTAAGAGCCCACTACGTTTGAGTGGATTGGAAATTTGGCATTTAACCAGCCCGTGATTGACCGTGCACTTAGACGTTTCTTTGTACTGTGTGATTTCTCGTCTTTTTTAGAATGCCATTTCAATCAGGAGCAGTTCACAGTCCTCTGCAAGCAACACTTTGTCTATTCTTAAGTCGCTCAAACCTTCGAGCCGGCCATTCGTACCGCCGGATTGTCCTTTACTTCGTAATGTTTTGTGACGAATACCCGCTGCTCTCGAATGTGTAAATAGGAAACTCGCTCTCTCATAATTCATCCTCTGTTCGTGTATCTCTTGTCCCATAGTCAATCACTCCATTTGTAAAGATGCTGAAGTTGTAGTTGCGTCTTGCGTGTAAGAAAAATGTAAAAGATAAGTAATCTTAATCTGTCCTGAAATGTGTCTGGTCCAGCTGTTGTCTGCTCTTGCTAAAAAACATGCCCACCAAACTAACTGGGCATGATTCAGCTTCAGCATTTCAAAGTCATCTATTATATCTCGTGCAGTGTCGCAGGCCTTGTCACTACCAACGTCTCGGCTATCAAGCCGATGGCGCCAATTGGTTTCATTGTCTCGGCTTCCACAAGTTATTCGCTTTTAGCGAACAGACTGTCACAAACAAATTCCATTAAGCTGTTGTGAGCAGAACTACGTCAGAAATGCGCATGATCTGTGTATTTTGGGGAACAAGGTGTTACTTTCGTTCCCACATCGCGTTTAAGGCTGCAAACTTTGGGTCGGGGCTGGGCTGTATCTGGTCGCTGTTAGCAATTGCGATTTTCTTCAAGTTATCAGTTCTCGTGTACATTGAAACACTTATGTTACTCAACTGTGCCCCTCAGAACCATACGATATGCTGGAGAGTACACTTAGGGTTCTTGATAATGCTTACTTCTATTCCTACTTCTCCCTCATCTTGTACTTTATTTTTAGTGTATATTTGTATAACTTCTTAAGGTGATATTTGCAGAATTGCCCATGGGCAACTTGAGATGTCTCATCTGTGTCCTAAGAATGCAGTGTCGGGTCATCGTTATTTACCAGACGTGAGCTCTTTAAGAAACTTCCAGAACCACAAAAACTACTTGAGATGAATAAAAACGTCCCCAGGCTTATGTTTCACGTTCCTTCTTGCAAACTTATTGGGCTTGCATTTTCTGGACTGTTTCGTTACGTAAATCACCTGACAGCTGGTGTGTAGTGATGGAGTTATGTTGTCACCTACCAGTGCGCTGGTAAACACACGTGTTAGAGCCTTACGAATGAACTCAGTTCATTCGTAATTAGGCCAGGTCATATGCAATCAAACACATTTTAACCACTGCAGTTCTTTTGGGTCGAAAGGCTGATGGAGCGCGAGCTACTGCTCGTACTTTGGAGAAACGCAAAAAATCAGTCTGACAACCAGAGAGGATAGTGACCAAATTTAACCAATTTAATGAATGACAATGAAGGCAGGCTGATCTGCGGGACAATTAGGTTGAGGTGGTGTCATAAACACTTCTCATTGTGCATTTAAAGTGTAGGCGGAAGTAAGTGCCTAAATGCAATGTGTGTGGGCTGGTATTAGTTTAATACAGAATGAGTACAGAAGATAGTGTGACACACTGCGAGGTTACAATTAATTAGCGTAATAGGAGACCAATTTGCTGCTAGATCCACGTCCTTGGGTTTTTAAGTGAATAGGAACTCCGTTTCGGTCCTAATGCCGGAAATCTGCAAAAAGGCCTTGATTGGATGATTTCAGTCTATATTTCTGATTTAGCAACAAAAAATCCCGTATTAAAGGAACTCAGGTAGAGTTTAGGATATTTGGATCTACTGTGATTTATTACACAAAGGTACGTTGATTAAATGGAGACCAATATTGTCTGAAAGTGTGTGTAATTGCTGAGATGTTGTCATTTGTGAAATCCTTCGAACGTAAACGTTTCTAAACTACTTCAACACACCGATTAGTATAGTTTGTTTCTTTTTGATGCGTTTATTCAAATATGTATTTAAATAAGACTTCTGATTTGAAACTTTATTTATTGTCAAGGCCGCATGTTATCTTGTTGTAGCAACTAGCCGAGAGAATATTAAACTATGCAGCCTCGACAGCAATATTATTCAAAAAACAATTGGAATAATAAATTTCCGTTTTAGTAGATTCATTCCCGTTCTCCGAGGTCCTTATTTTTTACGTGCTCGTGTGATTAGGAAATGGATATCACAGAACGACAGTAAATAACATAACATCTATTATTTTTAAAAAAAGATGAAGAATATACTGTAGCCAAAATATGGCATTATAAACTAGATTTTCTTGAAATACCTAATAACTCCTCACAATGCATCCACATTTTTTTTAATTTTTTTCCTGTGCTTACTCTTCTCTAATATCATTCATGATTGGCTACATCCGCTAGAACAAACAGACAGAATGGCAAAACGAAAGTAAAAGTTGTAATGCCTTTAAATTTTCAATGAACCAGACATGAGTGAGTGAATGTTATTCGCCGCCATCCAATTAGAATGATTTGTGCAAGTTTTAAAAACCCGTTGCAAACACTGAAACTTACGCAAGACATTGTTTTAAATGAGTTAAGGAAAATTAATTGTTTCATTACTTGCCAGGTAACAATTGTAAGAGGCTGCCGCTAGTGCGAATACAAAGACAGTCACATTATCAAGGCTCAGCATGAAAAAAGTATATATTATTCTGATTCGTATTAAAAGTTATGTAATCATGCCTTTATATTGCGAAGTCAGTTTGACAAATTGTTAAGGAACTGACAAAATTAATCAATACTTATATTTAACAACCCATTAATATTTAAAGTGATGACATCTCTACCGAAATGTTTCTTCATAGAACCACAAATCTGCCAATCAAATTGACAATAACTAATTTGACTATTCAAAATACGTGGAATCTGGTTTTTGAACTTATTGAAGATTAATGGTATTGAAATGTTAAAATGCAATCGTTATAATTATTTGATTGCAAGGACAATTAGTGAACTCATAAACGCGCGTCCTTGGAACGTCGTGGGTGCTGGTGCTTGATTTATCTCGATTGGAACATCTCCTAAAATTGGCAGGTAAAAAGCAAATAAAACCATGATAAGGTGGTATTTAGTTCGTAGTATTTGAGTGATTTTAAATGTATGGCTATGTCTACGTTTTTGCTATTAATTGCTCTTGTAAATGTTACTACATATTTTTAATACTTCGTTCATGTTGACCTTTAACAGGATGTCATCTACTGCAGATTAAAAATAAATGCACATCTAATTGCAAGCATTGGTTAAAAAAATTCTAATCCTTTCTTAGGTTTTTTTCCACATAAGGTCCGAACTCATTATAATGGTTTTTCATTTTATGACAACTGCTCAAATGGTCTTACTAGCATATGTTATCAATAATTATATTCTCTCAAATTGACCTTAGGCATGTTTAAAATTTTTCGGAGTTATAAGCAATTAGTTCGTGCCAGTTGTTGGTCAATGGGAATATGTAAAAATAATTTCTGTATTCGAATTGGGTTCGTGTACTTGTGAACGTGTGTGTTTAAAACTGGCTCATTAGATCATTGTTTAGATGAGTTAGCCAATACATGTGTTCTCTTCGTGTTCTTTAATAACCGTTCTTCCCATTTTTCCGAAAGGTCTCACGACACAAATGCGCTTAATCTAAATCCAACCACAGGTTGCTGGAACACTCAATAGATTTTCCATGTGTACCTAAAACCCGAGATCAGAGGGATTTTTCGCAACATGATTGATATAACCTTAAATATGCTGTTACTGCCTTTCTGAGGTAGCCTCCGATTAAATACCTCATTATGGAGCATAATTAATTAAACATCACCGAAAGTTTTGAGATAAAACAATCTATTATGTGTAGGCTTCGTTTAACACTTATAACAATTAGTTCTCGTGCCTTGTGAATGTTTTAGTTAAGCTATGAATAGTAGTATGTGTCTCGCCACCACTTCCTTTTTTTGATTTTATTGCCTTACCCGTGCTCCCTTGACGGTCGTGACAGGAAATTCTCTAAATCCCATGTGCGCATACAGGACAGCTTTTAATATTGGTCTAAGCTCATGTTAGTGCAGTCTGTGTGGTTTGCACAATTCCTGTGTTTGGACTGTATCTAGTTCGATATAATTCCATCCCATGGCTTAGTAAACGCGTGATTCGATAGTTGGACATCCCCACTGCTAGCGAAATCATTTTGAGCTCAGTGGCGATCTTACGTGAAATTCTTTGAACATCAAACAATTAGTAACACAGAAATCTCAAGAAAATCCACACTTCCGAACCTACAGGATATCAAAATTCAGGCTTTTTAATGTCTAATGACTTCAAATGAAAGGTGACACTCAGGATTCTTTAGTCAAATAGCAAGCGTGAAACCATAAGCCCGAAGTGGTTTTTGCTATTTGTATTAACCAACCAGATTAAGTATACTTGAAGTCGCCTTATTCAATTCGAATATAGAGGAAACTGCAGTTAAGTGTATGTCTTCTACTTAGCCTAAAGTATGTAGTAGTTTGCTATCAACCAGGCCAGAGCCTTGGAGGTATTTGAAAGCGCAGTGATCTCTACGTTTTTTGGATGAGATTGCGTGGCTTCTTTTTACTTAGACTGTTTATAGGCCAAACAGTAATGCTAAATAGTAACTACTATTCACTATGTCACCATTTGAGTGTGTGCGTCAATGTGGAAACACCCCGACCGTCAGGACGATTTTTCAACGCACTGAGTAAATCCTCGAGCATTATTTATGGTGTTGACCTTTCCGAAGTTTCCCAATGTCATTTAATTTGGTTTTAGCCCCACAGCTAATTGATATGTTAAAGACGTACATTGTTGCCATCACATATGCCGGCGCTACCTGCATGTTGGTTCAAGTAATTGTGCACGACGGTCTCTGCAATAAGTGCTTATCTATTGCGTCATTGGGTTCGATGAAATAGCGAAATCTGCACAAAATCACCAGTATTTTAGGTATTGCCAGCATTGGCTCCATAGCTAAGCCTCCTTTAACCTTAACATCGCCTTGTCTGTTGCAACAATCATTGTGATTTGAAAATTCTATAAAAGTCCGCCAGAAACACTCAACATGCTGGATCAAGATTTCCATCGAATGGAACACCCGTGCTTCCGAAACTAACAAATTATCTTATGTTACACATTTAATTAAACATTACGACTACTTAATTTATCTGTGACGGTGTGCTTTCGCCTTGGTAATGGGATCGGCAGTGTCGACTGGCCGAAATGTTATAGAGCCCAGTCGCTTGTACGCGTGAACTCACCGCTCTAATGCTGGGCATAGCACATGCATGAGTGAAGATATTTTCCTTTCTCCAGGTAAAAACAAAATGGTCGTGACTAAGTGCCTTTTGTTTCAAAGAGCTGCTTCCGGGTTGCTGGTGAAGGGTGGTCCCTTGCGTAACTTCTCATTGCCAGCCACGGCTGGCAAGAGTCACTACAAAGTGCTGGTTGCTGGAGGAGGCACAGGCGGGTGTTCTGTGGCGAGTCGCCTTCGAGACATCCTTCCAGCCGGTGGAGTGGCCGTGATTGAACCCCATGAGGTGAGTACTTTGCCGTTTTCGTACTCAGCTCGTCAAACTCGGTGGGTATGTACAAAGCCTCCCTGCCAGGTAGTACACTTTATGCCTCAGTTGTTTGGCGTAATATTTGTGGAAGTCAGCAAGTAAGTTTTACCCCAATATGATAGGTTTATTTCGTATCGTTTATCCAGCTGCATGTTTCCTTTATCAAGTAACCGCTGTTAATAAAATTATCAAACCTCTTCCCAGCTCACAGTGGTCTTGAGAATCGGAAGGTACATATTAATTTCGAGTTTTAGATAAGGTAAACATTATTCATATTCCCAGTACCCAATCTTGGGAATGGACACCATAGTCATTGATAATTTCCTAACAGGAAATGATTCGTGCACCTCGGATTCGTAAGCATCATTTGTTGGTCGTGGTCTGTGAAATGAGTGTGCGGTTTTTTTTATAATTCTCAGTTTATAAAAAAAACATTCTGCTGCTTGTCATAGTGGACAACTCGGTTATTGCCATAAAAATTGGTGCTGGCGGTACTAAATACTCTTGGTTTATCGGCAAGAATGTTCCCTTAAGACGCGTACCGATTTATGTGCATACAAAGTAAAACCGCTTTTGCCGAGGTTTAATTTCACCACTGAGTAAACAGGCATTATTCAGCAATTAGGCTGAATTAGATGGGGGGGAATTCAAGCCCCGTTAGAAATTACCAATGAAGCTGTGCAAAAACACTGATCTCCTCCAATCACGCCTTGTTTTGCAAGACTTAAAGTAATTTTCCCCTAGCTTTGTATCTGCTAATTAGCAATTTCTCCAAGTGATCAAAATCTTTAAAAAATGCATAAAAAGCCGAAATACTTTTGAGGGCTATTACGGAATACTGCGTGCTGACTAAAGACTCTGTGGACCTTTGTGTGGGAAATGCAGCTGCCGTAGTCCTTACGACAACAATAACCAATTAGAGATGGCTGAGACGGGCAGCATGACTTCATTCGAACAATTTCAAATCAAATTTAAGCTCACTTGAGTAGTTTAGTAATAATTTGGCATATTGTCTTCCACCATAGTAATATCTGGAAGCGGCACTGCACTGGGCTGTAGATGCCACCATCAGATCGTTTACTTGGTTGGCCTAGCGTTTCATCGCGCTTTTGCCTGTGGAGGCAACATGGCAACGTTACTCCCCGCCCCCTAAGTATAAACCATGCCGAGTATGCCAGTTGTCAGCGGTGTAGAAAACTGAGGTCATGAGCCAAAGGCAAAGAAATTATGCGGCCGAGGGTTCCGATACGAATTTGCGTAAACGTGCCAAGTCGATCGCCGTCCTTTTCTCGTGCTTCATCACTTGACACTTCACAAAACGCCCTCTTCGTTTGTCCAATGCGGTAGTGCATGCGTTTCGACGGGGGATTGATATGCTAAGCACCTGATTTGCTTCTGAAGGCGGATTAAAGCGTTTACGCACCACTGAATCCACATTCGACCTGAAATTCGTCTTCAGTCCCGTGCCAAAAGCGCTCGCTAAAGACCGCAGCTCTCCCCACTCCGAGGACTTACTTCTAGCCGCAGATTTCGCGTCTGGTAGATGCGTTTTCTCGAGTGTGTCCCCTTAAGGTTCAGTCTTAGGTGTCTGCCCCAATCACACCCCTTATTCTCACCTTGTAAATCGGCGTTCAACATGACCCCCACTAATGTCCAATATTGGTTTCGCTTCTCGCTGTCCTCTGTTGATTTATGCCTGCCTGCAATTCCGCGCCCGTCGTGGAAATTTGGCACGGCTAAGGATTGTTCATCTTTCGTTTTAGCACCACTACTATCAAGGTGCGTGGACTCTGGTTGGTGCGGGAATAATAAACCTTCCAGCCACGCGAATCCCCATGCAACAGGCGATTCCAGACAACGCCGAATGGATCCACGATAAAGTTGTCGCCTTCGATCCCCCGAATAACAAAGTCACCACGGCTTCGGGTCGACAGGTATGAAAAGAGGGATTTTTGCCTCTTCGCACACGTTGAAATGCCATCTTCGATACTATGTCACCTTAATTCAATTCTCTAAGTCAGATTTGTAAACAATACTCTTGAGCAATTCGAAGGAGGTCGCATGACTTCACTAACACTTGTAAAACAATCTCGTTGTTTAATAATTATTTACAATTATACTGCACCCACTGCGACATACGGGAAAGCAAATGATAAAACTGTGCAGGACCTTCCTTTCCTCCTCGCCTGAGTAAATTAGCGAAGATCGGCTTGTAGAAGTGCTTCCCTATTCAAATCCATCAAACTCGTCTGAATTTATCACCAGGACAACATAAGTTTCAATAGATAAGCTTGGTTGGTCACAGTCGCGTCTCCGTTTGCGTAATGCTTTGACAAATTGCCGTATGAGTGTCGATTTTTCCACGTTACCTGCGTTTGACACGGCAGCGTTGTGCGTGTTACTGCCCGTTTGAGAGGTAGTCGAGTGGATTGCTAGCACGTCAGATAAGCAATCGACTCTGGTTACTATGATACTTGAGACCAGGCTGGCATTTTTTGGCGCTGCTTTCGACCCCTTAAGGTCGAATACACAAGCAACATCCTCAGAGTAAACTACCAAACACGGGGCAAAAGTTTGTTCGCTTTTCTATGTTGAGAGGGTAAAGAAGCCCAATTACCCCGAGTAATTTTATCATTATAAACATGTCGGCTCGTGAGACTGCCCGTCAAGCAGTCATCGGCAGTCGTGCATGCGTTTTCGTGTTTACTGACGCCTCCCACCAGTCGCGTGGTTAGTCATGCATTCTAGGTGGGTTTTTGTTTTCAACTTTAGACCGCCTTCTACAACGTGTAACTGTATTTTATTGACACACACCATGTCTCATGGTTTGTAACTGCGTTTTCCATGTAAACCCTCAGTGTTATCCCCACTTTTTGGTACTTTGACCTAAAACTGAGTAAATACCTGTCTCCCGCGTAGTAGTGCTGAAGGCATCAGTGTCTAGTATCTAGTTTAGAGAGCCAATCGTTTACTAGATTGCTTAACCTATGTGTGAGTTGACTTCTGTGCAAAAAAGGTCATGCCTGGCAAGTGGAGTTTGTTAATCACTACAGTCTAGGTGAACTTGTAAAACCACAAATGGCTGGGTAGTGCGGAGGTGGCACACGCGCAGGTGCGTATTAAGAGACGGTTTCGTCGTGAAAACAGACCATGCTGGTTAATTCACTCAGGTTACCATGTATTCCAGTCTCTCGCTTCTTCTGACTGTGCCTTCTAGATACAAAATGTTTTTTTTTCTCAAAAATTTGTTCAAAAAGTCTGGCTTGTGGAAATTGAGGTGCGATGTTCACATCGTGTCTGGTGGTTTTGTCTATTCACTAAGCTTCCTCAAGCGCTTGCTTTCTTCTGGTAACTTCGTGGCAAGTGCGAATCGTTCTAGAATTTGGCTTCATCGATGGATGGGCCCCTTTGATTCCTTGGGCTCTTTTTTCTTGGTCCCTCTAATGAGCGTACTTGTGAATTGGATAAGTGCACTCTTAGAAGGAAATTTAGACAATTCTTTCTTCAAGAAAAGGCTTTGTGTGCGTAATATTCTATCTGTTCTCTCTTCCACCTTGCCGCAGGAAGCCGTTAGCCTGCGTGTGTTAGGTTTGCCCGTAACCAGGGGAAAACCACTCAAATAACGGTACCAGATCGCCTGATGACGCTAGGACCGACCTCCCCACGCTAATGCAGAACAAAACCAAAGCTCGCGTAGAGAGCCTCAATCGCGCCAGCCAAAGTGTGCCTGGTCTATCACGATGTCAACACTTATATACGTCAAGGCTGACCTTGACCTGATGGATGAAAGCGGATTAATACGGATGCGGTTGTCAGCAGGTTGCCGTGGGTGAATCAACCACTGATGTGGCTTGGTTAGGGTATTAGTGTAAACAACGGTGATGAGTCATCTTGGGGGAATCCTGGTTCCCCAAAAGCTCGAGGATTGTAGCTTTTGAGGCACTAATCCACATCAATTCTGAAGTTTTCTTTTCCACTAAAGTAGCCGCTGGAACTGCCAGTCCGCATGTCCTGCAAATGGGCGTCACCGTTGTGGCTGTTGCCTTCAGATGCGATTTCGCGCTGAAAAAAATCGATCATGGAATTAATTGGCATCGGATATTTTTCTCACATTAATCGTCATTATTCCTGATTAGTGCACACAACTGTATTTTAGCATCCCGACTTATCTTGATTAAGCTGTCATTCAGTTGCAGACATTTTATTGTGCATTGTAGATAACCTACGACTACTTGGTCCTCTGCGTTGGGCTTCGGCTGCGTTTTGATTTGGTATGTTGGACCAGTGTTGTGCGTTGCCTGAATTTCGACGTGTAGACATGAAATTTGGCCTGCAAGACTGAAAAGTAACCGGTGCAGACGTGTTCAATGCACCTGATCAACGTTCTTTCGGCTATTTCAGATCAAGGGTGCGCTAGAGGCACTGGATAACGACCCGAGGGTTTGCTCCAACTACTCCGCCTACTACGTCGAGAAGACTTTTAAGGCATTTCAAAATTTCAAGACCGGTACCGCCATCTTTACGCTGCCCCACACACCTATTAAGTGCGCTGGGGCTCCATTGAAGGTCACGTATCTCTTTGAGGACTATTTGGCTCAGGTAAGGGGTTTCCACCTCACTTCACTACTCGCTCGAGTTGAAGTCCCCTGCCGACTCAGTAGAACACGCTGGTGTTTTCAACGGTGTCTGCCAACTTGTAGTCGTGGTATTCACATGGTGTTGACGTATTAGTGTCTATTGATTATTCACAAACACTAGTTGCTGTTTTGTCCCCTTTCACAGAACTCGATGAGCTAGCCACTATCTTAGTAAATAGCAACCGTATCTAACGTGCCCGTTTCTCTTTCAGAGAGGTCGCAAGAATGACGCGAAGATTCTGTACTTTACGGCCCTGAAGTCGATATTCAGCGTGCCAAAATATGCCCAGGCACTTCGAGAAATCTGCGTCAAACGTGGAATCGAGGCGTTCTATGAGCACAACCTGGTTGAAGTAAGGCGCTCTAGGGCACTAGCGCACTCAAACGCATTTTGTATTCGGTGGAAATGTGTTAGTGATATGACAGCAGAATTCGGCTTTACTCTTGGATTCGCATTGTTGAAAACTCAGGATTTATTTTCAATCTCATGCCTTGTAGGACGTGGGCTTCTTATGGGTGCCTCAGAGGCCTTTATCCTACGCTGCTTTTTCATTTCATTGTTTTAACTTGTTCTCTCTACTTCCTAATCACTCAAGCAACTCATTCGCCAATTAAAACGCGTATTTGATGACAGTTGAGCACACACTCGGAGCCTTCCTGGGAATTTTGATTTGCCAGCGACAAATTCAGCATAATTCGTTAGGATAGTTTACGAAAAGTGTGCTCACGATATTGTGTGGTTCCACGTTCATTCGTGACGTCACGAAAGCACGAAATGCTGGATATCAGTAATTGCTGACATAAACTCAGACGAAGCGCCAAATGCAGCACGCTTTGTTAGTCATCAGCAAAGCTATTATCCATGAATTGCCGGATTTTTACATTAAATAAACAGTCTGTTTTTTTCCTAAATCCTCTTCGGCAAATAACCCTCGACACGAGGATTATTAAAGGCACTTCATTGTATAACAGTTGTTGTTGCACATTGGCGATTTACTGGATGCACCTTAAAAACTTGCTTGCGTTTGCCTTCCAGTGATGCCTGACAGTGTGGCTGAAAGTGGCCTTTTTGAGGAAATTTTTCGGAATAATGTAGATTGGCCCATCCGCAGATTTGTTGTTGTTGTAAAATGGTGTAAACTAACCCTGTAAGTACTGCAAAGATATGTTGCTTTTTTAGTCGATTTCGCAGTTTTCACGTCGACCACTAATCTCAATTTAGATTTTTTTTGTAAATAATCAAATGAACTCTCTTTTAAGGTGAATCTTATCAAGGATATTTTATTTCCCCTGGTTTGTTGTACATTTTATTGATAGTCAAAAGCGTCGTTTGATGGCGCAGTTAAGCGGTGTCCTTGTCTGATACCTGTTTAACCAATGCTGAAATCTTTGTATTTCGACACTCCGCTAAGTGCATTTTCTGGTGCAGATTGACCACAAGAACAGCATCGCGGTTATGCAAAACCCTACCACGAAGGAGACTTCGGAATACAGCGTGAGTTTCCTTTTGATCCTGACACACAAATTTGACATCACTCAGACGGTTTATGGCTTCAGCGGTGTAATCTTGATTGGGTTATGACCTTATCCATTCCCACATAAGAGGTCTTCTCTAAGGCCTCTATAGACATGTGTGATTCTCCTATTTATCGATTTCTATATAAAAAAGCTTGGAAGATAGCGGTGATTATACATATTTATCGATTTTTTCGAACTTAGTTATTGGTCAGGTGGTAGCCTTAATCTGACTGCTTGTCGAACAACGGAACTTGACTCTTGACCTACTTTTATCTGCTCAGTTGGGTTACTCTCTGTGATCATAAACTTAGCCTTTATAATCCAATTAGTGAGTTTCATTGATTAACGCTGAAAAGCCTCGCTACCGGTTGGGGAAGAAATAGTTACATGAAACTGCGTCGCTAATCTGCACCTGACACCTCCAGGTCAGGACTTAGTCCTGGTGTCGTGGAGGTCACCACCAGTGTCTTTGTCTTATCTTTGAGTCCAATCGGCTAGGAAGCGGAAAGAGATGGCGGGATTGCCCAGAATGACTCCTAACATAAGGCATTTTACGGCGTGTCTGGTGTTAATGTCTGTTTTCCCAAAAGGCGAAACGCAATCAAGAGTATCCTTTGGGGTTAGATGAATTGATGACATCAATAGGTGGCCTAAGGAACGCCCCTAGTGGTAATTATGACTCCTTCCCTTCTGTTGATTTATAAAAAGCTTCCTTAATATAAGATATTCAGGATGTCGAGTTGTAGGGTTACGATTTAACTACCCATGTGGGTCGTAACATGGCACTTAAATGCCAGTGCACTTTAAAGAAATCTTTGCTTAACATTGCATGCTGTCGTGTTCAGCTTGAAGCACTCAAGTGGCAACTGTCCCTTTAGTACGATTTTCTCCATCTGACTCCGCCCATGACTTCTCCGGACGTTCTAACGACGACACCTGGTCTGACTAATCCCGGTGCGAACAACTACGTCGACGTGGACCAAGGGACCCTGCGCCACGTCAAATTTGGCAACATTTTCTCCCTCGGTGACTGCTCGTCTTTGCCAACTTCGAAGACTGCAGCTGCAGTAGGTGGGTCTTCCCGACAAGGTTCAGTAGGCTGATAAGTTTTTTCAATCATCTTGTGGTGATGAACTGGCCAGTAAGCAAATGCGATAAATATCCAGGGTGCTTGTCATTGAGTTTGTTAACCTGTGCAGATGAATCTGCGTGGCTAATTTCCACGTAAGCGTAGAATGAAACACGCTAAACAGGTTTAACGAATTAGGATGTCTGTGTGGTAAATTCCGCCTCAGCCTGTTAGAAGGAGGCTGGGAACTGGAAAACTCTCCAATGGTTGCCAATGATACCCTGGACGCCGCAATGCCTGAACTTAGCACTCGTGTGCCCCTCGATAGCGTTGGACTCCACCTCAGTAGAAATCGCGGCAGTTCCTGCTTTAACACTGTCGTTGATGGATTGTAGCCTCGTCCGAGTACCCAGAGAAGAATGAGAACACCCTTTATTATAAGGCCGCTGTACGTGGGGTGTGTCTCGGCCGTGGCTGTACCTGCGTACTTATAGATCATAGAGCGTGAGTCATTGGGTTTGTTTAGCGGGGTTCGTTTGCACCTATATAGAAAGTCTGGGGTAAGCATCGGAGTGCTTCGATGTAGACACAAACGTAGGGTTGAGTAAATCATCAGGGAGTCTGTGGTGACGTTTGTGAATCACCACGATGGCACAAGTGTTGTTGCCGTTGTGCTTCAATCCAGAATATGCACGGAACAGACGCGACCATATCGTGCTATTTTGTGCGTGGAAATTAGCCACTGTTATTCTTTTAATATGAATTTTCAGCTACTCAAAGTCGTGTGCTTGTCGATAACTTGACGGATCTCCTTGCGGGTGGGTCTGGCACAGTTTCCAAGGTATGTGATTATCCATAGTCCTTTTTAGCCGCATGTATGGATTAAAAACTAAATTAATCCTTGATCTAAGTGTAAACGGGTGTCCACAACCAATCTTCCCCTCCCTCTTAGTGGGTTTAGTTCATAGTAAGAAGTAAACAAAAGCATGCAGTTACTATCCGCTAATTAGAATGGCTTATGTGGGTTGATGAAAACATCATTAGCAACGGCACTTATTTAAGTAGTATTATTGCTCATTGAGCCTTTCGGTTGCAGCTACTTGTACGCCTGGTGTATTATTCATATCAAGTCCATTTAAAACGTTACAAACAGTCAAATGCATTAGACTTCTGGTGCAGCTGCTCCATTAAAACCTAATGGGTCTAGAGGTAAAATCACATTATGGTGAAGCATTTTTTCTGTTTGTTTTTAATGGTAAGCCTCCCTTCCTGGGTGGAATTCGCGTCACACGCGAGACAGTGCGTGAAAATCGCAAATTTGATGACAAATGTGTCGTTTCGAAGGACGTCTCCAATGAACTGCCAACAGAGTGACGGCCAAATCCACGACTAGCTGTGATGCTTAGGCTCATTCAGTGCATTTTCAGAAGACATTACTGGAACTCAACGCTAAAAAACCTGATAGCGAATAACTCAAGCAAGTCGCCAACCCCAACGAACCTAACACTTTGGTGAAATGCTTGCGATTGGTTGCTGAAACGCCGTTAATGATGGACAAGTTGTGGCAAACTATGCGACGCAAATGTGTCACACGAATGTTTTGTTGAAATGCCTATGAAGAATGCGGTTGACGGCACTTAATAGATGTCGGAATATCAATTAGTCCGAAGACTGATATACTTGCGACTTAGAGATATGCAATCAGTCGTCGGCGTAAACAATTTCACTTGTTTTGAAAGTTGTGATGTTTACCAAAGGACATTAAATCCAATTATTAGATAATCATAGGGATTTTATCTTGGCGACTGATTTGAAAGTCAGCCCAAACATGTTTACGTATGTAGAAGTCTTCAGCCACCTGAGGAAAGGCAAAAAAGATAAACGCAACTGCATTTAATTAAGTTTCGTGTTGCTGGCGTATTGCATTGTCGAGCCTGACCCCGTGATCATTGAAAATGCCTACCATCTCTATGACTTCTACACTTACGTGCACAGTTCTGGTGCTCGGTATTGGCCTTTGTTGTAACGCACTGATTTAGTACACTGGCTACACCTCCTGCCCGCTGATCACCGGCTACCAGAAGGGGATTCTGGCCGAGTTCGACTATGACCTGAACCCCGTCGAAACCTTCCCCATCGATCAGTCTCAGGAGCGGGCGCTTTTCGCTTGGGTCAAGCGGTCTCTCTTGCCACCTCTGTATTGGAACGGCCTAATCAGGTAGGTGTCTTTTTTTTCATCCCTTCCTACTTCTACTTAGGCCCTTGGAAGTAGAATAAGTTGGTTATGCCGATAGTCGGCGCGCCTACTTTCTTGTGGTGGCCGTTGGCGTTTGTCTCAAGACTGAGTTTTTCAATTGGAAGAATAATGCTCGATTTCGAATCTGTAAGCCGGTGTCTTACACCGAAATCGGATCATTAGTTGATCTTGCCAAATGAGCAACGACGTCACGCCTACCTAACATTAATCGCCCTTTTCCAAATTAGTCATTTGTGTTGTTTTCCTTTTCTCGTAACTCATAAATCTCGTTGTCTTGACCACATTTCAGGGGCATTTGGAGTGGGCCATCGAAAGTGCGGAAGCTCCTGCGTTTTGGCCTCTCCAAATGATTTCGATTTCGCTTGTCGTCATCATGCCATGATCAATTATGATATATTTATATCACCTGCCTATTTCGAATAAATTATTCGTTTCGTCTTCTTTTACCTTTTCTCACTTGTTGCTCTTCTGGGATGCTCTATTTCATGCGATCAACACCGAACGCGCCGGGGCAGATCCTAGTTTGGGTTCAAGTTAGTCCCTCATGCGGTAACCGCATACGGTACTGGATTACCATTTTGGAAAGTGTATCACGTTCCTAGGAATTGGCCTATCACTGAGTAGTATGTTCTGCAAAAAAAAACTTTTTGGCATTTCCATACCGAAAATGCCCCTCTTCGATGCCAACACTAGTGTTGTGCATCGTACAAAACGGACATTGCGTGGAGTTAATCATGACGTTTTCTTCGGCGCAGTCACTTTGAAGACAGGGGCGATTGTTCCAACTCACCTGCAAGAGCCTTCTGAAATGCAGGTCGCAGTAGTAGGTGACTTCAATTTTGATGAGGAAAGCGACTTAATGAGGTAGACGCGTAAATACCCCAATGTATGCTATGTGTCTCATTTGGTATCAACATTCAGTGCAAGAACAGCTATCACCACGCAATAACACCGTTGAAGATCCGCAATGTACGTGTACAAGATCTCTTAATAAATAACTTGTAGACGTTTTGCGTTGCATGTAGCCAACATTCAGCATTGTCAAAGTTCTTGTGAAATCGGTATGCAAGCCTCGTATTTGCACATCGCCACGTTTTGAAGCGACGAAATGCCACAATGCTAACGCTGCAGGAGAAATATCCATGAACGTCAACCAACCGTTCTGGTTGCTTTTCTTAGATCTTGGGGACACTGAAGCTAGGAACATCCCAACCAGAGCGTTATTGCAAGTAGCAAGGCTGTGGCCATAGCAAACTACGCTAGCATTGATGAGGCATCAGATTGCTTAATTAAAAACAACGACCTAGAAGTGACCTCAACAGGACACCTTATTCGAAACCTACAGACACAGATGGTTCCACCCAATTTGCATTGTTTCGATCATGTGGGGCCCCATCAAATAGAGTTTCAGATTTGTCGAAGCGGTCCTGAATAGGGAGCCAGGTAGTTTTCGTCCGCCCTTTAAATGAAGATAACTGGCGTTTCGAATAAGCAAGTCATCACTAGGCGGCAGATTGCACGGTAGTCCGAACATATTTTGGCAATGATTATCTATGCCTGTAATTACCTTGTTAACGACGGCCACAGTTTATTTTCTGCCGCATTGCTTTTTGCTTGCCACTGCTCGGTATCTAGTCCGACACGTTTGCGTTGTTTTGACGCTGGCTCATGGATCTGGTTGCAGATTGATGTGGTGGATTTGCCAATGCAGTTCATTAATGGACCAATCACGAAAAAGTTGTATTCAATGCAATCACGCCCGCGAATGCCAGAATAGTTACTCAGGTTGGTTCAGGTCAGAGTGGGATCATAACATTCTTGTAAAGTTCAGGGTGGGTGTTAGTCACAACTAGGGTTGTAAACAGGGTCATGGATTAAAATGCGGTGGTGAACTTTAACTCGTAGTTGTCAGGTTTCTGATTTGTCCTCGACCAAGATGCTAGTGTCGCTCTTTCGCCTCAGTTGACTACGAAATCGATTATTTCAATTGTGTCTCCTGATTGGTTTAGGTCAGAAATCGTGCAAATGCATTGCTGACTTTGGAATCGAGTCATTACTCTGCGAGTTAACCATAGAAGTGGCGAATTGTGGTGATTAGACAGTATTGGACAAGTCCTTGTCACTTCATTGAATTTAGTCACGAGATATTTTTGTAAACCAAGCCATCTCTTGGGAGACCTATTCATGGATTTGGGTCAAAATGCGAATTCGTTCGTAAGTTCTTGTAATTCAATGCCAAAATGCAGACCATTTGGGCATTTATTGGGCAAATCGACGAATTTAGTTATTGGGCTAATATCCACTAATTTTTTCATCAAGATTTTCTTTATTTAAACACTAAATTTTGAATGCTGAACTCGTTGCCATTTCCGAATCTCACCTACCACACTCTTGTAGCAATAAAAAAATTAAATTAACAGGGGTGTCAAACAGAGTAAAGTGTTTGGATTCAAAAGCTAATTTCTAAAAATTCCGGAATCTCGTTAGATTACGCCGAGATTCAAAGCAATAGCACGAACTCGCCTCGGGCTTCTCAAATGTTATCGTTGTCTGGACACGGTCAGGTTTATTTTCAACTTATATATTTCGATTTCTGGGTAGGAGAACAGCCTTAAATTATCCTTGCACACGGACGACAAGTTAAGTCATTGTTTAGAAAAATGACACGAAATTATCAACAAACCAGATACTTCAGAGACACAATTGATCATACCTCGCTTAATGGCCATCCTATTCATATAGCATGTATGCTGACTAAACATGAAAACGGGCATAAATACAGTCCTCCGACATTTTTGGCCAGAACTGCCACTTTGCCCAGGGAGGGCTTTCAGGTCTCTGAACATGATTTCATTTAAATGGTTAATATTCCTTTAAAATTAAGCATGTCCATTCCACATTTTGCTTTTGCCATAATTCGGGTCATTAGGTGACAACTTCAGGCTTCGTTACCATGGTCTTTATCGTTTTTTAAATGACAGTCTAGCAGAGATTCTGAATGAGAAGATTCCTCATCGTGAAAGAATTTTTTATTTGAATGGCTCGTGCTCATAAAAATGATTACAGCTCATTTCAAATTTGATAATGATCAACGTTTTAGTATTATACTGGTAAATTAAATGTTAATGTTGGGAATCGCGTTGATTCAAACTAGTTAATTTGGTCACTTCAGCCTCCGAAACAGAGTTCCCTTTTCGCAGCATGTCGCAAGCCTCGCGGATCCTTAACTCTCCCCTTATTCGCACGATTAATAATCATAAATTAACCTCACACGTGGATCTCGAAGTTAGCACACCTATGACACGTACGCGCGAATGCCACAAGCGACACAACGACGCCAACTTGGCTGAGCTCTGAAGTAAACGGATATGCCCGGTCTTTTTTGTCATCACGGGTAGCAGGGATGCGCAATCGAGCCAGATCCAACTCAGTAGCTCCGGCGTGGTTCTAAACCACATGATGAAGGCCACGACAACATAGGTTTAAGTCACTACGCTTATTCGTTGATATTTATGACACTGAAAAGTAAAATGTCGCAATGCGCAATTGACACAACTGAAGAAACTGCTAAATTAAGAATTTATTAAAACTGTCGAAATCATGTGGCAGCACTGGAATTGTGTGCAATTAAGTCGATCAATTGTAACTAATCACACTAAACTTGTAGAAGTTATTATATAAGATTAGATATCTCAGCTCGAATATTAGTGTATCATCAGCCATAAAAAATAGACTTGCTTTCACCAAAATAATGTCAAACTTACTTAGTTACGCGTGGACGGCATAATGTATTATATAAACTATAAAATCACGATTTTTAACTGTGGCTCATATAACATTTTCTATAAAAAGGCATTTTTATAGAAAGCCAAAAGATACTAATGCTAATGTGCTTGTTTCTATAAAATTTCATAAAACTAGTTGCATATTTAAAGCACAAATATTTGTATTGCATACGAATTAATTTCTGATCTACAAAATACTAATTTATAAGTTCCAATTTAAAATATTTTACTTTTTTAATTCCTAAAACAAATATAAGAGCAAATCTAAGATGATAAGCCTTTCAAAGTCTTTGTAAAACAGTTTAAAGACCTTGAAATTAATTTTTGTTACGAAAAGAAAGGAGCAATATCTGTAAATCAAATTAAAGTCAGCTTTAGGATTGATTTGAGAAACGTGTTTGTTTAAATAGGCTGACGCTTTTGCGCTTTTTTGGGCATAGTTATTTGGATAATTTCGCAATGAAATTCGTGTTTAAGGAGTCTCATTCGTTTGGTTTGTTCTTCTTTCCGCTAATTTGATATATTATTAAGATCAACGCGTCAAAGATGCCACAAAAATCAGGCAAAAGTATCCGGATCGTATCCCAGTTCGTATTTATTTTTTACTTTGTCTAAAGTATTCTGCCATGTGTGCTTTACCTTGGTCAGTGTAGATTTTCTTTATTGATTTTGTTGGAGGAACATTAATACGAGACTTCTTGATGAATGAATATGAGGTGTATATTTTATTAGGCCCAATGTTTTCTAAGTTTCTGCAATACCTGCAATGTGAATAAGTTCTTGGGATTCTCATTTTATTGAAAACCGACTGTCGTGTTTGCCATTGTCGTGTTTTTCAAGCCTTTTTCGTACCCACGCAATGTCACCTGCGTAAAACATCCTCGGAACTTTCTTAGTCTAGGTTTTTACCCAAAATCTGAACTAATATTTACGTCAATATTCCATTTTTAAGGAAATTGCTTTGTCTAATATTTGCATAGTTGGTAAAGTAGTAGTTATTTTATGCATTAAAGTCTAAGAATCCACGGTTTTCTGTTTATCTCGTCTCCATCTTGTCTAGCCGTAGTGATAGATACAGGACATTTGTTAATCAGCCTCCCATTGTATTATTATTTAAATATTTGACTACAAGAGCCAACTCAAATTTCTACAATTGCTCTGTTTTCAGGTTATTGTTGAACGTCATCCTGGGTCACAAATTAATGATCTAGATAAGCACAAGTTTCTTGTGCCGAGTGAAATAACGGTTGCCCAATTCATGTGGATTATCCGAAAGAGGCTTGAACTGTCCCCTGAGAAGGCACTGTTCCTTTTCTTCGATGACTTAGTGCCACAAGCCAGGTAATTTGGTTTAATTCGTCCCTATTTTGCATCCATTTATTGTTAATTGCATTAGAAGAATTATGTATGTAAATTGTCCTAGAACCTTTTTGCACCAGGCTTGTTGAGTAACTCTAGGTTTGTTTTCTGTTATAAATTTAATTGGCTGATAAAATATTGGGTAGTAATCAACGTCTCACAACCATATTGGAAAATTATTGTCTTCATAGAAATTCGCCCCCTACAACGGCTAGGTATTCAACGACCTTATTTGGGTGTCACGCTTACATGGACGGAATGAATCATACTTAGAAGAACGCAAAATGTCAGGTTTTATTCGGTTCTATTGTCTGCTAGGATTAGGAAACCTCGTGCCTTGAAGCTTAATACACAGAAAGTCTTACTCGTTAACTCAAATCCCATTGCTGTTTTTATGTAGTTTTAATTATTAAGTTAGTGGTTTTGTCTTTTTTTAAATTAGACGCAAATATGTCTTTAACTTTGCAAGCCCTTTTGATTATTGGATTAATGGGTAGTTTCAGTGTAATTATTGTAACCATGGCATAGGAGTCTGTGTTGGTTATGTGCGATCTCCAAATATTCCGCGCTTTTTATTCACAATACCGAGGGCCCTGGCGTATCTTAACACTCCCTGCCTTCTTAGTTTCATTTAATGCCGAGGGTTGCGCGTATTACCTGTTCAGATCTTTTTGGCTTTTCATGCTATTACCAACGTTGTCATTGGTCCGTATATGTTTATAAATGCCTTGGCCTTATAAGTGTTTTCACAAGTGTTACCGCAGTGATTATGCATGTTTTAATCCACTTCGTCATATCGGGCGTCACGTTCTTGACCGTCACGTGTACCTCGCCCTCATGTGCGCCTTGCGATCTACTTTGTCGTGTGAGATTTATTTCATACCATTTCTACATTATTGCATAACTTTGTGATTACTCCTGTTGTTTTTCCTGGCCATCCATGCCAGCAGCCTGTACTTCCCCTGATTATTATTGCTTTATCAGACAAGGCGTCACTTAAGTCAAGCTTTGTGACTCGCTCTGGTGAATTTTATCTGTGATGTGAGTTATACAGGGCTCCCATTGCAGTAGGTTAACTTATCCGCTCTAGTTCTGAGGCTCGAGGTCAAGACCTGTCTTCGTACTCAGTAATCGTGCAAAGCTTGGCCACACTTGGACTAATCCACACTGTTTTTTGCTCTGCTATTGATATTCACTGTTAAGTCTCCCCTGTGTTGACTTGGCCTTTTTTCGCAAAAAACAGTAGTTCTGTTTGTAAAAGCCAGCTGTTTTGAAAATGAAAAAAACGCAAGATCGCCCTTTGCCATGTTTACTTTTTGACCTCTTCTTGCACTTTTACCAAATATCATACGCTCCCAGATTCTCTATTTTGGTAAACATGATCAGGTACTGCAAGGTGAAGGTGGTGTCACGTGAAGACTGCATTTTCTTTTGAGTTGTGGTGGTGGTGGCAGTGGTTTTGCTTATCCGCATTGCCGAAAATGCTCCTCCATGCCACGCCTGATTCCGAGTGGATCATAGTTTTAGCAGCGATGGTGAAATTTCTCAGTAAAGTGGCACTTTTTATTGCGTAAATCGAATCCAGGGTAATTTGAGAGTCAATAAAGTTTAGCCAATTCAGTGCGTGGTAGACGATGGGTGCTATCTAGGGACGCACCAAACCGTTCCGATGCCTGAGGGACATATGATTACGGCTGACGATAAGTACCTTTCTGTGCGTTTAAAGCATGTCTCGAACATTACTACCTCCGTTTCTTAGCGTCCTTGGCTAGAGTTCATAAAGTTGTGATCTTCTACATTTTGTCATCTTGAAATGAGTGTTTGGCTGTTTTTCTCCTCCGTGGGTAATTGGACACACTAAGAAATTAAGCACAAACTTCCGACTCTCATCCTGTTCCTCCCATTTTATCCTGAAACAGCACTACAGATAACTGACTCTACTTGAGTCTTTTGAATGACTTGTGTTACATGACCTCATTTTGAAACGCGTGCGCCTTTGAGCTAAATCTGAGCATACTGGTTTGGGTAGGTATATTGATGTCTGAATCACTAATTTTCACTGCCGAAAAGGGGTGGGGTTCCTAACCCTTAGTTTTCGGTCGCGGGTGTAACTTTCTCGTGAATCGATGTCGCCTACTTCTCCAGTAGGTAGCCAGGACACTTGGGGGTGAAAGCGACCAATTGGATGTTCTTCCCCCCCCTCCCGATCAGGCATGCGCAACTTTCGCGACACGTTCGGTCAGTTTCGAATGGGTCTGAGATGTGGGCTTAGTAACAAACAGCACCTACGCAACTACCTAAGACAAAACTCGTGTTTAGTTTGGTCGCCAACATACCGAGTTCATCTCTTTCGCTTGGCCAGATACATGTGTTGTACTTCTAGATTGCGTTCAGTTAGTTTTGTAGATTCTTAAAGCTGTATTTTGTGAGAAGAGGCAAAGCATAACAATTTTGCTTTTCTCTGTGCAGCTTGACTATCGGCCAATTGTACAACGAACGCAAGAGCGATGATGGCTTCCTCTATGCGCATTACAGTGGAGAGAATTCCTTCGGCGGTTACTAGGTGGCCGGCGCTTCATTCTCCGCTTCCTCTGTTTAGTATCCCAGATGGCCCTAGAGCATCACACAAACTTCGTGCTATCAACTTGACGTATTCGACCCCATTATGTCCTCAGTCACTTTTCACTATTGTTGTTGTCGTTAACGTAAAGTTTTTCCTCCAACTTTTCTTGTTATTGACGAATTTCAATCGAATTTCGTCTGGATTCGGTGTTAGTGGCAAATTAGACGCACCGTAAAACTGGTTATGATGTCCGGCCCTTCCCCTTTCAAGTGTCATTGGTTGGGGCACTTCGCTGGCGTCAGGGCGCGGGGTTTGGCGGGGCCTGTCATCTGACGGTCGGTGCGATAGGTGGATAGGCTATCCCCAAAGCCGCTGACATCTCGCTGACGTGTGTTGATTAAGTGCACTCTGTAGCCCGGCAATGAATTTGGAAAGTACTGGAGGCATCTCTTGATCAGGACCTGATCGTGGAATTGGGGTATACAAAGTGGGGGGATCTACCCAACCGCTGGGGTTCGTGTGACTGATTAAGCACAGCTGAAGTGTCAGCTGACTAGTAGCTGATTGGTTGGTGCGTTGGGTGTGCACGTGCGTGCATCCGATGCATTCGGGGTTTAGCCCGCGTTAGTCTTGCTACTTTGGCGGTCGTCAAGACGCTGCATTGCGTGTGTGGCTGTGTGCCCGTAATTTACTTTAATTCTGTTTGAAATAAACTCGAGGTATAGTGCGGTAAGTCAATTAAATTCTGTGATAAGTTTGTGGCGAGCAGCCCGCGAACAAGATTCAACCAGTTTACTTGAATGAACTTCATGCTCTATAAACTAATTTGCTGCCGCGTAGAAGACACCTCTACTGCATCAACAAACAAGTTGAGCTGCCCGCTCTCTGCATTTCTACTCTGCTTTCGATCGGGTCGTGTTAGTGTAGATCGTCGGCCCTGGTGTGGTTTTCTAACTGCATCGGGTCTGCAACAAGGTCAACCAGGAGCGGCCTTTTCGGTAATCCTGCCAACAAACGATAATTCGACTTCCGCGCAATTGCGCACTCACGTAGAGTTGATTATTTTTGCTTGCTGTTTCATGAAGCATCTCATTTGTCAACAGGGGTACATTCACTTCACTTGCCCACTAAATTCTCGGCATTTGTTGTTCTTAGGCGATTCTTTGAAGGCTTAGTTTGGGTCATGTTTTGTTAATACCACTTTCCCGGGTATACTTGTACCTCATGTCATTTCTTGGGTTCTAAAAATGAGGATTTTACGGATTTGATGAATCGATCAAATTACAATCGTGATAAACAAGCCTTGATTTAGGTTATTTCTTGTTACTTCGAAGATTTATTTAACCGAAAGACGTTTGGCGGTAAACATTGTCATCGATGCAAGCTTTCTCAATCAACCCTGTTTGCCATGGTGAAAAGATATAACCCATGGCTTACTTGAAACTAATTAACCAAGCCGTGGTCGCGCAGTGGACTTTTAGGAACCTCTTAATTAGTTCTCCTGGTTGATGTAGGCACAGGAACGTAGTAGCCCGCATGGATGACGTGGGGCTGCATCTGCACAGCATGTAGTTGAATGGAATTCGTTGTAATGGCAACAGACAAGATAAGTGGTATCCCAACTCTACCTCAACATTAAAACATGTAGAATGCAGTATTTGTCTCATCGATGTGCCTTGGATAATCGTTATGATGGTTATCAGGGTATGCTGAGAGCATGTTTTAACCATGCACGCATGCGACGATTCAAGTGTTGTATTTTTCAATGAGTCAGCTGCAAACATTCAATCGCTGACGAGCCATCACTATTTGGATTGCCAGCCATCGACTTGGTAGCTGAGGCGCTGGAATTAGTGGGCCATGTAATGGAACTTGAGGATGGCCATCATCGATATTCCCATCGCGCGTGAGTGAAGCCCGTTTGCCGACCTGACGGCGTTTATGACTCATCGCTGTTGCGTTGGTTACTGTTATCAGACGTCTGTCATCCGCTCACTCATCCACGGATAAAGACACATTTGGCTGCCTTGACGCTCTAAACGGTTGTATCCGCTGTCGCCTCTCTTGCCTCTCTGTTAACTCGAAGGTTGCACGATAGTGCTGAGAAAACTGCTGCAATACCTCCAGAAAGCTTAAAGAAACTGACTTTTATTGCCAACTCACGGCTTGGGTTTGTTGAGAATCGCGTTGACTAATCGTCGTTAATCCGGTCGCTCCATTCTCCGACACACCACCCCCTTTTCACAGCGTGCTGTCAGCCGAGGGGACTCCCAACTCACACCTCATCGGCACGATTATCCTGGATTATCACTGCGTGTGTCACAAAACCCACCTAGGTCGCGATGTTAGCACACTTATGACTCATGCTGCTTCACACACGGACACAAACACACCAACGACGACTTGATCGAGCTCTCGACTAAAGCGTTCGCTTACTGCCCCTCTGCTCTCTCTTAACCATTTTTTTGGGTGTTTGTAGGTATTTCGTGCTGCAACACGTCCAGCGGTGTGCTTGATTATTCTCCAGTAGGGACGCATTAAAGAGGAAGCAAAAGCAAGTGGTGTATTTGAAACTCACAGAAATATCACGATGGTGTGCCTAAAATCATTGGTGAAAAGTTAAATTATTTCGGCAGCTGAGGAGTTCGACCTAGAAATGAACAAAATTGGCATTTTAGTAAGTCCGCGATTAACCGATGTGGTATTAGGAATTAAAGCGTTTCTTCGAAGATACACACCATTGTGTTTCTATTACTTCACGATAAGATATTTTTAAAAACAAATGTAATTCCCCAATAAACGCCATCCAAACATCCCCATTAAAAGCGTTGTTTCGCTTTAGAATTATTTGTATCGTGTATCTCAATGTGTCATATTAAATCCAATCTAATTTAGAGGTTATGTAAATAATGACATTCAGTTGATAAATAACTCTATTTGAAGGGAAGTTTTCTACAAATACAGCAACGTCCCCTCAATTCTTGAATACACTTTCCATGCAAAGATATTTGAATCTGATTGAGTTTGTATTGATCTCGTAGCAATGACCTTGGTTCTTTCATATGGCAATTTTATTTCCAACATTGGCTGCTGCCAAACTCAGAAGAATGGGCTTTGAGTACAAATTATCACCTGTAATTTGCGTATCAGTAAGCACAATCTCATTAAGACTTTTCCTGACTACTCACTAATGTGTGTGCACACTGCCAGGCTCTGTGATACTCCTCCTGTAACCCTTTCTAAATTATGTCAAATGGCAATCAGGTTTTAATTTACAGGACTAACTTCGCCAAATTTTTGGCATTTCGGATATTACGGCTTTAGAAATCCCAAGACGACACATGTCCAATATGCTCCAATAAGCCTAATGTTTGGACTAAATGCTGCCGGTGCATTACCTAACCCGGAGTCCAATGAAGGTCGAGTGGGGCACGCTCGTTTACTAAATCCGCTAGGCGAAGTTGTTTATTAAGATTGAATGCGGGTGCAAACGTGGTGTCAGCTTACACATGTCATGTGGCTGAGAGGCTGGGTGTGATGACAAATTGTGTTTTGGCGACACAGCCGAACAAGTTGAGTCTGGTTTAGGCTGGGGGAATTAGGGGACCGCAAATTGCCATGATGTTGTAATTCTGGCTAGATTAAGAGTCACACCATTGAAGAGTTACACGTGAAATTTACCAGAGCACCACATAAGGCGCCAACAAAGCAGGCGAAACCCAGCTGATAACCGTTTTATCGTTACTTGACTTCTTTTGTTGTATCAATACGTAACTTGCATTTCTAGTTAATGGTCGTAGATAAAATCCGGCCCATTTATCGGTAGCATGCTAAATTTTTTATAATTACTAATTCGCTCTTGTAATCGAGAATAGTCATCGCAGCTATTTGAACCCTCTGATGTTCGTAAACACTTTACCAGTTCAAAGTCCTTACAAACTCGAGTTTCTGTGTCATTTCCAAAATTTGCAACAGGTTGAACCAACCACGCGAAATGCGTGTGGAGCGTTTACAACAGATGCAAGCATCCGAAAAGGGACCAATAACAGTTAGTTACGCATTTCTTAACCCTCGGTAGGAATTTCATTAGGATAAATCGAATGAAATAATGTAAAACCAGGGTTGAATCACATGTCTTATTGCTTCTCTAGCACGTTGTAATATTAATGAAATGTATTTAAAGTGATAGCTGGATTAAACACTGGTTTTAATGGAAACGCTAGGGGTTTAAACAAGCGTTTTGTAGTAAACAACGTTGGTTTATAGGCCGTTTACAACCCATTTCATCTTTTTATGCTACCTTCTGCCAAGTATTCTCAGTAACGCCTTTATCGCGAGAACAAACAAGCAAATAAACATACTTATGCATTCTCGGATTTCGAGTCATTCGTCTTTTCGACATTTTCACCTATCTCTTCGTGGGAATCCTCTGTACTGTGTTCTGTTGAGTTGCCACATGACTGTTTTATGTCTGTAACGACCTTAAATAGGCATAAAATGTGATTGAAGATGAGCAGCAAATTCTGTCACTCCTTTAAGTAGTGACCATCGTTAATGTGCTAGGCTACTGAGAGGAACATGCCTCGTCTGATTGCGCAATCACGATAAAATGCAATTTCCCTTAATTGGTTGGTCTAACTGTGATTAAGTATGCAGCGGATTAGCAGCGATCGCGCCTGAGTGAACCCTGGTTACCGACCTGACGGTGACAATGACTCATCCCCTTTCCATTGGTTACTGTTACCAGACGCCCGTCATCCGCTCACTCATCCACACACGTAGACACACTAACCTAAGTATGACGCTAATAAACGGTCGTGTCCTCTGTCGCCTCTTGTTCCACTCTTCTCGAGTTGTTACGGGCTGTTAACTGGAGGGTTGTAAGGTAGTGTTTGAACCCAAGGTACTACAACTATAGCATAATCAACTGGCCAAATAAAAAGAATTTATCATAAAGTATGTCACTCTAGACAAGATTTTAACCCGCCTGATCAAACCTTTTAAATTCAAAACGTTGGGTGGATGCTGAATCATTGTTTGAGGAGACACAAATGCCCCCGTTTTATGAGAGACCACTCCAACCGCAGGTTTTGCACACAACATGCAGTGTTCTCACTCAAGTTCTATGAAAACTGAAGTCTTTGTCACAGTATACAAAAAAAACAATTAATTGTTACTTAAATTAAACACACTTTTAGGTGCACATTAGGTGATGAGGATCATGTTACCGCTATCGAAATCTCTCTTGCGACTGCGAGTGGGTGAAGGCACCCTGGAAAAAAGTGTCCATGTAGATCAAGGGAGGCAAGGAAAAGCGAGATCTCAGTTTTGACTCCACTTGGGAATCGACAGATTCATTTAAACTCACACCCGGAGCGAGCTCACGCAAACGGGGCACGTCAGAGAACTTTAAAAGGAGTTTTATGGATAACCAACCAATTCACGTGTTCAGCAATAACTTACCTCACGTATCATCGTGTCCAAAAGTGCGCGAGCCTGCTTCTCAAATTCCAACTCCTTGCACACACTCTCCATCAGCCAGGGAAGGAAGTTTGATTCAATGTCTACAAAAGGGCAAGAACAATCAGCACGGGATTGCGTTGAACTACGCAGCTTTAATTCAAGGGGCCACTTGATTGCGCTGTGGATCACAAAAAGGCGTTACGATTTTTGTATGAACCTCAAAGTCGACCGAACCGATGGCTCAGCAACGAAGCCACTGGTCAGATGTCTGCGAGGCGACAGATTGCATGTGATGTCCAAGGCGTGTCTCTGACCTCCGCCAATTCGGGTGCACCAGAAAACTAGGCTGTCGCAACGCGCCAATGTCATGAGTAGGCGATCGACTGATCACAAGCTCGATGACATCTGAACCACTCTACGTTAAACCTCATTAATACTAAACGGGTGGCATAAGGGTACTCCACCGAATACTGGACAGGTTCGTCAACTAGCTTACTTTTAGTGTACATTCGCGGAGTGCTATTAGTCACTAAATAACAGGGAAACCTTGTATGGAGGCTTTTGTTGAGTGTTCAGGCGCTGAACACACTTATAATGAATGTTTGCAGGTAGTTCGCACTTGCTACTTATTTAGAATGAGTTAACTGGTCTCTAGTTAGATTGCCCGACCTTAGTTCATTGGCTAATATTGACTGCACAAATTTGCAATGGGTTATAGTGGACTGCCAGTGATCGCGCGTGAGTTAAGCTCGTTTGCTGACCTGACGGTGTTAATGACTCATCGCTGCTTCGTTGATCACCGTGGCTGCCTTGGCGCTAATAAATGGTCGCAGTAGGGCCAGTGGTGTCATCATACTGCAACTATTAGCAAACTCTGTGAGGTGAATTCGTAAGTATCTTAATGTGAAGGGCACCCCAGCTCTCTTAACCTGATCGATAACAGAACGTTCCCAAAGACTACTTTGAGCGGATGAGGATATGGGCTGATGAAAAGTAAGCAATTCACTTCACGCTTTTTTAACTCGATCCTGAAAGATTGTCTTTATCCCACATCAGGTCGCCAGCTCATCATTTTGCAGTGCGTTTACTGATCTGATGGTGTCAATGACTCATCTATGTTCCATTGGTTACTGTTATCAGACGCTTGTCATCCACTGATCCACGGCTAAAGACACAGTTGGCTGCCTTGACGCCGATAAACGGTCGTATCCGCTGTCGCCTGCCGTGTCTCCCTTCAAGGGGGTTTATAAGTACTGCTAACTAGATTGTTGTACAGTAGTGCTAAGAGAGTCACTTCAGGTCTTTCGGCTGTGCGAACCACAATTATTCAGACCCTTGGTTCCATTCTTCTCATAGCGCATCTCGTGTCGTGTGGTGCCACCCCACCTACTAATTTTATAAAGTAGCCAACTGGGCTGTGTGATCCAAGCACCAACACGCTCCACCCTTGTAATGGAGCAGCCTAAGTTGGTTCAGCTTTAGGGTAATCCAAGAAATGTTAAAATCGCCACAGTTTTTATATAAGAGACGTCTTTGGGTTGGTGTGTGCATGGTAGTCCCATAGCGTGGGCGTCTGATAAAGCCCTGAATGTCGTTAAAGCAAGGTCATTGCTAGCCGATCATTGTCAGAAAGGATTCGGACCTTGCATATTTGGGACTTGATGAGGTTATTACACCATCCTGGCGTGAATCTACCAGGAGTCCTACCTACACTCCGTTTTAGGAATTGGGAGGGTTTGGCTGTGGCAAACGAACTGCTTGATTACTTCAACCAAATTTACTCAGTTTTATGCTTATCCACATGGGTGCAGTGTCGCAACTTACTGTGCTCAATCACGTCATAGAAGTAACCCTGATCGTAGAGGTACTCGTACACGGTAGGCACAAGCGGCTCCACGTACACTTTGGCGAAGGTTCTAGCAGAAATCTTCGAAACCAAATCTTCCTTTTGGACCTGAAATTCACGGTGCTGGGCTATTCGACGCTCCTTTTCTTTACTATTTGTATAAAAGCAGGAAAGAACCAATAAACATCAGCAAATTTTCGTTCCAAGGCCACGTAAAATCAATTATTTTAAAACGAAAAAATTGCTTGATTGTGTGTGATTCATTTGCTGAATCCGACATTTAAACCCAAAAACTTTAAATCCACAGGAAAATCATCTTAAAGCATGGAATCCTAATGTGGAACTTTATACAAGGTTCAGAGATATCCCAGGTGTCAATAAACCTGGAAAAAAGAATACATGGGGAAAGCCATTGGCAACCGATAATTTCCAGATTTCGTTACTAACTCAGCTTCGCTGAATCTGAATAATTCTACTGCTCTCAATGCTTTTTCTCTCGGTTTAACTGGTTTGAAACGTTTCTTTTAAAAAATGTTGCTGTTTTTCACTCATAGCTAAGTCGCTGTGAGTCAGACAATTAACCGTAGCGTGTTACAATTCACACGGAGAAAGCCGCTTTTCGTGGTGATTAACTGTGACTAGACCAATCTCAGCCTAAAATGTACATGAATGAATGAAAGGGAAGACAAAGAAAGACTGAAAATTGCACAAATCGAATTGCAATAAAAGCAAGCCTTAACCCTTTAGCTAACTAAATATAGTACACCAAAATTGACTGCTGAGTGTAATATCTGCGAGCATGCTTCTGGTTGTCAGTCTACCTAAATTTTTGCCACCTTTACCAAAAAAAGCCAAATGTGACCCAATCAGTAACGTTTATTTCCCACTCTCTCCCTTGTGAGTGGTCGAGTTTACCATTCTACCTACCAAACTGCACAGTAGATTACAACTAGCTGGTCTGGTTGGTGGTGATTTAATGTGACCTCGAGATCGACGTATGCTGGTGATTGGATTTAGAAGGTTTCGCCACAGTTTTCACATTGCTGTGAAAAATACGAAGGATAATTAACGAGGCGTCTCAAACGCACACGAACTCGCGACCTAGAATGCCAATTAAAAGGCTGAAATTCGGCACCAACTGGCACTCAACCTAATTTTAATATGCGTAAAACACCTAAGTACGCCTTAGACGTGTAAATATTTCCGGAAGTAATGCAGACCCCTTGGTGATGAATTAATTCCAAATCAATAGAGCTCATTTTGACTATTGACCTTAATTGAAGACAGGAGAAAGGATATATAACCCTCAAAATAGCAAGTTACCGAATTTGTTGCCCATTTTGTTGTAGCGAATTGATAACAAATTAAAATTGGGAATTTTAGCATTAACGGCAATCGATACCGATATCGCCTTTCACGCTCCTCCAGTCGTTGAACCTCCAAAAGATCGGCTTCACGGACCTCCTCGAGTTGCAACTGCTGTTCTCGAATATTTGCCAATTCCTCCTCTTCGCTAACTTCCAGCACTGCCTGTTCCATCACTTTGCCCACCAGTACTTCTAGAATAGGCTTCACTTCCATGTCGAAATCGAATAACTGAAATTGAAATAACACTCATACTTATTGTAATTAAGTAACGGAACGGAGATTCAAAAAGGGTACACATATTTATGGCTGTGATCGCATATAACGCCCATCTATCCACGCGGTTAACCATGCAACGGTCAAATTGTCGGCTCTTTGACACGCGGCAGTTAGGTATTTTCACACGCTTTTTTGCCTGTTTCCTTTGTCCATACATGCGTATTTAACACAACTCCAAAATGTTCGGCCCTACCGGATTAATACCACGTAAGGCAATTTCTCTAAATTGGTCACGTGAGCATTTCAAGTAACATCGGCGAATCCTGGACAAGTAAAATTCTATCAAACTTGCATCATTCGGCAAAATTTGTGTCTCTGCGTCAACACCGGTTTTCGCGGGCACAAAGAGCGGCGTCGGAGGTCTGTCGAGAAATGCATCGGTCTGGCAGCAGACGTCGTCGGCTTCGATAACATCGTAAAGCTCCTCAAGGAAGAGTTCAGTTTGAACGTCGGTGTGTTTTCGCCCTGAAACTGGTTGAGGGGTTCCGTTTCTGGTCTATAATAATGGTGGGTAGTTGAAAGTTTTCAGGTTACTAATTGCTTGATTTTTATATGCGAATTTTACGCATTCAAAAGATCTTTAATAAATATGGTAGCTTGAATTGAGGACATTCTAAGTTATTCAAACGCCCCAATGGCTAATCAGGATTTAAGAAGTCCTTATGTACAAAATCAACGAATACTTCATGTATTAAGTACCAACTCTTTGTTTCAATCTCATAATGTCTTGTTTTTAAGGAAACCATTATCCTCAAGGGTAAAAAATTACTTGAATAAACTTCAGAAATGATGCGAAATTCAAGATTAAGTACTCTTGTTGATCAGAGAGCAAAGTACTTCGTCGTATTCCGGTACTAAAACATGCAACACCATGCAATGCCTAACAAATGATCATAATATGACCACTTGGATTTTATTTTTGCTGCAAAAGGTTTGCATGGTTTCCTACAGATTAAAATGAACCTGTTCATTAATTCAGGCCATGTTTTAAAAATTTATTAAGTGTGCTTTAGCTGAATATGACAGGTAAAACAGGAAATCATTGGTCCGAAGCGCAAAATTTATCGCACAACACAACCAACCAACTAATATACCATGGACGATGGCAAGCATTTATTCAACAATGCAATTTTGATAGTTAGACGAAACCACTGACCGGATAATTATTCTTGAATTTATCTTATCGGTAAAGGAATCTTTAAAAAACTCGGCTACTAAGAATTGAGGTGGCTCTTGAGAGTTTTGTGACAAAATGCCCCAGTTCCTGTTTATTAACGGTATAACTAATGTCAAACTTCTGTTCAGTTCCCGCAATCTAAATATGGAATATATGCGCTACATCTTGGCTCATTCTACGGTAACTTAAGGCACTAAAACATTGAAACATAGATTTCAAACATTGGCTATCTAAAACACTTAGCGAATTAAATATTTTTGAGATATCATGGCTAAACTTGATTATGATAACTGACACTGTAAGGCACAATGGTAGTATTGACCAAGATTTTCTTTGAATATTTCCTTAAAAATCTTGCTACACAAAAAAATAAGGAAAACTGTGCATTAATTTGTGAGACCTGGTGGACTGTCTACAGATGGTGACTTGTACATAGTTGCTAACAGTAAAGTTTAGAACGTTAGATAAGGACTTAAGATTGAGCATTTTTCTGAACAAAATGATAAAATTATACCGTATTATTACTTTTTTTGATAAAATTCCCAACTCAGTACGAAACCTTGCTAAAGGTACAAAGGAACCAAGACGACAAAAGTTTTGGGTCCTGTTTAAAGAGGTTTTGTTATGATTACAGCGAAACCATGCAAAGACTTAAGTAATTTTATTGAAAAATTGTTGATTAAGGTGTAAAAAGGACCTCAGAGATTTTTATGTTGATTCTAAATTACGCATATTAGTTCAGAGAAAAGAATGCGAAGGATGTACCAGTGTCGCCAATAAGCAGGGTTTAGCCATAAGAGGTAATGCAAAAACCGTGAATGATAAAGAAAATAATCGAGATAAGTTCTACCAAACAGGTTTTCCGAGAAATTAATGCAGATGCTGTACAAGAAAACTTGTAGCAATGTAGAATGCTTATACAAAAATGTGTTTGAATTTGTCTTGATTCATCAGTGACATTTTTAAATCATGCTGAAAATGTTAACGTTGAAATTTCAAGTCAAAAATAAAATTAAGAAGCCAGTAAACTGTCGCACCAATTTATTGTTGATGTCTCAGTCGTAAGTAAGACCATTTAGAAGTAACAAACTAATGCATTTTAAACCACACTTTCTTGAATGACTTCATAAAATTACTTGCTGTTTTTGCGAAATAGGGGGTTTTTTCATAGACATTTAGGGTATAGTATGTCTTGATACAATCAAAAATCGACAAACTTAATGTTTGTTAGAAATTTCTTCATTATTTACCATATTTTACTTCCAATTACGGTAAATTGCCAATTTGAATTATCAGTTTAACCAACTGCTTAATTTTATGACTTTACTAAAGAGCCACGAAGAGCTGCACATAAAAAAATACAACAGAAGCGCACTGACAAACCTCAATCATTTTTCTGTCCTTAACATTGGATCTTCTATTCTTGTTTTGTGGGAAACTTCGAATTGGCCTATTTTCTTGAACTAAGTTCCAATACCTTTGCATGTAAAACCTTAAAACTTATTCACATGTATAATAAAGTACTCAATCCCATCTCTGCCAAATTTTTTGTGGTCCATCACAGTGCCTATCCGCTTGGAGAAATCAAAGCTTTGACTGGACCCACTTCGGAGCATATTTTAAATTACCACTGTTATGAGGAGACCTTCATCACGTACACAACAGAACGGTCAAATAATTTAAGGCCTAATCAGCAACTCAAGAATTTTTAACACCTAGTGCCTCTATATTACCGAATCTTCTATCTTTTGATACTAAAGTGTGCGAAAATATAAATATTTCATTTTCTTATGTTAAATTTTATGAATTCATTCAGAGAAATGAAAAAAATATGAGCTTTGTTTTTAAAGCCAACCAATTAACTAAAAGTTTAAGGTGTGATATTTACAAAACATGAATGATTATGGTTAATTTGTATCCCATAACTAGTACTGTTGTTAGTAAGTCGTATAGCTTATAAATCCAATTTTGTGAAATTCATTTATCTGAATATAGTTAATGCCCACGATTTTATTAAATTCAATAATCAAGTATTTTTCATCTTTTTCTTACATAAACCTCATAAAGTAAAATAAAAAGTTTACTTTGTTAATGTCTTCTAATGGTAGCGAATATTTTCAGTGATTTTAAACACTCAAGCCTTAAAGGAAATATTTGGGGAGAAACATGGTTGATACGATTAATTTAATTTATTAAAAAAGGTCTTTGTCATCCCATTTGCATTTGTTTATTAGCAGTTATGAAGTGGTTTTGTAGGCCGATCTGACAGCAAAACTGGTAATTCATTCTTAGTCTTTCCATATTTATTCAGTTATATCGATGATAAGGAGACTATTTTTGGTTAACATAATCATTTGTTTACTTGCGAGGGTTAGCATACAGTTTTTTGAGGTCGCGCGAATACATTTATAAATGTTTTTGTAAACAGCCGAAAGGAATTTATGGGTGTGTTAGAGAGATGATGCGTCCTGGAGTAGAGGTATTAATGCAGTTTAATTTTTGCATATTTAAGCTGACAGTCCTCAAGCATATTTAATAATTTACACCATGCCGTTCAGACGTTCACGGGAATGTTTGCATCAGCAGTGTGAATAGCGCCTTTTTGAAAAACAATCAGAATGACTGAAAGGAAGGTCTTGAATGTAAGTTATTGATTGTAATTTCACATTTCCAGAAATACTTCCCCCCTGATTATGATCCGTCGAAAATCCCACGCCTTAAAAGGGGAAATAAGGGTAGACAGTTTAACATTCGAACCATGGCACCCTTTAATATGCGTTGTTTGACTTGCAATGGTTATATCTATAAGGCCAAGAAGTTCAATTCCCGAATGGAAACTGCAGAGGGTGTCGATTATCTTGGTCTTCGACATTATCGATTTTATATACGCTGCCCTGGATGTTGTGCTGAAATAATATGGAGGGTGTGTTCATTATTTTCTAGTCACCGTATATATTAGACCGATTTGGAATCCAATGACTACGTCATTGAAAGTGGTGCGAAACGGAATTTTGAGGCTCTTAAAACAGCTGAGGAGCTTGAAGCGAAACGGGCTGCTCAAGAGGAAGAAGAGTTGGCCAATAACCCAATGAAGCTCCTGGAAAAAAGGACTAATCAAAGCAAGTATGAGATGGAAACTGCTGAAGCGATTGACGACCTGAAGGAAATAAATAAGCGCCAAGCAACTATGGAAACTGATAACTTCCTTTTGCGGAATTTATGGCAAGAACAGGAGGCCGAAAAGGCTGCTATTGAAAAAGCAGATGAGGATTTCATAAAGTACGATTGGTTCTCTTCTGACAGTTTTTGAAGGGAAGTTATGGCTGCTAAGAGTAAAGGAGTACCGATCTCGGAAATTGCAGAGAAATATGATCCTGACGGCAAACTTGAGGCACTTTGTGTGCAAAACAACGAACCGACCCAGGTGGTGCCCCAGAAATCTCTTCCAAACTCGAAGCCTCCAGTGCAACGGGTATGGCTTTTAGCTATAGTTCTACCAATTATAGTAGTTTTTGTAACCTTTGAATTGGCTTTTTTTGTACTTAAGGTCCCAATTGTTATCCTTAAATTACTGGCCTCATTCTTTTCCACGACCATGTTTATTCCATCGTGTATTTGAGATGTCTACACATTTAGGATGATAGAGTATTTAATTACACAATGTAAGTTGCTGTCTGTAATCCTCCTAAAGGTTTGTTTCTCAGTCATGCTATTCGGTAGCATTTGTAAAATCCGTTATTAAGGTGCATTAATCACTCCTTGTCCGCAAAAGTTGGTAAGACCAGCCTATCACAACACACATGACCTTTACTTCGCCCGATCGATTGGCTTTGCTGTTGAATGCTAAAAGTGTTCTGCTCTGTGTTGTGCTTTACCATTAACCTACGCGTTAGCCTAGCGAAGACGCAACATTAGGCAAAATGACTGGCTCTTTTCCCAGGTCAACTCGGCTGATGTGGATTTATGCTTGAATGGCTAAGAGCCTTCTACTGAGTTCTACCCTGTCGAACTCTTGGGGCATTCTGTTGAAAGAGGTTGTGACAAAAAGACTTGGTACATGACTGCGAGCGGTCCATACTCCCAGTCGAAAAATTGTGGGGAGAACATCCATTCATCGTTTATTTCCTTTAACGGTACGGGGTAACATTTCAGCATTACTTTGTTGTATCTCTCTCTCGAATACACATTTTAAGGTATTATTATGCTCGAGTTATCAGTGGACATTAAATCTGCGGCTCGAATCTATTCAATCTAGACTCATTGTAATTATTAGAAGCCCATGGTCTCACTAGAATTGTGCTTTAGCATCATCGGGGCTGGGTATTTGGTAGTTTGGTATTTAATAATTCTCACTATGGCAGCAAAATTAATGACTATTAACAGAAGTATTATTACCCCCAAAGCTCGATTCCTTTAACTGCTGTTGAAATACTTTGCTCAAAGCTCAGAATAACTATTTGTCGGCATTTAGGCTGGCTTACATGCCCCTTGATTTGCGGGTTAAAACTTGAAGTGGCCTCGGATGGACTCCATCGTTTTTCTACCGATGCGGCTTGTGATGTGCCCACGTATTGCACGATACCCTATCCAATAATGTGTGTGTGTGCATACGACTGACGACCAACATCATCATTCACGTAAAACCTAATTGCATCGTCCCGAAACATGCTACATTGTAGACGTAGTCGTTTCGGACAGTGGTAAATGTGCACCACCACTGTTGGCAACTGTCTGGCGCATCGGTCTCTTACCATCTGTTTACGCGCCTACATCCTAAGTGAATTCCGTTGGATATTGCTCCCCGGAATTAACCTTTTACCGTGTGCCACTTTAAATTCCCTTGAATATCACTCTACCTTCAAGTAAATGTTACGCCAGAAGGTTAAGAAGTAACTCAAAACTATAAACTAATGCTAGTCTTTTCTGCCAAGTGGTCTCCCAATCGCAACTTTAAGCAAGCCTTCCTTTTGAACCGCATGAACCGACGTTTTATTAATTTTACCGTGTTATCTGTTTTGGGGATTGCTGGTATTATTTCATTAGAAGGGGATCATCCCTCCTGGGACTAGTTTCCACTTAAATACCTAGAAATTGTACTACATCCTCATAGTTTACCCATAAATTAAAACCCAGACAGTGAACCCCAGATGGTCATCGGTATTGCCAATAGTAAAATATTTAATGCCTCTAAGCAAACGTGTTTTCTAAGTGGTACTGTAGTAAACCATTATCACATTCCTGCATTTATGTTGTGCCGTACCAATGGCCCACACTCCACTCAGTTGTTGCACGAACAATGTAAGTTAGGAATTCAATTTCATCATGACTGAAACCTGTGGTCATTTCGCCAAAATGTGATGCAACGTGTGAAAGTAAGAACCATCTGCAAAAACACCGAAACTTCGAGATTTCTGGTTGGCTTCGTTAATCAGCAATTTCGTTGTTATTGTTATTCATTTCCAAAATAACTTTTCCCATTATGTCAAACGTGAGTTCTTAGCACACACCACAATACCAAAGCTCCTAATTTCACTGTTTTTCAGATGCCCACGGGCCCGTCAACTAGTCATCGTGACCTCATCAAGAATGCCATCAAGAGGCGCTCTGGCCCTACAGAGCCGATGGACTCGAAGAAGGCCCAAGTGCAACCGGAGAAACCCCCAGGTACCCCGCCCCTAGACAACCCCCTTGGCCTCGCCTATTCCTCAGAAGACAGCAACAGCGACTGACCTCGAACACGTTCCTTGCTTTCTGTACATATGTTTCATTGCGGGGCCAAAACCACCATGTTCTACCTGACTTCGGTTTTTACTAGTTGTGGGGCGCAGCCATTACCTTAAGTAGTCTCATTTCACACAAAACGATCCACAGAATTTAGAGGAATGATTTGGCCTCTGGTTACGCCGAATGGATTATGACACGACTGCGCCAAGGTTAAGATATCTAAAATACTGTTTAATTGGTACATGGACACCGGTTACAAGTGTGAATCGGGAGGTCTTGAATTGGATTACAAGAGAAGCAAAATGAGGTCACTAAGATATTCTCATTAAGACAAGCGTGAGTAAAATATCAAAGAGAACGGCACGAATTTATAGGTTCATGATGATCTGATTAGCAGTGTTGATTAGATGGTTGGCACAGTCCGTACCAATGGCCTTGGATAGCCAGTTTTCCGCTTTCTTGGCCATTAACTGCCATTCAACTCGTCGGTTGATTTCCTTCGTGGCGAGAAAAGCCAGCACCAAGGCCGTTGTCCAAGCGTCCTCAGCGAGGTTAGCGTCTACAACAGGGAACGATTGGTTTTGTTCGCGTAACAACTGCAGTGTCGGACGTGATCACACTGGCGTAGCAATGTGTTACTCGATCGCAGTACAGGTTAACAGGCCTCGATAACCCTTTAACCAATCACGAGGAATAAATCTGCACAAGGTTTTTAACCCCAATCTAACATTGCATGGACCAATTTCGCGGCTTGGTTAGTGACTGTTCATCGTCAAAAGTCGACGCTAACGAGTTTCTTCCGCCACTTGACTTGAAATCTCACAAGCGCTTCATCCGTTCATGTCAATTAAGTGCAAGGTTGTGGTGTTTTAGTCGTTCAAACGCACAGTTATTCATTGCGCTGCAGCTAAGAAAGTGCAGCTTTTGTGTTGCACGATGCCAACAGGGTTTTGAGAGGGACAACTCACACTGAGGCGGAATTCGTTCCTTAAAGGGGCCGAATGAGAGGGCCTGAGCGAGCTTGTCGGACCAACGCCACGCCCCGGAGAAGAGCTGGGCCTCAGCAATGCCGGAGATCACATCGTGGTACTCCAGGTCTTCTTCTTCGACCGTGTCGTCCTCCGCACAGGACTCATCTGGACAAAATTGCAAAAGGGGAACTGAGCACCAAACTCGAGATAAGCACATGGGTCTTAGTTTCCGCCTTTTAAAACAGGTAGAATATCATAGAAACGATAATGTATCACTAAATGAAAGCTTTCACAGTTACGTGGGTCAGACGTTGCTACTTTCTGCATCTAGTTTGTTCCACTGCAAGTGGCTTGGTTGCGAAAACCGCGTACTGAACTCCGTTCAACCAAAGCGCGAAAAAACGGCTCTAGAAAGAGACAGGTTGCCAAATTCTGGGGGGAATGCACAAGAAAAGCGACGATAGCGATGTGTCCGAAAGCCGAATCAATCGACTGATGGGCATGGGAATTAAAATTTGCAGCACAGGCAGAAACTCGTGCAGTGGGGCTTATCGCCACTAGAAAATATGGACATTTTCACTTTCTTTTACCTTTACTAAAGTAAATGCTTATTGCAGATCGTTCCTTGCCGTCAAAATAGGCAAAACGGTTGAGTACTGAGTCAACGCCTAGGAGTGAAATGAAAAGGATAATTTCCATTTTCTTCGCCACTTTTGTCCATAACCGTTACCCAGGCTTAAACCGTCCCAAAAAGGACATCCTCTGCGCCCCCGCGTAAAGCTAACTTGATGCCACTGCCCACAGGAAATGTGACGTGGAAGGAAAGTGAAAACAAGGCAACATTAAGTTGCCTGAAATTCTTCCACCACAAACTCCACCTAGAAGAAAGATGGGCCCCACCGCATAGTGATCCCAATCACCAAGGTATATTGCAAAAAAAGTATGGAAGTAAGCCATTCATCATCTGTTAAACGCAGAAATCATCAAGAGGAAGCTGGGACAATTGGGGTAGATTGTAACACAAAGTTGCATTGTTAGTGACCGTTTTAATAGGCTTTTCACGCTTTAAAATAAATCCTCGAGATTTCGTAGTATGGTGCACTTCGAAATCGAAAAAGCAAAAGACAACTGTTGGGGGAAATGATGGGGTTTATCTTCTTTTAACGCCTATGAAATAACTTTGCTATTTACTGCCGCGTGAATTCCGCCCCGTCCCGTGCAAAGTGCAGCAAAGGAATGAATTTTCAAGGAGCGCACATTCTAGCAGAGGACAGGATTGGTGATTTGTGAGGGCAGTTAAAAAAAATACAAGCGGAATCTACACTTATGTGTAATTCCGCACCGTGAATTTGAACCCTCTCAGCGCAATACATGTAGCAAAGAACACGGCAGCAAATCTAGATCCACGTATCGTCAATAAGAGGATTTCAGCAATGCACGCTTATCCTAATTTTCAAAATGTTTTTTTTTCAATAAACGTCAGTAAGAAAAAGTCACAAATGCGAACTAGTTTGAGACAAGTATCGGGCGTCTTTGGGCGACAAGATCCAACAGCATTTGCGCAGTTGTTAAGGTGCCTTTTTACCAAACAGGCGCCCTTTTGCAGACTTTGGGCACATCACAAATTAGCGCGCCAAATACAAATATACAATAGTTGGAGCTATCAAACAAGCAGATTTTTGCGAGTATCAAAACGAAATTAACACACGAGCAATTATCGAGATAATGTCGCATTTTGAAAAGACTGTCGACTTCATAAACAGATCAGTAATGCACAGGCGGATCTTATTAAAATGTGAGCAAATGAAAAAGAGATAAGTTATCGGATGGAGTAATCACTTGCTAACACTCAATACCGTTACCATCGTGATTACAGCAAAAAGAAGATCCAACCACCAGACGTGATCAGGATTGGACAATCACCAAAAGGAAAGGCGGTGATTTGAGACCAAAAGATTGATGTTATTTATGGTACAAGCGCACATACTGGTATAATGTACTTGTATTTACATACATACATACATACAAGTACAGCTTTACTCAACATTACACACAGATCTTCGATAAGCCGAGGTTTAATCGGGTCTACATGGTGCGACTTGTGACCAGGAGAGGTAAATTTATATTTGTTTCATAAATTTGGGCACCTTAAGAACAAAATATCTACCGACTTATTAGGCTAATAAGCGGAGGCAGGAATGATGAGAAATAAAGGTGGCGGGTACTAAAAAAGGAGCAGACGAAAGCCAAACATTGCAAACACAAAGACACGTAGGCTTCGAGGCTGGGTGTTCAAACAAGCCGACGGCCAAACAGAGCTGCTCAACTCCATAAAGCAGCCAAAAAAGGTGCTTTAAATCACCTGTCCAAGGCGGAAAACGAAAGACTTACAGCAGGTACAGCCTGGGTGTTTCGAAGGCACTCCGTCAAGGCAGTCCGCACAAGTGTCTCTTCTGATGCCTATCGGAGTCGTGATGCTTATTCTCCCAGTGTCCCTTAACTCCTCCGGCCTGAGTCCCACGAACGCGGTGAAGGGCGAAAGAACGCTCGCCGACAGTGACAAGTCAACTATTTTCTGGAGATCATCGTCGCTACTGGAATCGGCGTAACGATCGAGTAGCTCGTAGAGCTGAAGTTTGGCGGCATATCGGTGCAGAAGTCGAAGGTCTGAATTAGTTTCTTTAAAAGGCTGCGAAAGCACCGCTTTCAGTGCTACCAGTTCCTCGTTTATTTTGAACGATAGTGTGACGTCGCCTTGCAAGGAAACCACGTCCTCTTTAGAGAAAAATAGGGACGCAAATTGAAATGAGCTCCAAAAAGAAAAGCATTAGTTGTAAGTGGCAAAAAAAGAGAGTACTTGTTTCCCGCGGCACAAGGGCGAAGACGGTTGTGAAGACGTCGGCGAAAACGGTACTCACAGACGAGGGAACCTGGAGGACATCAACAGCGGACCCAGAGGACCTCACCAAGTTCCAGTTGACACGCACATCCGTTACCCAGGGTTGAAGAGCACAATTGAGAATATCTAAGACCGCCTCTCGCAAGTTACCTCTTAATGGGCGAACACATAAAAGGCAAACTAAACAAATGCAGAGGGAGGGGGGCGAGAAAGTGTAAAAAAATTTGACTAACTAAAACCACCGTTCCAGCAAGTATATCATACACTTTCACGGGTAAAGAGTTTAGTTATGAGAAATTTATGGGGTAGGGTTAATGCAGAGTATTAATAACTTGCAAATTAAACCCGAAGCATCTATCTTCACCATGTGACAGGCCCGGATAAGTACAATGCAGACTGACGAATTTAGACAAGTAACTGACACGATCATTGTCATCTAAGGTGCCTCGAAGATTCCCATAACCTATGTGTATATTACACAACAGGCTACTCGAAATTCAAGCATTCTTATGCTAGTTTATACAGTCAAAGACTTGCAAAACAGAGGCACGTGTTTAGAGGAAACCTGTTTGACAGTTCCCGCTACGTTGCGTTCACACACAACACCGAAATGGAAGTTGCCTTTTAAAATGCAATCACGAAAGGAACAGGATATCAGTAGAAGTAACGGGCTCACACACGATGAAGCCTCATTAAGTAACGAGATTTTTAACAGGCGTCAATGTAACAAACTATCCAAAATGGGTAACTCAAACATTTCGAAGTCTGATTAATAGATGCGTAGTTAGTGATGTTAAACGACGAGTCATTTCGCCACCCAGGTGGTCAGGCGGTGGAGACATTTGGGTTGTTTAGGGATATTCATCGCAAGATATGTGTACTTATAACATAACACATTTTAGTCAGGTTAGGCAAAAATCGTGTGTGCGCGTGTGGAAAGCCAGACAGCAGAGCCTCTTTGAGTGGAGCTCAAAACCAGGCAAGCTCACTGCCAGACCACAGTCGAAGTTGTAAACAAACGTAGCCACTATCGAGCTTGCTAGTTGATGCTTCACTGGTCAAAGAAATTAAAAACTCAAACCACAGAGAAAGTACCCCTGGATAAGGCGCGTTGGAGTATCAATTTTAAGTGGGTGACGATGGTTAACAATGCTCTAGTAGCCCGAGGACAAACCAACCAAAATCGTTTGGCACACCAACAGTCTAGATTCAATATTACACCTTTTCTGGGCATTATAAAACACCTATTGTAAACCCGGGCATGTGGTTTTAAACCACGACGGCCCACTGAGTTTAATCTAGCCCGGACACGCTACCTTGTTATCTTGAAAGGCACGTAGAAGACCAGAGAAGACAGACTAGACAGCTCAACGCGATTGTATCAGTCGCGACACTGCGCATAAAAACGTGTCTGACTAAACGATGTCGTCGATCAATACAGTCTGAATGAACCTGTAAAACACAAATGGTTGAACGATCAGATGAATGAAACGGGCAGTGGAGGGGCGCATGAGCAGGCGGTTCAGCAAGATCGATAGAGACGGAGTGGAAATAAGATCGGAACGGGGATGGGCATGAATCAGTACGATGCACCACACCCCGGCACCAGTGGTCCACTTCATGGTTAGTTACGCACTTGCGGTAAATCCGAGCCAAACAAAGACACCGTAAGCTCCTGAGAACAATGTACACCAAAACATGGAGATCGCGTAGTTAGCGAATGTCTTTTCTTGGCTCACTCAGATGAACAGTCTTGAGTAGACGTAGAGTGATGGGGAGGGGCCGGGAAACGTTAGGTACAATTTTAGACAATGTTTAGCTGGGCGCCAGTTTTACAACGGTGAAAGTTCCGCAGAGGAACTTACTCTGCTGATCCTGATCACATAACAGTCAGAAAATGGTGTAGGCGGGCCTAGCCCACAAACATGACTCGAACAAAGAAATCCCCCAAATTTTTGATGACTCAGCACGACACAATCGCTAAAATAAAGCAACGTGGAGACACGCAGGAAAGCTTAACACACACACACACACACACACAAAAGATAAATACTTGGAGCATTAAGGTTATTCGAATCATATTAAACATCGAGATCATTTAGCATACTGTTGGGACTATTCTGATGACCGCCAATGCCTATTCACCAAACACCCTAAACTTCAATTGCAATAGTCGATTATTCACTGTTGAGGAGGTGTTAAGAGCTGAAGTTAAGTAGAAGACAGCCCCAAAAATTGTTTAAAATGAGGGGGAGGACAAACCCATCACGAACGAAGAGGGCCTTTCCCCTGCCGGCTCTGGAGATCCCCGAAACCAGGGCAGTGCTGGCTCCATTGCCCAAGCCGATTGCTGAAAGGCGCGTCGTGGCAGAATTCTTCCGGACAAGTGCAAATATCTATTGGGAAAACATGGGAAAAAAGTAGGTCATTTGGATGAGCCGATGGACTTGCGTCTCCAGTGCAACTAGAATCAACACCACGCAGACACTGCCACTACAATCTATAACTACTTAACGGCTTTATAAACAGTCGCTTCAAAGTTCAGCCTTGCTTAAAACCGTGCCCAAGCCGAGGGCGGAGGAAAGAATGCACATGTGGCACGTGTTCTTGCAAGCAGGGTGTTTACTGTTAGGTTCTATCCATGAGATAGAATAATGTTCAGAAAACAACATCAACTTCCAGTATGTGTGTGACTTTTGCCGTTGGCCATGCTTAAAATCACCCTATTTGGCAAACGTGAAACTAAACACAACTAATTAAACACACAGTTAATGTTGGTACTCACAAATTACTCCCACAGTGACGACCAGTAGGTCATACCATCCAATTTGAAATTTTCGCAAATTTGTGTTCAGTTTGCACATTCACTTGGACAGTGAAGGCAATGCATCAGGAAAGGCTGCCGTTGTTTTCGAGAGAGGAATTCGTGATTTCAACCTCCTGTTTCAATTTTTAAATCGGAAAGTGTACGATGCACCTGTCTTTATGGATGATTACCTATTCCTAATTCTATTTATTTACTGCACAGATTCAATAGTAATTCTTTTTAGATTATTTCCTGGTACACACACTGCAAACCTTTGAGATTACCCTTTACTAATTTTTTTATAAGACGGCATTGTTAAAAAAAGACCAAATGATGCCCAGCTGGTAACTTAGATTCGATAGCTGAAAAGGAGTGGCATTTCAGTTAGGGCTCCTACAACACACCCGATTTCAAATGAGCGCTGTGCGTGATGCATAGTGTTCGAGGTGCGCTGTGATCCGATAATCTAGTTTGCACGAGAAACTAGTTCGTACAACTAACTTGTAAAGAGATACGTCAATGCATTCAAGGTAAATGGCGAGCCCCAGGATTGGTCAGTGGAGACACTCAATTCTCTACAGCGAATATCTCATTTAGAACTCAACCATAAATAAAATAATTGGCTCCTAAAATAGTCTGAGAACTAACCTCAGAATGATTGAAAACATTCCCGTCGGTTAGAAAAATGATTTCGCGACGCCAGCGTTCCTTAGCTCCAATCATCTTGGATGAGTAGACTGCTTTGAGGACAGGTAAAACTTCGGTACCACCCATGTCTGCTTGGAGTTCCTGTTGGTACTCCAGAGCTTTACAAATGTTTGCTTCTGTGTAGTCCTGGGGCCTTAAAAATCGGTAATTAAGAAATACTTATTAGGTATTAGGTATTGCAATGAAACATTACTTACTCGGAAAAAACCATATTGTAGGATGAGCCAAACCCGACAACCTGGAACCGGCATCCGACAGGTAGTGACTTGAGAAGAACTAAAAGTGACTGCCTTGCTTGATTGATTGGTCCGCCGCCCATACTTCCTAAACACGTGATAATCACGTACATTATGCACATCAATAATGCTAACATGCGTAGGTCATGCTGTTCTACTTGCCTGAACGATCAATAATGAATATAACTTCAGCATTCTGTTCAATTGGAACCGTAAAGCGGGGGAGAAAGTTTGCAACCACGCAGTCGAGGGCAAAAAGTCCCGATTCATCCCTCCCATACTCAACTGCTGTTAAGGTGTTGGCACTGACGTAAGTAATCTCCATTTCTAGGTCATCGGTGAAGTCAAAATGACTTGCTAGTTCAACCTGAGACGAAAGAGAATGTGTCACAGAAAGTACGTGCATTTTGCATGCATTCACAGTTTGCAAGAATTTTAAATAGACTTCATATTTAATATCACATTCCTTCAAATCAATATACTGAAACCTGCCTTTGCGAGTGTATGCTTGTCAAAGTAGAGGGTGGAAAAATGCTGCCTTGGAGACGAAATGGACTGAATCCGAGTAGAAGACTTAATATCAGCAGAGAAATGAAATGTGTAGGATATGTTATGGGAAAATGATGGCTGAAGAGGCTTTCCAAACTTTCGTTTGGAAACATGACCTACATTGAAGTGTAAGCTAGAATAATTCTCACCTTTCGGGGCATACCTCGAGGAAATCAGAACAGGCAAAATAAACCTGGCAACAACTTTGTCGTCCTCATGGCTCTGAGTGGGGCAGTTCACTGCGTCCAATTGTAAAAAGTAAGAAACATTAACGAGCACCGTTTCTTTCGGCGGAATATTGCCTATTTTCATCGAGAACACATCCTCCATTTCTTCGTCTTCTACCATCAGGAAAACTGTTCTACAAGAATCAGCTGCTTCCTTGTAAATGTGCTGGGCCTAAACTTAAAATGCTTTAACAACCTATGTAAGAACGAAAAACGCACATAGGAATATCTGTACCTCGAGCCTGTCCCTGCAAACTCCTACAAATTTTTGATTACCAACACAAACTTCAAATCCATAGACAGCACAGCCTGAGTCGATAGGAAAAACAAATGAAGACTCCAAAAGCTCCTCGTTGATATTTTCGTAGCGGTAGTTACACGTGACATCGGCGAATAAGTTGTGTATTTTGGCAATTACCGTAATATCCTTTAAAGGCAACGTTTTATCTTCATTGCAACTAGAATCACAGTTTAAATCTTACAGCATGACCATCAAAAGACAAATTACTACACAAACTATTCATATGAACAGCTATTCAACAAACAGTGAACAATTTGGAAACGCAACAATATTGCGCACCACTTCAGGTGGACGTCAGAGGACAATTCTTGTCGTCGCAGAGACTGTAGACAACCTTACTTTAAAGGGTTGCAATAACTGGGTGCACCAAGGTCACGCGCATGCAGGAGCAGTTGCACCGCCTTCGAAAGTTGCACGCCAGTGTCTCCCTTTGTAGCAACAATATCCTATTTATCCGTCTATTACGATATGGAGTACTGCCAGAGCACTAGTAAGGTTTAGTCTAAAAAACCATGTAAGTAGGCTTTCATACCTAAAGTGCCAATCATTGTTTTACTAAGCAAAATACAACAAATTTCAGATCACATTTTTTTGAAAATCCAGCATTTAATTAAAATCCGATAAATGCGGTCACGATGCCAAATTACTTAAGAACATGTTATTATATTTTGCGTTGGTTTGATGAACGATTTACAGGTATTTTGGTTAAGTATTTGCGGGTAAATGTCTAACTGGTGAAAATTATTGAGGAAAAGGGGTTAAGATTCAATGTGTGGGAGCTTATAATTTGTCTATTCACTACACAACAATGTTATGCGAATGGATAAGGGTTTCTTTCTTCGAATACTGCCAAGTTTATCATCTGAAAATTATAACTCAATTTCTGGGTTTGATTCTGATCGTTGTCATATTACGACATACCCGTATACTATGCAGGTAAGACTAAGTTTGCAGTGCTGACGTTTGTTCAAACTGATGACCCAAATATAATCATTAGGCCGTTTGGCCTCAATAAATATGCTAATGTAGGAAGTATAATAAATTTAAAAAATATCATTACTTTAACAATGTTGAGGTCGTTTACCACACGAAGTAACCTAGGCAGGAAATAAGTCCCGAGATGGCGGGCACGACCATTTACTAGACCACTCAACAAAATTGTGGGGTGTACTTGAACATTTGAATGGACATGTAAAAAACAGGCGTCTGTGGGGTCACATGGCCAAAGCGACTGATGGTGGTACATGCAGATGGGTTAATGAACTAGCAGTTGGAGCGTATATTGGAAGAAGCTACGACTGGGTTATTTTACTTGAATCATTACAAAACACTGCAACAATATTTAGATATATGTTTTTAATTTATTTTATACAGACTGGCACATGTTTTGATTTTGTTTTCTTTTATTCCGTTATGTAGAAAATTGGAAATCGAATATAAACTGATTTCATGCACAAAATATCTGCAATAAAGACAGATAGGTCGCTATAAATCTAAGAACCTGACACTACATATACGGACCTACTCTTTCTGACATGCCCTAGTGAACTCTTTCATTAACTTTAATGTCTACAAATCCCTTTAAAAATGACAAACAAAATCGTTTACTTGCTGCTCATCAGACAACTTGATGTCTCGAGACGGAGGGTGTTAAAGACAACGAAAGGCCCAAACCTCAAGTTCACAGATTTGGACAGTTCGAGAAACAAATACATTTGTCATAAGAGTATCAACACACTTGATTGCAAATGAATTCGCCACTAATGACCTCTCAGGAATTTTGTATTGAGCAAATGTAAATGTGTAAACTTTTCGATATAGTCTGTCTCCTCTTTAATTTAAATCAGTTTTAAAATGTCTGTCAGTGTTACAATTTTCTAGTTATTCGATTGGCTTGTATTTTAAAGTCGACCGCTAGCCCGTTGGTCTGACCTGTTTATTCACGAAGGTTCTGGAATTCTTGCTTCATTCTTTGGCTGTGTAATGTCCCAGGACATATACCGAGTAACTTTGCTTCGTGAAGGTTTCGAGAAAACTGGAGAACGTGGACATGTAAAGCGTCAGTGTAACACCGTTTTGGTTAGAGGTCCATGTGGAATCATGTTGATAAATCCTGGTTCTCCTTGGGATGGACCTGCATTAATCGAGGCCCTTAAGAAAAATGACGTTGCTGATCCATCAAACGTTAAGTATGTTGTATGCACTGATGGTAGAGCCACACACGTTGGTTGTCTGAGCTTGTTTACAAATGCTGAGCTGATAATTGTCGGTCATGATATTCAAAAACCCGGGGACCTATTTATTGAACACGATTTTATGGACGACACAGTTCCCTTTGAGCTTGATGAAAACGTATGTTATCACAATGATGTCTATAAATAAGGTTTTCATTTATCATAAAACTCACCGTTCCTTTGTTTTAGCTCTCGATTATAGGTACGCCAGGAACAATGGATCAACAGGTCACAGTTTTTGTTAAAGGTGTAATCACCCCCCATGATTCGCTTGTCGACGATTCACCAACAAGCCCTGTTTCAATTGCCATTACTGGATCGATTTTTACAGACGCGGATGATGCCGCTAGCACAGGCGTTTTCCACAATAATTTCATCTCAACTGATTTTCGCGGGGAGACGCACTCATGCCTCTCTATGTGGCGCCGAAGTCGTGACCGCTTACTTGAAAGATCCGAATGGATCTTTCCTGCCTTCGGGAGACCTTTTAAAGTAAATTTGTTCAGCATTTTTTTGCCACACGCTTCTGGTTTGCCTTTTAAGTCGTATTATCTATCGCATCCCATTTTTTAAATATCAAACTCGATCGTCTAAAGCCGTTCAATAGCCTTTTACAATATACACTGATTACTCGTCCGTTAGTTTGCTTCTATTTCGCCCTCTATAAACCAATCGATATTTCGTAGGTTTCTGTCATGTCATCGTTTGCATGCGTAAGTGCGCTCTCTATGGACCGTATCGATGTATTTATTTTACAGAAATGTCAGCTCTGTAATATTGTTTGTGGTACATTGAACCTTTATAGCAACGGCGTCTTTTTGAATACTTCCACACTATTTTTTCTCTTTCAGGTAAAGCCAGAATTTTCCAAAACACCATGCGTCGAATTGGCTTAGTTTGACGCACACCAACTGGATAGTGATCGCTGAAGCGAATCAGCTTACACTACTCCCCATAAACCATATTGTACCGTTCTTTGTACTCTTTGAAACCCAATCGATTCAACGCTTATGCTGCTTCTGTTGTAGATGGCGGGGTAGTGAATTCAAACTTATTCTTAAATAAAGCTTGTTTGTTCTTTAGTAATTTTTGCTTACCTCCGGCTATCGATGTGTCAGACTATGTTTGGCCGTACTGAAAGAGCGTTTGAGTGCGTAATCAGCTATCTGACGTGGCCAAACCCTCCCTCTGGTTCTCTACTCACATTTATTATCATTCTTAATCTGTTTGAAACTGCCTTTTTTACTGATTTTTAAGAAATTTTTTAACTGCTCTTGTGGACTGAACTGTTGATTTGTATTCTAGCTTGGCTGGGTCGATTGGTTTATCCATCGGGCATCTACGTTATGCCCAGCTTTCATACTTTTTAATTGTTTTTAGTCGATTTACTTGGGTCCGATTCCTTTTTTGCATTGTCATCATCGCCCCCGATTTGTGTTTGCGGTCCTATTGGGTACAAGATAAGCGTTCAAGTCACGATGATAGAAGTGTAAATGTTTGTAATAAGGTGTCTTTAGTTAGTAAACTTAACGTCTGTGTGTTGCAAGACCAGATCTTATTCTTGTAATATATGATAAGTTACTTCATGGCTTAAGTGCTAGGCCGGTGTGATACTGTGCGGCAATGCACCCTAGATGTTTAACCTAGCGCGCAGCAGCAGCTGTTCTTCAGGTCTCGCATACTTTCAATGACCGTGTAAGGGCCTCCTTGTATTTTGCGCGTTTACCTTCACAATTTACCAGATCTTATGTGCCTTTAGTTGTTTTGTTACTCAACTTTTTAAAGATCCGTCTGGGTTTCACTTAAAACCGCTGCTGCACATTCCATACCCCCTGTTTACTATTCTGAATCCAACTGCTTCAACTTGCTTGATGTGCTATTCTTCGGAACTGAATTAGATTTATTCGTACTGTAGTCAATGCAATCAAAATCTGCAGAATGCAAATACTCTTATTGTCAATCGAAGTTATAGTAGCATTCATAAAGACGAAAACTGCTCCAGTGAAGTAGTTGAGCAAGGTTTTGTAGCTTAGTTTAAATTGCCTCCCAGTTAGTTGAGCGCATTCTCGCTCATGAGATGATGCAAGGAAAGGCTGCTTATGTTATCATTAACTAGCTATAGTAAAAATGTTCTTCAGCTTACTCCGTGAAGGAAGTTGTCAGGATAACAGCCAAAATAGATCAGATTTACTGTAACCACCACTTCAGCCCATGTTGTCTTAACACGTTTCCCACTCTTTTCAGTCTGGTGAGTTATGCCCCATGCGATCTCAGCTGCTTTTGCGAGGAAATTAAAATGCCCAACTTCGGGTCCCCTCTCATTTCTTCTCAACAATCTCAACCGTCCTTTGAATCGATTCGCAGTGGAAAAATGTCAGCTAAAGTAGGTCCTTGATTGTTTGCGCTATAAATTGATCTTTTGCCCCACGTGCCCAGACCATGCTCGGCTTTTTCCGGTCGGACACTGCGTTCAAAATCTGGAAAAAAAACATTAGACCCGCGTAATCCGTCGTCCATTGGGGTAGTAATGCGCAACTTTGTAAGGGATTTTTCCTTCGGGAGTATTAAACATCTTTCGGTGATGGGTTGGTTTAAAGATTGGCTTCCGTATTTTACGCACGATAACTGTGTCTGCATCCGTTCTCGTGATTGATTTAATTCTTTCCATACAAGATTTACCCAGATATGCGGCTGAATTTAACTCCTCATCTCTCAATAACAATGCATGATTTTCTAACGAACGAATGAAGACTCACATCGATCTTGTCGCACTTTACGCCGGTACTTCACCTCAAGTTTTCTTTCCAAAACAGACATGGTGTGCTATTTAACATTTCTAATGTTTAGAATCCCATGTGGAGAGTGAAAACTCATGAGTTGTTTAAAAAATGATCATTACTGTCTCATTAAGTTAGTGCACAATAGTCCCCGGATAAAATACTTCCGATTTTAGCACGCCAGTGCATTCTGCACGTTCCTGACGGCTAAGCCCCTGAAATTTACCAAAACTGCTTATTCAACTGCAGTATATTTACCAAAGCTGTTTTAAATGAGGTTGATAATGAATTAAGAGGTGCTGTTCTCTCGAACCAGCAGAATATATCCGAACACGGATTATTCATCTAGGACACATCGCGACCTTAACCTCACCTTGGCATTCGGCCTAAAGCTAGTAGACTGATCGCTCGAGGTCTGCCCACGTTCAATCCTTTTTTATGAACTCGTTTGTGTCAGATATATCTCTCTTCATAGGTAAACACTACTTTTTGTCTAACCTAGTAACAGAAATTTGGTGAACCAATAATCTAGTCGCGCATTTTTGATGACAATTTATTATTTCCGAAATGCAGACCAGGCCAGCGAGTACTAGACGTCGGCTGTGGTTCTGGTATTGGATTATGGTACGCTGTTAAACGCGTTGCGCCACACACTGTGTCCTACTTACGTTTTAACCCACCTGCCCGTATTCTGGGCCCTCAGTGGCTGGCTCGTCTTGGCTTCGGGTCGCTAAAGGTCTCAACAGATCTTGACAAGGATGGAGTCGTCCATGGCCTTGACATCTCCGTCCCAATGGTCATGAAGGCAAAAAGGTGTGTTTGGTATCGTATAAGATTTAATTGAAAGACCCGCTCATATCAAACACCACAACACACTCAAACAGTCAGGCAATAAACGTACGGCACTGTTATGTCGCCCTATAATCAAGGTTTAAAATGTAACTTGGATTAATGATATTTGTAGTTGGTTAATGGTGTTCTAGATAAAGCCTCGAGTTAGTGCCTTACTCCTTACTAAAACAAAGTTCTAGTGCTTGCTTAATACGTTATCGAAACCAATATTAGATTATGGAAGTTAATAATAAATGTTCTACTGGTGAACCAGTCCTTCAGACGCTTAATGCACTTAAAATTCCAATCGAATTAAGCTTCTTTATTTTTCTGCGTGACAGTAATCTTCACCCATACATCAAGGCGGACAGGGTCGTTCTCCATTACGCTAACGTACAAAATCTACCTCTCCAAAACTCCTCCATAGACGCATGCTTCCATGTAGACTCCTTCTACTTCTGGCCCTCTCTGACCAGTGCCTTGGAGGAAATATGCCGTGTACTTCGGCCGGAAGGTGTGGTAGTCACAGTCTTTTCACCTCAGAGGATTCGCCGATACACTCGTTGGGGCTGGTTGCGTTATGGCAGGGCAGATCCGCTTGCTTATGCAATGGCCCTCGAATCGACAGGGTTCTGTGACATCGAATGGATAAAGGACGATCCTAGGGCTCCGTCTGGAGTTCATTGTATTCGAGCACGAAAAGCCCCATTAAAACTCCTTTCTTAGTGTGTCTCCCCTTAAATCAAGCACTTTTAAATTGACAAACTTTTAATATGTTTAAAGATAAACTGATAACAAACACTTTGGGGGACTAAATTACACAATTGCACTGATATGGTAGCCAAACGCAATAGGGCAGAAAAGCGCTTTTGGAGGAGCAAGTAGGGGAATGGAAATGGATATGAAGGTTTGCCATAGGAGATTTCTCATTGGCGGTATTATGCACATTTACAGACAACAGGAAGTATCACGAGCCACAGCGGTTAGTAATGGACCTATGCAACAGGCTTTTAAACAATAATACAGGGGGCAATCACGTACCGGCCATTCTTTTCGAATAATTCGAATTGTTGAGTTTTGGATTTGGGGGCCGTAAAGTGGGTTTAACTGCGCGACAAATACGATCAACCAGCTAAAATTAACCTTCGTTTGAAGAACTGGACTTACAAAAGGTAGCAGCAAAACGATGTCATGACAATCATTGTTTGAATAAGACTAGAGAATATTTAAACATTTCGCACTTAGATACCTTCTATTAGGACCCTTTGGTATGACTAACGGTGATCCAAAACCGACAAGGGCCCAAAATATTGTCACAACCGTTAAAGATAGTTCATAGCCCATTGTTTCCCAGTTGTTTTTTGAGGGTGAGAAGACGCCACCAATCCCCTAGTGGACCGCCTTCGGAATTGATCGATTAAACAACGCCGTCAATCAATGGATTTTGGAAGGATAAGATCATTTTTATCTGCATTCTAGCTTCTTAAACTTTCTTACTTGGCAGACTTAACCTCAGTATTTATATAAGTTAAAGAATTAGGTATTTTAGCAAATTAATGAAGAAAACAGATTTAATTTTGACGTTAATATTTTGGATATATTCGCATGTACACGCTTCTATAACACTTTTATTAACAATATCTAGACACATGAAATTCGATCTCTAAATTTATTTTGGATGTTAATACCCTAAATGCGGTCATTTTTGATACAAACTAAGATTTAAACTTTGGATAATCGTAAAACCGATTTTTGTTTTTACCCGGGTGGAACTACTCAATCCCTAATATCTGAACTCACAACGAGGAATTTGCTAACGGCAACGATGTCACTGTTTTATCTACCCCTGTGCTAAGTAGTCGCCTTTTGTTAATTTTCCTTTTAAAGTCAAACTCTTTTCTCCCCCACGTTCGACCGATTTTGCGTTGATTATGTGCTAACAAGCGAAGTTTTTTGCTAGGATCCAATTTTTCCGCTTTTATTGTATTAGCGAGATCAAATTGCTACTTGCTAATGAGTTCTCTTAAGCGGTCTCTTTTACCACTGGGATACCGAACCCTAACGGAAACAGTTTGTCCCCTCACTGGCTTCGCCAAGCTGGCATGAAGAAATGCCACTACCTTCCATCCATAATGGCTCTCTTGTAGCTATTAGTAAATCGGGATGGATCCAAGTGATTGGAATAAAATAAACTCTAAAGTGGTCAATTTAATATATCATGCGGAAAGTTCTTTATGGACTTTATCTAGTTGAATTACTGTTTAAGGGCTCAACCGGACGTTGAACGCTCAACAACCTTGCCCAGACCCTCCACTGACAATGCCAAGCCAAAATGACTATCAATCAGAAAACGTGTTGCTTTCTTTCAGAAATTGATCAAATCCCTTGACCTCGCAGTGTCAGATTCAGGACTCTCTCTATATCTAGACAAAGTTGACAATTAATGGCCTGCTCCTATCTTTACAGATAATACGCAATTGTTCTTGCGCCTAACTTGCTATTACCTCTTTTTCATCCCCACCTAGAGCCTGATCGCTTTCCCACTACAGCGACTAACACAGACGGGCAGAGGCTTTGAATGGACGAATGAGGATGGAGAGGCTTCCTCATAGCTCAAGCAAGCGCTCATCTCAGCTTTTAGCTTGATTTTACCAAACTTAGATCCCAAACTTCCTCCTACATCTTTGACATAGAAGTGAGTGACCACGCCGTTGATGAAGCACTAAGCCGACGATACGTAAGACGTCATAGACTATGTAAACCAGACTCTGGATAAGATGAGATGCAACTACAGCCCCACCCGGCGTGAACTCCTGCCCATCACCTTGTTTGCCAAATTATTCGTAGTGTTCCTTAATAAAATCTTTTCGTCACTCAGTCTATGCACCGGACTTTTATCTAGCTATTGGAAATCAGAGAACTGGAGGGCCGGCTTACTTATTGGTAGGAAACACATCCGACTCTGACTTCCGGCTAGAATTTCTCTGGGGAGGAATCAAATTAGTGCGGACGCCCTAGCCAGCCTCTCGACTCCGAAAGCCAACTCAAGAACGACTGGCAACATCGTCATCAACACTACCATCTCACGCTTAAACTCAAGCAACCGGATAAAATTCCAAGCGAAGGACCCAAATATGGTCATAGACTATGGTTAGCAGCTGAACGGCCAACGGAAACCATCAGCAATTGGGATGATTGGTCAATGCCAGAAAGCACACGCCTCACGGTAAATATGTTACAACCTCTTCCTCCACGACGACATCTTTCACTTTCAGTACGACGTCCACTCTTTCATCTTCTAGCAGTCCACCAGTCGGTGTTGCTCACTGTAATTATGGACGTTGACAACCCGTTGGATTACTATTGATGAGGTAAGGGTATGCGACAACTTTTCTGGTCACTCGATCTAGAACTCTGATCGCAGCCTCACAGCCCTTTGTCCAATCAGTGACCTCAGGCTTCGTCAGCCAGTGTCTCGGCATTGACTCATGGACTCCTTTTCACAATCACACCAAGGAAACCGATTTCTCCTGGCCATGGTGGATTTCTTTTCTAATCAGGAAGCTCACACTGTCGCTAATGCCATCTAGCCTTAATGGGCCTCTGCCATTGCGTTTTCGCTTTCGATTCCACTCACTCCGGTCAAGGATCAAGCTTTGAGCGCAGGCTTTTCAAGAAACTTTCTGAGACAATGCGCTACCTGAAGACCCGTGCCACCCCTTACGACCAACTCATAGTCTAAATTCTACCGGCTTTACTTCTGCCTTCTTGATATTTGGATGCTAAATCCTAGCCTCTTTTGATACGGAGTTGTTTTCCCGATATCCGAACACCACCAATTGCAAGACAGGAAATATCGCCCAAGAACACCTTGCTTGCAGCCAAGAACAAGAAAAACAATCCTACAACGGCCAGGCATACATGCCCCCTTTCAACCAGAAGATTCAGTTTGACTAGACCAACCCTACCAGACACGCAGAAGTTACTCAAATTTGAGCAACCCCTAAATAAGCTTTTTATTTGTAGCCCAATCACACCGCATCCGGTCTATCTCCAACCAATTTTTCTACCCCTTAATAGTACACGTAAAACTCCTCAAGCCTGGACTCAAAGTGATTCCCCCGCTACCGCCGATCCTATGCTCGTCTTGGATATCTAGGTTAAAAATACTGCAACACCTCCCCACCCTGCACCCCTCACTCGTACCGATAGTACTGCTTCTTCGAACAGCGTGGCACCGTCACGCACGCTGATCACCATGTCAACCAACTGGTAACCACTCGGCTTTTACCCTTGTGGGCCTGCCCAATTCGTAATGTCTTAACTCACTACGAAGTCACCGGCCAACAGGTCTGTTTGTAGTTGCCTTCGCCTCTATACCATATAGTCGTCATTGCAGTCATCTCCCTCACAGCTAATCTATCGCGTGTTAACAGAGTGCCAAAAGACAAAGTTTTATGTTTGTCCCCTATTTCTTCTAGACTAGAGTCCCGCTGCCATGTGAGGCTTTCACTACTACCAACACTTATTCAGCACGTCAGCATATTCACTCTCAAATATTTTTTTATAATCACGCAGTGGTGCATGAAGTTCACTCTGTTTAACAAATTAAATCCTTTTATTCTGATGTGTTTATTATAATTCGACGTAAGTCATTTACGTTTTCTGGTGTTGATTCTCTAACTACACAGAAGGTCAACGTTTGCGCTTACCTCCAATCAGAGCCGGGGTGCTTTTGCATTTGCCTCTGAACGTTACTGAGGGCACATGTGCTACGGTAACTGGGAAGTTCTTAATTTGAACTTTAAAAGTCTTGAACTATACTTTTGAAATTCCTTTTTGAATTGTTAGGCGCTTTTGCGAAGCGGACCGGAAAGTTTCACATTTCAGACTAGCCTAACTTGCACGTCAGTTAGGCTAACTGTGGATTGTTCAGCTAGTTACACTCTGTCGCTATTAGTTATTGTTACATTAAATGTAGGTGCTTGATCTGGTAGAAAATTGTCAATGAAATTTGGATTTAAGAGTGAAACGTAGTGTTCCAAACAAAAATTTTTATGGACCCGATGAGACGACCACTGTCTATTTTGTATGTTTGATTTTGTTATCAATAGAAGTCTTGGATATCCAATCAAGTCTGAAAACACTTGCCGAAGTTGAATGTAGAATGAAGTAAGTTAGCTTATTTTAACTTGTGCCACGATATTTATGGCTTTCAGCAAGCATAGTAATTCAAATTAAGCATAGTTCGTTTCATGGGCCCAAAGTGCTTAACGGCAATATGCTTTAGGAAGATTTCATTTGCCGTTAGGATCAAGATCAAGGAAATTCGAGTGAGTTGGCTGGCTGGTTAGGCCTCACCAGTCCAAGTCAGACTTCTATTTTGCATTTAAAGCAGAATTATACTGGACGTGTGACTTATGAAACCCAGTTCTGAGTCATTCAAACGCTCACGCACCTGTAGAATAATTTAGCCAGACGTCAACGATTTCCTATTTAGCTACACCAAAAATGGCACTGCAAAGTCTAGCCGTGGCTTGCTACGTGAATGAAGAGACTTTTATTTGTGACTTTCCCTAACCTCTCATTCATCCCCTCAGCGATCTTGTTTTCACATTGCACAAGTTACCCCATAAATATGCCCCAGCACTCACTAAGCTGCAACAAAGAATCTAGCGAGTGAAGTGTAACCACAGTGTCCTCCTCACTGTGGTCCCTTTAACTCACCTCACCCCATCTCTAGCCCTGGGGGTGGCTACTAATTGCGTGGTTGTAGGTTGGATCAAAGCCCCATGGTCAGGTCTGGTTGATGCATAGTGGCTTACTAGCAGTACCTTGCAACCATGCTAGGTAACATTCCATAAAAACCCGAGAATGGAGAGAAGACATTCGACGGCGGATACGACCGTTTATTACTGTCACTCCAGCCGAGAGCGTCTTTGAGTGTGGAGGAGTGAGCGGACGACTGACGCGATCACTGACACCCTGCTACAGAGGTTTAGAAAAACACGTGTCTACTTGTGCGGAATATAATGCAAAGAGTCGGAGTGATGCTCATCGTCTCAGACTACTGCGCCCTTGATTAACACAACATTATGCATGCAGAGGGTGTTTCAGCGCACAGGTCTTGAGCGTTGCCAAACCCATGTGTTGATTAAATAAACTTATCGGTTCACTTAATCAAATGATTGCATCTTTCACCTAGTAAAACTCGGACAGGTTTGAGATCAAAGGACGTTTTTGTTCAATACTGCTGACAAATCTAAATTCCTTTACTTAAATATGCCTCATTTCCTAAATGTCAAATTTGAAGGCACTTTTAGATGTGTTTTAAATTGACCGGTACCTCTGGGCAAGGTCACTTTTATGCAAATGCGCGTAAAGTGACAGTTTAACACTTATTTCTCTTAAAAATTAACAAAGCTTTTCGACTAACCTTTAGTTTTACCTCACGTGAAATACCTTTTGTATGGGCTCGCTCTTGCCAAATCTAACTTCAATTTTGCCCGCGATTCAAGCGGATCAAGTACAAGTCCATGCCTCACTACCTTGTGCTCTCGATCCTTGGACCAAAGTAATTTAAATGGGCCCGTGTATGTTTTCTTAACACCAGAACCACACTTGTAAAAAACCGGAAACAAAGTTGGAGGATTCCAGAACTACTTTATACACGTTGGCTCTTCTCACTTAAAAAATGTTGAGTTGCAGACATAAACGGCTCAAAATAAGTACTTAGCAAATGAAGGTGATAAACCTATTATTATGTACATAGTGCGCATCCAACTTAGAGGTCAAGTTGTGGTTCCGGTCGAAGTGACTGCTACTTTACCCACCTACGATTTTCCTTTCACAAACTGGTCACATTTAAAATCTGTCCGAGGCACAAAGTGTCGTTTTGTTAGAGCTCTCAGGGACGCTTCGGAGACTACTCGAACTTGTCTCAATGCATCGGTATTACTTGACTTGATTTCCACACTGAAATCTCCCTTGATTGGTATTTATCGACTTTCAGTTCCTCGATGTTTTACAGTTTGTTTATTTTTTTTTGAGACAATCGTGAAGTTCTCGCTGTGACTAAGTAATTTGGAGCCGATGAGTGGTTAACTTGTGCTCACGAAGGCACACATGGCAATTTGCATTAGTGTTTCACGTAGCACTGAGTCCTTCCTGCACGTGACTCAACATCTGCAAAGCGGCCGCAGATTTCGCATACCCGCCTAATTTAAAAGCCTCTGCATTCTTCATGAAAGTGCTTCCCTATATACCTGGCTCTGACTTAGTTTTTACGGGCTCTGCAGCAATTTAAGTACAATCACACTTCAAATGTGTGAACTTGAAAAAACTAGGGATGTTTTTTTAAAGTAAGTTGAACGTAAACGAAATATTACCGTGGATTTTACTCAAACTCCGTCACCATTACTGCGAAGGTTCCTTGCGTTGGACACTGAGGGACACAGTTATGACAGCTTAGCACTCTGTCATTCGGTGATAACTTCCTCAAATGAGTCAAAATGGACCAATGAGAAACATCTTTTCCTCCTGTACTTTCCTCTGTGCAAGATTTCGCACCATTATTAGAAAGAAAAAAAAAACAAAAAAATGCACCTTTTCTACCGCCAAATTTATCTTTCGGATTTTGCTGAAATGCTATGAAACTAAAGAATGCCTGCAGTTGCAGTTTTAGTGTATTCATGCGGTAACAAATCTAAATTCTTTTCTTCTCTCTTTCTCCCTCTCCAGGATTAGTTGTCATTATTATGCCAGCGTTGATTGCAGCTCGCGCGTGTCTGCCCTCTTCAATGTAATAGCGACTCCTAGATTGTTAAATAGAAACATCAAACTCTGCCGAAAGAAAATGCTAGCACTTGTGAAGTGTAACCAAATACTATTGATAATTAGGCACAAAATCATCCCGAAGCAAAAAGTACTCAAAAACTGACCCAATTATTTCCATGTGTAACGGTAAATTTTCACACCATCTTGTCGTTTTTACTTTCCTTATTATCAAAAATGGCTACTTAAATTGCCATGAGGAACCTTCGAAAAACAATTTTGTCTATCATGCGAGGAGATCTTTTCTGTGAATGGGATTCCAAAGCTCCCTTGATTTACCACATGAAGCAAATTCAAGGTCGGCATCAGGAATCTAGTCCATCGACGATTATAATATCAGCCAACATCAACGCAAGTCAACTCACCAGGTGACATTGATTTCACGAGGGATTGCATTGTGCGCGATCGGTGTTTGAGGCTGCGACGCGATGTATCGAAAATGGGAAAATTGCTTTTCTGGTTATGAAGTTAATTCAATTAAAGTGGAACTCAACTCACCAAATTTATGACCATATGCTGCTAATATTTATAAATATGAGTCTATCTTACATGCGGCAATGCTTACCTGCTTGGTTAATCATTTATAATTGTGAATTTTTTTCCTATCCAAAAGCATATTTCTGAGGGTTCGATGTCAACTAATGTTATTCAGCATCTCGGATTTACATATTGAATTACGAAAATAAATTAAAATGCAACATTAGAACCAAAGTAGATGAATGCGGATTTGGAAACTTTAGCCCATTATTCGCTCACCCCTGCAGATTTGTATCGTGCGCTTTTATCGCCATAAAACGCGTAACAGCTAAGTGTTATTTCCCAGCTCTCGCTTAATCATTCACCGCGATTTATTTGCAGAATTTGCTGACTTGAATATAACAAAGCATTTTCCAAGTTACCATCATTCAAATTTGAGGTAGCATTGACATGTGCCGGGCAAGCGCGGCAAATTCGCGTTTTCGCAAAGACACTTAAAGGCATTAGCATTTATCATTAGGCGCTGGACGCCTGTGGAATCCTTCTCACACGCACCCTATCAACTTCGACCTCTTGTGTTTACTGTTTGCATGATGCTCCATGATGCATTTTACATTTCTGGTCTACTAACATAACAGAACTCTCAGCACTTTACTCCGCACTAGCTGAAGCATTCAAGAGGGTGCAGCGGCTCCCTTAGGGCTACCTTACAACCCTGCATCTCGATCGTCAATTGTAATCGACAATCGATGAAATTCGATCAACTCGAGAAAGAGCTTCACTCACGCTCGTTTGATGAAAGTTCACTACAATTCGCCAATTTCTACTTTCTCGCTTCAATATTTTGCATTGTTTCACTGCAAACTTAAAAACTAGGCATTTGAACCTAAGGCCCTTTAAGGGAGTTGTCAATAGACCGGTATGAAACAGGTTAGAGTGCTTGAGCAATACGCACCCAAATATTGAGAACCGTTTTCTGCTAAACAGGCTTTGAAAATATTTAGCTTGTACGCTGAAAATCGCCAAATTCCTTAACATCATAGACAAGTCTTCCGGATATCAAGTGACGACAAATTGTTTTTGAATGCCATTAGTTGATTCCTCGTGGTTATAACAGCTTGTGATGGGATTTCTTTAAATGAAAGTTCTCGGTGTTCTTTTTCCCGGTTTGCCTGATAGATGGTGTCATTTTATCCACTCCAAAGATGCCATAGAGACCTAGATATTAACATGTACAGAGGCCAAAACAAATTTTAACCATTAACTTGAAATTTTGGCGCATACAGAGGTCGAAGTCCAAGCGATCCCGCATCCCAAACGAAGTCGCACCTGCAGTATTTCTTTTAATGTCTTCTAGACAGATCATGACTATTTTGTACACACTTCATTAAGTTACGCATCGGCTTTTGTTTGTGGATTAGGGATGAACGTTAACGGGTTACTCAGATGCCGTTTGATTTACCCTGAAGCAACGTATGTTGTGCCAATGGTAGGAAGTGTGTGCACGGATGGTGCGCAGATCACCATGGTGACCAGCGCTCACTTCCTGGCTGCTCGAGTGGTGGTGTTCAGGCGGTGCGACGAAAGAAAGGGGCAGATGCTCTGCGCAGATTGGTGAATGCACAGGTCACCACTTGAACGCCTCACTGCATGCGCCCACACACACACACACACACACGCACACTCACACACAAATGTGAGTGCTCGCATTCCTGGCCTGTGAAAGACACGGGACACTGCTTTATTGAAATACATTATTGGCAAGGTAACAGAACGTACATTCTATTAGTGCACCCCTTTCAGCTAGTTTTCCCTGTAAAAAATTGAATTTCCTTGTTTCATTCCCAACTGCCCTATTTTGAATCATTCTTGTATTTAAAACGTCTTGACAAAAAATCCCCAGTTTTAACAGCGTCGAGTGAACTTCGGTTCGAGCGTCCCATGAAACATTCAGGCGTTATCAAACGCCACAAAAAGTCTTAATTAGGGGTAATCAAGAGGACTCGGAAGTTCAAAACTGCGTCGATACCACCGAATATAGGTGGTATTACCTTTTAGCTCAATTTCTGTAAAAATGTTTCCATGACTATGCTGGTCAGTGATTTGGTGCCACGTCAGATTACGCTTCTTTAACATAAACCGTGGCTCTGATGTTCAGTTGCTTTTCCTGGTCTATTTATTCGCATTATGTCATATTTCGAAAAATATTACGTTTTATTTTATCTTGTGACTTTATGAATAGTTCCAAATTCCGAGTTCATATTCGGTAAAATCGAACACACTAAAATTATTCACATGTCTAATTGCGGAATTTTGATTGGGATCCGTGAGGTTGGTTTTGTCTTGGTGATTTGGGTGTGTTCGATCTTGCTACCGTGATTTTCAGTAATCCTACAGGATTCTAACTTCAGACAAAATTTTCGAATTTACTAATTTAAAACTGTTTGTCTTTATTTCTGCCGATGCTACCTCATCCTTAACGAAACAACTGATTACCGAACATAAAATTCTGAGAAAAACTGCTAGGATATCGGTGCTTCCTACGTGTCTTTTCTCTTAAATTTTATAGTTGACTTTAAAATGATGCCAGAGTCCTCTCCCCTGGGAAAGTACCGCTTGTGCCCGAATTCGACGGTAAAATTCGCCTTCTTCGTCGGCATCGCCCTGCAAGTGGCAACGCTGTGCCTCGGGATCGCGATGCTCAGTCTGGGCGGGTGGGTGACGGTCACGAAGTCGGCGGCGTCAGTCGCATCTGACAGGTGTGAACCCTTCCCTTGATTCCACAAATCCCATTAATCTTTTACTCCAAGTTTGCTTTACACGCCTATGATGTGCCTTGGTGCGATTTGTTGCAGAAAGTACCTATTACTAGGTTTAAATACGTGGCATATCTCCCATGGTGGACCGTATAAAATAAAAATAGTAAATCCGATGGACAAATACTGCTCCCACTTACCTTGAATTCGAATAATTTTAATTGCTCTTTTGCTTTAGTTACGTTATGCCCAATATTGGGGCCTAGTTAATTAAGAACTTGCTGTTGATCGCGTTCATTCACACTCGTTAATCCGGTCACTCCAGCCTCCGACGCATGGTCCCCCCTTCCGCCAGCCACGCGGATCCCCAACTCCCCCTCATTAGCGTGAACGATTATCCTAGATTATCCTCACACCTAGGTTTCTTTGTCTGCGCATCTATGTTCACACATCTGAGGTACAAATACTTAAGCAAAAACGCAACAAACGACACCAACTTGGCTGAGCTCTGGAGTAAACGGTTGTGTCCACGTCTTCTCCGGTCTTTTTTCTTCATCACGGGTAGCAGAGTGGCATAATCGGGCCAGATCCAACTCATTAGCCCTGGCGTGGTTCAAGGTCACATGATGAAGCCCACAACAAACTATTAGCTATGATCACCTGAAATTATTCACCGATTAGCAGTTCTCGGTCACAAATAAGAACGGGACTAAGGGATTCCCATAAATTCCGATTTTTTGCAATAAAACCAATCCGTTTTGTGAAAATAAGTAGCTCTGATTATGTCCGATACGTTTTTGCAACCTCACGACTCGGCTATCTTAGAGACTCTGAGCCTTGTCAGTACAGTCAGACGTCGTATTTTAAGTCATTTTTTTCTTCATCGTAGTTTCAAATGCACGACACGCTAGCAACATGATCATTTTCGATGTAATTTAGCTTTTGACGCGGCTAATGTGGGTTCATCACGTTTTTTAGCGAGTGGTGATTGGTCCCAAAAAGTGGTGATATCATTGCGTTCATGATGCCCATAGTAAATACTAATTTCCTTAAATTCACTCGGAAACAAATGCCAGGCTTCCAAACGAACTCATTTGGGACACATTTCGTTCCTCTGTGATTACAGAAAACTTTTTTGGTGGCCCAATTGAATAATCACTTTAATTTTAGTCATTATTGACATCAGTTGGTAGGCCAAAAAGTTGGTCATTTTTGGGTGAAAAGTCTTCATAAAAGAATTATGCGATAGGAAGTGGCCTTAAACTAACATCTACAATAGATCTTAGGCGCAATTTAGCATCCAAGTTCTCATAAACAATGCTGAGCTGTAAATACTTCGTTTTTTTGTATTTAAGATTTTCGCTAACTCGGGTTGAAGGACTTCTGCAAGACTGTTATCCAGGAACCAAGCCTGGTGGGTCTCCTTTGTCTTGGGTCTTATGTAAACATGCAAATGTTTTAAATTTTCCCCCTCTTCCATTCAGCTATTTTCGAGCCGCAAACTAGCAGCAGTTGCTACACGAAGGACTTTGGCCAGTACGCAACTTCCGATTCCTCTGCGTTCCAAATAAGTAAGTTAACGACTTGTTGTATGCGACCTGGGCAGAAATGAAATCTAACACGTTTTAATATGAGTACACCAGGACATTTCACAATTCCCGATCTCATGGGTAGAACGTAGCTTAACAATTGAGGACTCCTGGCTATTGAGGGTGTTTGCATATGACGATTCGAGGCAGAGGTTTCAGATGTAAGTGTGTTGAGTTGCCTTTGGCGAAATCCTACCGCCGTTCATGGCCCCTGGTCCTTTTTTGCGTTGCCATAGTGCAGTCGGCATTCATACCCCAGTGCACCACAAGTGCGAAGCGAGGAGGAGAATCATCCTGGACGGAGTCCACTTTCCATCATCGGCAACAAAGTCCACTTCACACAGACCTGCATTTGGTCTCAAGGTCTGCCTCTTTCCAAGGTCTTGATGTGGGACTCACACCCACACCCTGGGCAATTAAAGTTATCGATGGGGCAGCGGCCCACTCAGATACCAAGTGGCCAGAGCAGAATAAAAAGTCGCAAGAAACGAGTGCTCAACCGATTACTGCCCTCGTATAACAGTTGGCTCATGAATGGGGTGTAGGTCGCCTGTGTCCTTGGTGAGGTAACAAACAGCACTTAGTGTTGATACCAGCAATTAGTAGGGTCAGGTGGCTCTGATAGTGAATCCGTGGGGGTGGACCAACAAGGTTCCCGGTCATACGTGAATCGCAATGACGGACGCCAACTTGACCAGATTCACCCCTGTGAATGGATGCCACAAATCTTTTAATCACTCAGGTTAACTGAAAGGCGGGTCATAGTTTGGGGTGCATTTTATACGTGACAATCGATGGAGGTTGTGTTGAAAATGTTTGGGACCCACTAAATGGTTATCCAAGTTCAAGTTATTGGCACAAAGTCGTTGGTCGTCACCGGGAGACTATTAAAACCCATGGCCAGAACCTAGAGATGGTCATTACAGCCTGACATTAAAAGTACAGTTCTTTCTTCTAGTCAGGAATTTTAAAAGGTCGAATAGAAGTATGATACAACAAGGTGGTTGTTAATCACTGAGCGATAATTAAGATTATTGGGGTTAGTGTGCGTCATTTTGAAAAGTCCAAAGGTGAGTTTATACTGACGTGGTTGTTGAGAAATATTAATGTAGAACAACTCTTGAATCTACATCGTATTCATAGTCTTATTAGCGCATTTGAGGTCCGATCCGGCCATAGCCTCATCCATGTTATGTGAAAACATTGTGAGTTCTGGGTAGACGGCCAGGAACCGAGCCTCCTCAAGCACATTTAGCATATCCTGGAGCTCAGTTTCTGGTAATATCACTTGGCCAAAATCTTTTTGGACTTGTCCTCACAGAGATAACAACGGCCGGAGCCGCATTGGTGTCGCTGGGACTGCTTACCTGTCTGCTTGACCTCATAATCGGTCTTCATCTGGCATTCATATGGTGTCGAGCCCCCTATGATTCCTTCTTCATGAGAACGTACCGTCTCTTTGTCGGATTTTGCTCAGCTGTCACGTGTGAGTTTGTTTTCCCACCTGGGCCGAGGTACTACTGCTAAGTATCAGGACCGTTACACCACTAAGGAAGTGTTTTTAAATAACTGCGTTTGATCTCCGTTTCTGTTGCGTTTCATGGTATAAAATAACTGCATGGACTTACTTGGGTTCGACCCATTACCAGATTCAGCAGAGGCAGAATACAGGAGTAGGTGGAACAAATTAATAAATGGCATGAAATGTAAATTCTTGTGGGACAGAATTCGCAAACGCACACGTTAATGCACAAATCCGGCAGAATCTTGGGAACGGTAAAGACTCATATTTTGTGATGACCAGAACTTTTTGTCGTCAAGGTAGCATCACTCAAATTCTTACCTCATTCTCTTACTTACTGAGTAGATATCATTTTCCAAGGCAAAATATTCTCGAGTTATTGTTCCACTGTTTTTCGGTTACCCTAAATGGTAAAGTCAACACTAGAAACTATCAGAAATGTCTGTAGAAATGAGCACAATTTCTAGAACACCCTCTGTGATTAAACCTTCGACAGAAAATTGTGGCGTGTTTCCAAAAGTCAGAATGATACTTATAATAGTTCAAACGCTTTCTCGTTTCCTAGACAGCATTCAACACATATATTTGCTTGAACGTTTCGTCTCTTAATTTTAGCATGCTTGTTTATCGCCACGTTGGTCGTTTTCCATGTTGGACTTCGATTGAGCATCCAGCGTGGACCATGGGTAAGTTATAAATTGCTGCGATGTAAAATAAGCCCTTTAACAAATCGGTCACCAATCAAAATGCAGCTTAAAGTAAGGTCGATTTCAGGACGAGCGAAAAGTGCAAAGTAGTGTTGGGGATTCAGTAATTACATAAACCGGATTGTGCTAATTAAGAAACCAAGACAAGCGTTTGCTAGTAGATCGTCGATCAGGATTTTCGGACCTCACGATAGTTATCAAACATCGCGCTAAGGATCAAAATCAAACCCATAATAATCAGCCTGAAACAAGGTGCAGCAGTCCCAGCCAATGCTATCAGGTACGAATTTTTCGATGATAAAATGAAAGCTGATGCAAAAGGCTTCATTGTAGAACACTTTGGAGCATACATCTATCGACCTCAACAACGGCTACTACGTGGCTTGGGCATGCGTGGCGACCAGTGTTTTGGCCGCGTGGGCTACCGTCTCGTCGACGTGTTTTTGGGCAATGGACTACGTCAACTGCCGCTCCGTCGCAGCCGCCTTCCATCCAACTTGTTCCCATCGAGCATCTGCCCTGTCGATGACCAATGGCATTCGCAGCTCTATTTATAGTTTAAACACCGATGGCGTGGTGAGCCGTGATTTTGTTTGCAAACTTTTTAAACTCTAAAACGAAGCCTCAATTTCGCTCGTGCAAACCTTTCTAATATATCAAACTGCATTAGCACATTTCGAAAACAGATCCTTAGAAGTGGGCATTTCTAAAATCGAGTCTATTGGGCGATTTTGTCAGTGAAACTGAAAGAGTTGCCAGCAAAACGCGTAATTTCTCAATGAAAAGATGAATGTTTGCTTTGTCGGATACCTCTCTCCGTTGGTCTTAAATAACTCTAGCATCCAACATGGTGTTGCTTGCTTTTTTTGCGAATTATAGATGCATGTTTCACAAGAGTATCTGCGCGTTCCTTAAGACAAACAAGTTTCACTTTGAATACCGCAAACAAAATCATGGAATAGTGTATAAGTCAGACATCGATTAAAATGCTTGGTACACACAAACGTCTTCACACTTTGCCCACTTTTAACTGTCAATCGTGTGAAAAGAACTTTATTTTTTTTACACCAATCTCCACATGTGGTGCTTAGCAGTTGTCACTGCTATCGACAGAGGTCAGCTGTTCTGCTTGAGCGTTTTGAGTTGTCGCGCGTAAAACTTCTTTGTAAGATTTGGCTCATTCATTGTGTGATTATTTTCGCATCATTGCAAAGGTTGTTCCCCATTGCTTCAGTTCCTCAAATTTTGCACAAATGTGGGAAAGTCGGCAGTTTGCATTTGATAAGAAGGATGCATATGAAGGGTAAGTAGAAGCCAACGACCCAGAGTTCTAAGAGCGACACCTAGAAGTCACTTTTGTAAGCCTTGATTACAACCAAACAGATTGACATGCACTCTCGAAATGAAAGTTAACCCAGAGATGCAATTTGGAGGGGATATGAGGGAAATCGACCATCTTGATCTCTTCAATTTTCCGATCACCCAAAGCACCGTTCAGTTCAGAAGAAAGAGCATTCACTTGTCCACAAGGATGTACACGCTGGGAGTCTTAACTTTACTTCAAATTGCCTGACTCAAAATGTTCGCTACTGATCGCTGATCTCACCTGAAATAACTGCTGGTTTAGATTATAATGAAAAATTTCACGAAACTCTTGGTTGTTTGCACCAATTCGACACTTTGACTGTGTTAATGTGCCTTTTCCAAGTATGTTATTAAACGATCATTGCATAAATATGCAATGAATCAAAACATGCTTAAACATGTTTGCTTAAAAGGAGAGTATAAACCTCAGCAGCAATGTTCGGAACGTTTGTTTGGATTGTATTTCTGCTCTTTTGCCTAATTGAAAGTGACTTAATGAATTTGAAAACGGTGACTTTATTGTAAACGAATAATTCGCTCTGATCGGCCTTCCAGCACCGATTTGACCATTTCCATTATCCAGTGAATATTATTCCACAGTGTACCTCTAAATGAAGTACTGAGAGACTAAATGCTGACACTATGGCTGCATTCTGTCATTTAAAGCAACTTTGATTTGCCTTGAAATTCCACAGCCAACGCGTCAGCAAAATGAAACTTTCCTGCGTCAAATCACTACCAGCAATGAAGAATTGTTTGTGTTCAACATAACAATAAAAAGCTGGAAGCCTGGAAGTAAAAGAGCCAAAAGTAAGGTAAAGACTAAAATGCGTGTCTGGTGGGACTGCAACGTAAAACCTTTTTTTTAATGTGCATCACTTGGTCACAGAATAAGTGCGTTGAAACACTGTAGGCAACTCGCCTCACCTCAATGTTGAAATTCCAGAAAATATTTGAATTTGGTTGATTAAAATGTCGACATTCACCATGCCTATGCTAGACCATTTGTCACACAACAGATACTGCAAAAACTTAGGGAGGTTAAGTGAAGCATCGCCTACCATCCTCCGTGTTCTCCCTACTCTGTCACATCAGATGTCGAAAGGTGATTAAAAGTAAGACTTTGAGTGCTACCTTATGGAATTTTTGCGAAATTGCACAGCACAGCTCCTACAAAAAATAAATTCAAAAGCTTGTAATTTTTAGGAATCAATACATTACTTTTTGCTACAATTTGATGCATTTAAGTAGATTTCAAATCGATTTCGGTCCATTGAAGCCACTCAACCACTTTCGCTTTCGCCGTTTCCCTAATCCGAACCTCCTTGGCAAAATGCTTTGTTTGCACCCTGCATCATGTGACATTCATCTCTCTCTCTCTCTTGTAGTGGTCCATACAGGACCCCCCAACGCTTCCGCGTTACTACACAAGCACGTTCGGCGATGGAAGCGACATCCGCAATAAGGCTGTCGACGCCTCCACGGGTGAGAACGAGGGGAGCAAAAAGAGAACTGAAAAGTAACCCAAGTGTGGTTGCCACTTTGAAGAGTCTCTGCAGCAACTTGTATTTAACCTGCCATGAGATCCGTAGCTAGCATTCTTTCGTTGACTTGATCGGCAATTCGGTTGATTTAAATTATCTCCATGTGTTATCCTTTTAATTAATAAATGTGATCTACTCTACCTGAAATAGTAGATTGTGGGTTGAAGTCTGCGAATTTAATGCTGCATATCAGAATATTGACAGCTGTGTACTGTGACACACAAGAAATTAAATGCTACTCATTAATCGGATGCTATCTATGCGCCTCTAGCCCACTTTGTAACGAGAATTAAACTGGAAGAATTGCACGAAACGTTCATAAAAAGAAGTCGAGATGCCACAGGCGACGATTCAAGAGCTGTCAGGCAGGCCAACGTTTCCTATATTGCACCGCTTTGCTCTAAGTGGTTTTGATCCCAATATGATTTCCACTGTAATCTTGTATCGATTGCTAAACAGAACTTCCAAGGTGAATCAAACCACAAACCGAATGTTTTCGGCAAGTGTATATTACTGATAATTGTAAGTACGTATTATCTCTTGCAAAGTGAAAATGACAAAAGGGAAATACTGGCCCTTTTAGTGTCACCTACACTTTCTTTCTGAGCAAAATAATGGCGCATTATCAATAAATTCGGCTGATGGCGTCGGAGAATATATGGTCTAGTTTAGGTGAAGTACAGGCTGAGAACGTCTGGCAGAACTTTGTAAATCAACAGCTTAGTATCAAATTAATGAACGCCTTCAACAAAATTCACCATTCAATCACAGACCCGAGGGACATCATATAAAAGGATATGATTTGCCCTTGGTGGAGAGCAGGACTTGTTCTAAAGTTGATTTTCTGGCTTTAGTTTAAAAATATTTACTTAGACGCTATATTTTCTGGAAAATTATAATTTAATTTATCTGAGCTTCCTCATACTGAGCCAAAAAGTGCCAAATGAGATCAAATTACACTTAAGCAAGAACATGTACAAAAAATTCGACAGCGGTGTAGCTAATCTGAGCTTTTTTGAATTGGATTCCATGGGCATGAGAACTGTAATCATTATTATTAATACCTTTTAACTTTTAACCCTCAGTCGCCGAAGCAAATGTCGATGTCGACGTTTGAGCCATTTTAAAAATTAGATTTGAATCATAAAATCTTGTGTGATTTGGGTTCTAAAGTATCAAGCACTTTCTTCCAGTTAGATGCAAAAGTTACCCAACTCATAATTTTTAAAAATAGCGAAAATTATTACCTACGCAACCAAATATCGCAGGCATCTTGCTATGGATTTCTAGACTCAGGATAGTGTATAGAAGTTTGAACTGATGCAGATTCATAGCCGCACTTATTGCTAAAATCCTCTACTATTCAGAGAGAAAAGGCAAAACTTGACGTATTAAACTAATCATAAATGCACTCAGAAGGTTTAATAGGATGTTGCATCATAAAATTTTCTTCTTTACTTGTTTAAACCCTAATTCAAACAATGAAGCAAAAATAAGACACTAGCAATTTCAGCAGTTGCTGTAAATAGTAGGAAATGAAATCAATGCAGATTTATCTGTAGTGTTCGCATCTGACATCTGGCCTTTACACATGATGCGACCAAAGATAGTAGATTCAGTCGTATTTTGGCTGTGTTGAATCGTGTAAAATTCACCATATTTCCAAACCGATTCAATAGTAGATTAGTTATTTACAATTTTGTACAGACCTTTGTAAAATGTACCGACATAGGATTTTTTACATTTTTAATTGAAGATGACATGTAGAATATGGATTAGAAAAAACATTGAAATTCTGCTTAATGAAGTGGTCCTATCCTGTTTGTAAAAAATAATATTTGAATTTGCTGCGGGTATTGAACATTGCTGGAATTATTGTCGATTTTTCTGGTATTGCTTTATTAACACAAAATAATGACATTTCTCAGCACCAGTTGCCAAAGTTTTGGGCTAATAGCCTTTACCTGCTATTGTAGCATTATAAATTGTTAGCTAGTGCTTCAATGATAGTAGTCCGACGTCTTTGACATGTCTATGAATTATGCAGATTATTTTTGTAATTCTGAAATCACTTTAATGTCTTTGAATCAGAGGGCATATTCTATCCTTATTATGTGAGAATTTCATAGGAAATCAAGAGAATGTGAGCAATTTTTTCGCAAATAACATGCAAGCTTAACCGTTTTTAGGATTGGGACTTTTGCAATAAGATGATTGCTTCAAAAACACGATTTCAATTGAAAATGTAGAATTAATTACGCAATTGCGCGAATATCAACTAAATGAGCATCAATAATTTTGAGCATTTTTGTTTAGACGAATCGTAATAATAGAGCGGCTTTCAGACATAAAATTCTCTCGTTGTTTTCTTTGCGTCAATTCACCCTAGTAGTTCTTGGGAGACTGTAGGTTAACGTCTTTTTTATTTACTATCTCAAAAATTTTAAAAATCTCAAATGTTACTATGGCTTTGTGCTTTAATTCATATCCTTATCTCGTATGCCTATTCATTATTCACCTACAAGTTCTCGGCCAGCACTGCATTTTTTTAATCCCCTACCTTTTTTTCTTAATGCCATTGCATACGCAATTGCTTTGGTGTAAGTATGTTTTAAAATCCTTATTATTAAGCTATGTTTTACTTCTTTTTCCATTATCTATCAAAACAAACTGCGTTAATTTTAAAGACAACTGTTAATTGCAGTTATACATGTTGTCAAAGCTCTCATCAACACTCTTTTCATTTCCAATGATTGCTATAGATAGCTGTGTTTCTTAATATCATAGTATTTTTATAAACGCAATTATTTAATTTGCCATTTTGACAACATTTTGATGTCTTTTTTTCTTATTATAATTTTCTACCAAGCAAGCAGACGTCTTAGAATGCCAGAATTTTCCACATTGCAGAATTAGGCAAAAGTAACAGAGAAGACCGTTGTTGAAAAGTTTTTTATCGAGTTTGACTTAGGTCTGAACCTTAACATAAGCTGTCAAAAAATTTTATATTTCCAAAAATTGCGGTAAACTTTGTAACAGACCTTGCGGCTCTCCGCCAAAACTGTTACCATACAGACATGCGTTCTTTGCGAGTGTTCATTCTACAGTATCAAGAGACGATTTTTAATATGCGATCTGGGATTCCTTCTTTTAATCTAGTGGATACTTGTTTATCAATTTGAAAACCCCACAAGCTTCAATCACTTCTGGTCCTCGTTTGCGTCTCCAGTCAATTCCGAGCTTGTGGGTTCGTAAGGCGTTATCGACTGTTTTGAGGGTTATGTCGTCCGGAAACCGAAGCTTTTTTAAGTCTTCGTTTTTTTTCCATAAATTCCTAATCAAGTTGCTTACAGTAATGATGTTATTAACTATGAAAATTCGGACTCTCAACCCCCTCGTTCCACTCTCACTATCCCGCAATAGCTGCTGTGTGTATAGTGCCCGCTAATTTGTCTGGAGGATTGCAAGCTCCATTGTTGAAATCTTTACATCTTGTCTGGCAATGGATGTCATACTGGTTTCAAAGTAACCCAAGTAGTCGTGTTTCTCAACATCTTACTTAGCTTGTAATTTCCATCCGATTGTTGTCGTATGCTACCGTGACCTGTTCTTCGTATTTGATGGAAATCCCGCGTTACTGAGGATGTAACTTACGTAATGTCAATTAAAGAAAAGGGAATAGTCAGAATGCAAATACAACGTTCTGTTCGCAAGGGGTGAAGGAGGCATGTTCTTGATGGGAGCACTTTGCCTCATTCGAAGTACGTACTATTAGAAAACCTGTTGAGTCCTTCATACAACGTCCAGTAGGTTAATCACAGCAGAGCATGACATTTTTTACTCCATGCCTTGGTCGTTGTTGTGACATGGCGATCTACCGATGTAAAAACACTGCGACAAATGTCATTCTCTAGGTTCAGTTGTAGTGTAATTTGACTTATCGGTAAAATTGATTTATTATTGGATGCTTAACTTGTTGTTGTTGTTTTCCACACATTTTACTCTTTAATGACTGACTGGAACCAGCTGCAGCTGCTGCTGCTATATACCCTTTATTATCTTCTCAAATTCCATTCCCGTTCTGAATATTTTAGTGCCCTAGACAATGGAGAAGGCTGTTGGGGATAATTCAGAAAATGGCGCTCCTCTATTGCAAGATTCTTCCCTAAAAACCGCTGAGGAGGTGAGCATGACCCACGAGAAGAAGGATCTTCTTGAAGCAGCGCAGATAGATTCAACAGAAAGTAAACAGGCTCAAGCCGAACCGGCAGGTAATGAAAATCCATTGTTTTCTGTTAAAAGAATCCTGAAATTTTAGGTGGCAACCCCGCGGAGGATGCAAGTAGTGACGCCCCACATGTGGTAAAAGAGGAGTCAGAAGCGAAAAATGCAGCAGAAGGGCCCGGTGGTGACGAGAAAAGCGCCTCTGAGGAGGGCCGACAGCATCGGATGCGAAAACAGGTCCAGCGTTTCTCCGAGACCCTGAGTAAGCGCTATGAGGACGAGCAGGCTGCACGGGAAAAGGCTCATGACGAGGTGGTTGCCCAGTGTGCCAGGGGTAGCGGCACTCCCCTTGGCGACATCCCCCGCATTGAGGCCTCCATCCGCAAGTGGAAGCCCGTTGACCTCAAGACGCTCCACCTAGCCTGTTTTGGTCGCGCCGGTGCTGCCTCCGAGGTTCGGTCAAACTTGCGCAAGTTCTGTGGATTCGCCTTTGACCGGGACTCCGAAGACTTCTCCAAACGCGAACAAGCACTGAGCAAGTAAATTTTGCTGATTGCACAACAGATGCCTTTTTTTTCACTGGTTGAAAAGCACCAGTTGACTTTCGCCACTTCCTCCTTCCCACTTTCAGGAAACCCGTGAAGGAAGTGCAGAATGCCCTGCGACAGCTTAACCTCGAGGTGTCGGGCACCCGGGCACAGGTTGTTGCGCGCTTGCTCGACTTCCTCCTAAAGCCCTCCTCCGACATGGTCAAGTACAAGGGCAAGTGTCCGCCGTCCAAAAGAAAATCCACCTCTGGACGCAGGTCTCTCAAAAAGAATGACAGCAAAAAAAACACCAAGAGTCCGTCAAAACCCAAATCCGGTGCGTCTGGCAGTGAGGAGGTAAGTGTGCTACACACGGAGATGCTCATTATTTGAAAACCATGACTAAGTAATTATCTTAACTTGGTATGGGTTAAAGAGCTGAACATGACTTGACAGATGGGTGTAATTTTTCTGCTGAAATTATTTTTAAAACAGTTCAATCTTGCTTCAAAAAGACTGGCGATTACCATGTAGTTCGTCAATTCCCCTTGGGCCTTGGGCTTGCCGATAAGCTACCGAAAACTGCGACGTTCACGAGCACTCATCGTTCACCTTTGCCTGGGTGTTAACCTGTGAGCTTCAGGTCCCAGTGCCTTAGACCACGTAAGGGTTTGTCGTTCACGTCTAAATCTTCGTTGTTGAGATCTTTCCTTGAATTTTGAACAGTTCTTTGTACTCGCTAGTTCATTCCATTCCTTTGCAGGACAATCAAAGTGGGGGTTCCGAGGAAGCAGACCCATCCGACGCGGAGGCAGAGGACGTGTCCGAGAAGTTGGCATCCTCCGACGACGCCGAATACGTCCCCGGCTCCAATAAGAAGCGGAAATCGTCAGTTCATACCAAATCCCCCCGGAGGAAGCGAAGGAAGGCAGCAGTCGTTGAGAGCAGCGACGAGGAAGGTGACGAGAAGGTGGAAAGCGACGAAGACGAGGAGGACGAAGTCCCGTTGGCAAAAATGCTTCCCCCTGCTCCGGCCTTTCCTAGCGACGACGAGCTCAAGTCGAAAGTCGTAGAGTGGTTAAAAACAGCCAACCTCAACGAAACCTCCATGAAAGCTGTGCGGAGTGCTGTGAGTTGACTCCCATTTTAAGTTGAAGATGGACGCTCTCTTCCTCTATGAACTCGCGCGTCATTGAGTGTTAGCATTGTACCGCAAGTGCGAATCCGTGGTCTTTTTTCAGCTCCTTACAATGTCTAATGCCAAATCCACAGGCCTCCCATTTGACGGAGGATTTCACTTGTCGAAGCCGGCACTTTTGTTTTAATATGACAGCCGCTGTGTGCACTGTTGGGCTAACTCGGCTGCAAGCTCTTGTTGCGTTTGCGTTGAGCCCTCATCCGGTAGAGGTTGCACTGCCGCATCTCCAAACTTTCGAGGCTGCTGTCTGGGATGCGGCCGGGCACTGAGGTCGAAATCGCCACTTCTAAAACGCTTGGGCCAATAGCTAAACGTTTAACAAAAAAAACGTCGGCTCCAAGAACACACCAAATTGATTTCCGGGCTTTAGAAGTCCTTTTTCCTTGTTGGAATTCGCATTAAAAATGCAGTGCTACCAAAACTGTTGTTTATCAGTTGCCATCGCAAACTCTGCTATTGTGAGAGGCTATGTCAATCACGTAAACTTGTCGTTCGGTGTTCTGTAACCTTGCGTCCGTTCCTTTCAAAACCACAAAAAACCCCAAAGCATATTTTTGTTGTGCTAAATATAATTCCAAGGTCGAAGAAGAGATCAGTAAAAAGCAAATTCCACAAACCTAATGATTCAACACTAATGCTTTCCACGTCATTATTTGGTCAAAGTTTCCTCAACTCTGCACCCGCAAATGACACGGATCAGGTTACCTTCTTCTCTGCTCAACTCACTTTAATGGCCCACATTCAAAAAGACGTGCATTTAGAAATGCCCGCTAATGCCCTCACAACGCTCAATTGTTAGCTCAGCCATTTGGCTCAAAAGTCCTCTTACGTATTCCCCCTTTCCTGCTTACCGCCTTTCACACCAGCATCCCTGTGGATCACGCGGGGGCGCTGGTGTGTGAAGGGCGACAGTAGTCTTGAGGCCTCGTAAGGTGAGCTCTTGAATTCTGTTTCCACCAGCTGCACGTTGTGGTTGAATGTTGAGTGGTGATTGTGGTTCTCTCACAATCCGTCTGGTTGGTTGGTGGTTCACAGCGTTCGGTTGTTTGTCCTGCACCTCCTCTCTTTCTTTTCCAATGCGCTCACTCCGATGTGTCGTTGTGCTTTCGTTTTCAGATTTCCGACCAGTACAAGGGTGTTGATCTCTCCTCCAAGAAGCAGTTCATAAATGACGTCATCAAAGAGGTAACTCGTGGGTTTTTGGTTGCTTGTGTGTGGGTTGGGGGCATTGGGGTGTCGATTATCCAAAATTCCACTCTCAGCTGCCAAAAGGCAGTTTAATTGTTGTAGTTGTGCACGTTAATTGCCACAACTAAGTGCCTGATGGCGTCAGTATGTTTGGCGAAGGACACGCAAAAACCACAGCCAGGAAACGTGCTTCTGTGCATTTAGCTGAGGGGGTTAATTTATTTATTGCACGTGTTTCACTTCACTCCCCTGTTCACTATTGACGGAGATAAAGATGGATGGTGGAAAGTCACGCTGACGGGTACAGAACAGGTCGAGAAACTTAACAAAGCCTTTGCTGTGGCCAGTTTTAATTGACCTTGACCACCAGGCCAAGTAACCAATCATTAACCACATCCTGCCTGTGCCCTTAAGTCGGCTGCATTTTGGATTTTTCGTTGATTAGGCGTCACCGCAAACGAGAACTGTTCGTTCTGCTCTGAGTGCATCTAATCTGCGACCTAGGTCGAAGCCCACTTTACCATCTGAACGGTTTTCTTCTTTCTTTTTAGTACCTGTCAACGTCACTATAGTCGGCCCCGATTCCGCATTAACCCCCTCCGCAACAGGGGAAGAGCATCCGCTTTTGCTGTTTTTGTCCGCATTCACCCTCCTATGTGTGTGGTATAAGTGTCTATGAGGGTGTAGCGGGCCGTCCAAGTCGGGCCTTCCACCTTGTACACCGCATTTAAACGCCACTCCACACCCCCCCTACACACCTGTAATGCAGAGTATTGGATTGTACTGATGTTAAATGGCATGCCTAAAATCCTATCAATGTTTGCAAATAAATTGCCTTTTGGGTCTTTTTGTTCCGTGTCTCGACTTCGCCTTGACCTGCACTTCCGCACGCTTCCCGCACTTCTCGCTACTCACAAATTTCAGTAGCATTTTTTATTCGCACAATGTTTTTAAGTGTTTATGTAACTAACTCAAAATAGCACCTGCGATTCACTCCTGTCTTTAGTCCAAGTCAATCACTTTATTGACGCCTTCAAGGGCATTCAAATTGTGCCGTGGGTCTTGTAAACACATGCTCTCGGAATTGAGCCGCCCCTTCAAGCTGCTTGTCGGTATCCAGCAGGCTGGTAAATCCGATACTTGTGAATCTAGCGAACACAGAGCGCCGCGAATGTAATTTTGGTGATTCAGCACGCTCCTATCAATTCTAGTCGTGTCCCCTTTACACTGAGTGGTGGAGAAGGTAGCCGTGCGTCAGCCAATTGTCGAGTCCTCCTAGTGAAGCTCGTTTACCCGTTGTTGGCGATTCATCGGTGCAAGTAGCTTCCGCCGACGGCGTCGTCTGTATTTAGGATAAAAGTTGGCACAGTAGATGCAACATTTGCTGTCAAGGCCGCTATTCATAGATCCCGCAATGTACCTAGTCTAGTTACCAAACCTAGTTCCATATACTTTAATGGAAAAAAGGCATTATCGTGCAGGTAATAAGTGAGCCACGCATTAAGGCGTCTCAGGCACCACTGCCAACGATTTGAATCCAACTTTAATTTGGTGACCTGACGATAGAAGGTGGGGTATTTCGGGAATCGGACAAATCAAGGCATGAAAATTCGTCCACCACTCATGCGTAATACTGTTTTGTTTTGCGTTTTCAGATGCTCTTTCAAAAGCATTAAGAAAGTAACCACAGCATGGTACGTTCAAGCCGTTGCCTGTAGTTCACATTTTTGCTCCCAAACGCACATCGTCTGGGTATTATTTTTTTGTTGACGCTGTTCGTGTTTTGCCTCTAGACGTCCAGCGCGATCCACCCCAATGTGGCCTATCAAACCGTGAATGCAAATGAGAAGCGACAACAGTGCTACCGGACCCTCGTGCTTTCCCCCTGGCTGTACATTTCTCTTGCAGGATTCATTACTGCACTAACCGTTGGTGTCTACCTTTTCTCCCAGTCTAAGCTGACGCCAGTTGACATCGAAAGGCTGGAGGTAGCCAAGTGCCCGGCCTGTTTTGGTCAGTCCGCTTGTCCGGCTTTTTTCCGGGGCGATGTCCGACTGGCCACATTTTACGGCAGTCGGCCAATCCACGTCGCTGACCTTGAGAAGTCTGGAGACCTTATGGCCGTCGACTTGGGTACGTTTCTATGTCATGTGGCTCAGGCCAGTCATCATTCTCGCTCAACTTCCATACGCGCCTTGATGCGAATCTTTCAGGTGCTATGCAGCGAGTAGCGGTGATTCTCTTACTGATTTCTTCATTAACCCACCAATATAATGCCTTCTTCGTTATCCCCTCAACAAGTTCCACACTACTAAGCTTGAGCTGCTGACGTTGGGAACGACCCTTTCTGGTTTGTAGGGGTGTTCGAGAAAAAGCCAGCAGTCCTTCGTCGACTCCACTATCCCGCCAGCTCCGATGATGTGGACGCCGCGGTCTGTCGTCGTCAGCGCACAGACGACCTGCCCAAAGGCGCTCCGCCACCGCGGTGTGTGCCGCGTCTGTCGATTTGGCGCTGGATGCCCACGTCAGGCGCCGGCACCGCAGACCCCATCGACGCTGACCTCATCCGCGGCGCGTCGTCCTTCGCGCACTGCGCCTCACCGCGTTTGTTGGCGCTCATCCAGAAGAGGTAACCTCTTCCACGCTTATGTCATCAAAGTGCTTAGAAGTAGCCAACTTTGCGCTACTTGCTCTCGTTTGACCACGTCGAGGCTTGCTGTTCTCGTGTACAGAGCAGCCTGCAGAATACTCTGTGAAATCATTAATAGTTATAGTGAACCTACTTGATTTTGATCTCGATGCTACTCCACGAGTTGCCCATGGCATGAACCTGTCATTGTGATGAATGCGCGTGTTTTTATCAGGTGTGCTTGGTTTGAATGGTTCAAAGTGGGAGAGTTCGCGAACTAGTGTGGACAGTTAGGAGGTTATGAAATAATTCCGCTTCGAGCAAAACTGCCCAGGCATGCTTCCAGCAGTCACCGCTTAACTTGGGACGTGCGCTCAATTGCCTGGCAATTAGTACATTGGTTTTACGTCTGAATCGCTCTACTGCAGATACAGTCCCTGACCTCGGATATCCACCAATCAGGAATGCATCTGCGTTATCTTTTAGTAACAACCCCGGGACCTTTTTATCTCGACTAACCAAGGTATCAGGTTGGAAACGTTTATTACAAGTTTTGGGGGGAAAAGTACTTGGATGTACCATCACAATCTTCCAATTGTGATGTAATTTAAGGAAATAATGAGAGCAGTTTGTTATGAATCGTGTTTATCCACACCCCTTAATCCGGTCGCTCCATCCTCCGACACAAGGTTCCCCTTTTTGCAGCATGTCGCCAGCCGCGCAGATCCTCAACTCCCCACTCGTTCGCATGAATATTTATCCTGGATTGTCGTTACACATGGGTCTCGATGTTAGCGCATGTATGACTCACACATCCGAGGGATAAATCCACACGCGCAATCCCCACACACGACACAGCGACACCAACGTGGTTAAGCTCTGAAGTAAACGGTTGTGTCCACGTCCTCTCCAGTCTTTTTCTTCATCGCGGGTATCAAGGAAGTGTAATCGTACCAGGGTCAATTCCGTGGCCCCGGCGTGGTTTACTACCACATACTGGGGCCTACAATAAGTTAGTAAGTAGACATGTTGCCATACCAGATTGCCATTTGTCGTTGTCGTTTTGGAATGAAGGAAATGACATGAGGCGCTATTGATTCTTGTGAGATGGAAGTTTAATTTGTGTTGTTGTGGTTCGTGGCATGCTGTCTTGAACCTGAAGAATGACCTATTGGGATGCCTAATATCACTAGTTACCCAACAAAGAAGAAGTCGGTGGAAGGACAAAGTCAACCGTTTATTCGAGAACTTGACGAAGCCGTGGTTTTTTTGTGGGGTGTGTGTGTGTGTATTTATAGCTCGGGTGTGTGAGTCATAACTGCGCTAACATCGCGACCTAGGTGTGAGGTTAATCCAAGATACATATACATATGAATGGAGAGTGGAGTTGAGGGTTTGCGCGGCTGGCGCCATGCTGCGAAAAAGGGGAGCCCTGTGTCGGATGCGAAGCGGTCGGATTAAGAGGTTGAATAAACACGATCCACAACAGTGCCTTTCTGGAAAATTCTCATCGATTTAGTGCAACAACAAAGCAGACCTTTGAAGTCATCGGAAGGTCTTGGTGTGGGATTTCGGGTTTGTCGAGGTGGCCAAATGCTATTGGCCACAGCAGTTCGTGTAAATACCAGCAAATACCGTTTGAGTATTTTGCATTCACTCAAATGTTACCTGCACTTCCAAAATGTTTTCGGTCTTCGATCTCATGTTGTAGCCTTGAGATATGCCTGTAGATGTGCACATGTGGTGCGTGTAAACGAGTCCCCAAACGGGTGTTTGCGTCGTGTGGCCTTGTAGGTACCGCGAGCGCTCGGGCAACCCCCACCTCCCAGCACAGGCTCGATGGCTTCGTTTCGACGAGCTCACCCTCCTCTTCAATCTCGCGATCAACCCGCATGCGGTCATCGCTCGAACCTTCCCCCCAACCGAGGGGTGGCCGTTGCCCGCACAAGTGGGCGCGTGTGGCCGCGCAACCTTGGAGGAGGGACCTCTTATCCCTCTCTCCCATTTTGTCCACGTGAGTGCACTCAATTCCTGGTGTGTACTTAACGTCAATAAGTAGAGTGTGTGTGTATGTGTCACTAAACAGGAATCCGGCGGTGTTGAATGACCGCTAAGCAGACAATCGAATACAGCAGCTTCGTGTGTATCGTGTACAAACCCATTTCTCATAACTACTTCGAAGTTAAAAATGCCTCGATGACCCAACAATGAATGAAATCCACGTGCCGATAACTGTAAGGTGCATGTGCTGATATGAACACAAACACAACTGTTTTCTCCGTGTTAAAGATAAAATTTAAGCACATGTTCAAAAAAGACGTCTTAGGTAGGCTGTTGTGACTTTTCGATTACTCTTTTCATCGTATAAAAAGGCATAAAATCTGTTCCTAAAAATATGTTTGGCCTCAGGCCCAAACAACGTGAGTGCTCATTGCGGCTACCAGGAAACTGGCAAAAATGACAATGATTGTTTTGAGTTGACAAGTTGTAATGAGCTGGGATCCTATCTTTGACACGTGAGGTTGAATCTACAATAACTCATCGGTAGACTATGTTGACTTTCTCATTCATGTCTGCTGTACCCGCAACCTCTGTCAGAGCCTTTTCCGGTTTCTTTTTTTTCACATTTTTGATGCGTAAATTGTTGCTTTGTCCAACTATTTCCCGCTTAGTCTTCATCAGTAGTCATTTGGCCATTCAACTTTAAGTCACCTCTGTTAGAGATTCAACTGTTTGGCATCAACTGGGTGTGTCATTTCGCGTCTCCTGTGTTCCAGTCCGTCCCCTGGAACCCCTAACCATTATTTTATCCCCATTCTCGCTCCACTTCCCGTCGTCCATCGTTGGCCCTGTCCCTCGTGCATTCCAGAAGCCAAACTGGCAGCATCTATTGCCTTCTCCACGTGGCAATTTGTCCCACTTAGCTTTCCATGGGCGTCAGGGTAATAAATCATGGGTTGACTAATCAACGCCACGAGTCTTGGTCCGATAAATTATTTTGTGAGCCGCCGTGTAGAGAATGTGCACACTACCCTTTCCTTAAAACCTCTTTGTCGGCTATTTCGGTCGTGCTAGCATGTCATTCTAGCCAAGTCTTTGTGCAACTTGGTCATGCAGCGCCGAAAGGTGAATGTTTGCGAGGTACTGGTGTAATTCCCTGAGCTTATGGAAGTACCCGAGCGAAACTTTAGGTCCGCTCAACTCGTAGCAAGTTGGAGGCATTCCAATGCAGCGAAACCTTCACGCCAAAAATGTGGCCTCACCAACGCTGTCCTCAATTTGACCGTGTTCCCCTCACCTCACAACACAATCCACAGCTGGCGGTTCTACAACTTTCAAGACCATTGTAGTCCTTTTATGTGTTTTTTTCTGTTTTACCGTTATAGGTCGTCTTGATCATTGAATGTAGTAGGTATTAAGCAGCCTCTGTTGCCCCCCTAAGATGCTCTTGACCTCAGTCTAAGTGAATCTGGCACATGCATGTGTCGAAAAGGAGGCATTTATCGCCACAACCCAACTGCTAAAGATCGCAAAATATGCTGAGAAGACGAAATCTTGTGACCTGTGTACGAATGTTCACTCTCATGCAACTTGACGGGGTTTTGATTGCCTCATGACTCTCCGTCATGAGCCCAGTTGACACTGGTAGTTGATGCACTCAATTTGTGCATTTTAGGCGCCTGTAAACCTGCGACTACAGATCCTTAGAGGCCTATTTCAACTGCCAGATAGACTGGTCTCGAATGGAAGCCTCACGGAAGCCGACAGTGCCGACTTTGCTCTCTATCTCGGTGACTATCGCTGGGACGTCTTCGGCGTCGACGTCCTCACGCACGACGTTCGTGTGATTCAAGCTCGACACCTGCTGGCCGTCGATCTACGCGAGGTGAGGACTTTTTCCTCTCCGCGTTCATCCTCCTAACTTTTCACTACCCCATCCAAATCGCGTGCGGGCGATAAATTCTGCATCACTTAGCACTTAGCACCTCAGTCACTGTCCGTTTGTGTGTGAATTGTAGTTGAAATTAATAGTAATTATCGATTCCTGTAATGCGATGAATAGGCAAAAAAATCATTTTTGCCAGCTAAACATCGGTACATGTGTCAAATGGTAAACTGAAGATTAGCTCTCTTGACCAATAGCACTGGTTTTATAAATATTGAATTGTCCACTTGACGGTAAAGAATACTTCCATTTGCCCCAGTACCCAGTTCCAATAATCTGAGGTGACACCATCTGTTATAGTAAATTCTGATTTGCACGCCGTGACGAATCAGGCATCAAAAAGTCGTTTGATGTAGCCCCGATCCATTCCACTGAAATCCTAAGTCAGTTAGATGCGATTTTTTTTAACCTCTTTTGTCTGTTACACCCGCACACACGTAGACGCGCATGCAGTAGTGCGCTACTCACGATAACTGTGAATATTGACGGCATGGTGCCCGACCATCATCGTCGTAGAGCTGCTTACCAAAGGTTTGCGCCGTTGGGATGCGCGGAGATGGGGCGTCAGAGCTTTAGGGGGGGGGGCGCGGCATGTCGTCCGGGCGTGTCCGACGCGCTGCAGCTGGCGTCACGCGGGTCCGCCCATCGCACACTCCCCGTCTGCCTTCGAATTGCACGTCGTGCCCCCACCAGTGGGGGTGCGGGCAGGATTGGCCAATTGATGGATGCCTTGCGAGCCATTATCCTCTTGGCTGGAGATCCACAAATATTGATAATATATAAATGGCGGCATCAAAAGCCAACGACTACTTCTCTCGGGCCGAAAGATTGTCGAATTTTTTAGTGGGAAAACCTAATTCTACTCCTCTGTCCGTCTAACAGGGCATGAGTGAAGCGTTCATACGTTTTAATTTTCTTACTCCACTCTCCTTTTCCCATAGTCTACACATGACAGTATAATCGATATTAATCCATTAATCCCATTTAGTGCGTCCCCTTTGTCTAATATCCTTTCTCTTCATTCACCTCCCAGCATTAAATGCAAACAATGCAACTCAGGATTGTGGGCGTTGTTATTGTGGAACCTTCCGCTCGTCGGATGTGTCAGGTGCTCATTTACAATTCAGAAAACTTAGACCTGTGTAAACTCGTGAGAACGAAAACTCGACTCCCTTCTCTCCGCAATGTAGACTCATTTGTGACACTCGAGAGCTTGACTGTCATTGTCTAGCCTTAGGTACCACTGCATGAGCTGTTACTACTACGACTACTGAGCTAAGTTCCCGCGCGTGAATCGCCTACTTCCAGGCATGATAAACATGGTGTACCGCAATAAGGGATATGGTCTTCGTATCGATGTTGCTGTAGCGCGATCAAGCTTTCGCCGTCCTAATTTAAGCAATTGTGCTTCAGCCATTGTTTTCTCGGACTTCCCATGCCGCAGTTGTGCGCGATATCGCGTTTCCAGTGGTAATTCGTGCTAGTGGACGATCACATTTGCATGCTGCGGCGCGGTAGTCGTGGTTGCCAATGTGGCGACATTTGCATTTTGTCCTCACACTAACGCGCGCACACTCGCACACACCCAGAGGCGACTTACTCACCCAGATCGGCGCTGACGCCTCACTTAAAGAAAAATAGGATAAATGCGCAGCCTACTTTGTGGCGAGGTTATCCTCAACATCATGCCGAATCGGGCCTCAGTTCCAGCTGGGATAAAGGGCCTCACCAGATAACCCTTCTGATTGTCTAGTGAAAATCTCAATAAAAGCTCAACAAAGTAATCGGCCGAGGCTGGAAACGCCTTCCCACGAGTCATATCTTCTAGGCCTTAATGAAGCCACATTCGGACTAGACATGAATAGCGAAATCAAACTAGTAATCACACTTTTTCTTCCAATGATATTTTTCCATTAATCTGTCGCTAATCATTCTTTCAACCGTATCTAAGACAACGCAACCATTTTGGGCACTTTTCAATCGTGTTTAGTGAGTTTAAGTGAAGTCTTAAGTCAACACCTCTGTTCCATTATCCAATCAGTCGCTCCCTGGATTCCTGGACCTTCTTAGTATCCCAATTACGCTGAAAATTCATTTTGGTAAGAAACACCAGTGTTTTGCCTGGGAGATGGCGAATTGGCTCAAATACTTGCCTATCGGTTAAGGGCGCTTAAAGATTAATTGTAGATTTGCCATTTCCATTTTGCTTTTTTTTCGCATTTTCTAATGCCAGCAATTCTTTGTCTGCGTTCGAAGTAGTTCCAAAACATGGTACACTCAAGAGAGGCCGAATGGCAAATTGTGTGTTGATGGCAGGCGCCACCGCAATATGCAAATGGCCCTGCAGTAAACCACTATTGTTTGTGTGTTCAGACAAGTGGTATGCCAAAAAAAAACTTTTACTGTAAAAAGCGATCCCGTGACCTCAGAGAAGGCACATCCACACGACCGATACCTTGGTTGCTTATATGCCGAGATCTGAAATCGATGTCCACACAGACCCCAATTCCATCTTTGTTCCAGCAAGTGAAGTCGTCTGCACCGTTTGTCGCCAAGGCCGCGGACCCTCAATCGTTGCTAAGTGGAATCTGCGGCAACACCTCCATGAGCGGTGACGTGGGTGAGCCTCTTCAGTGGCCCTGCTTGACGGTGGAACAGGCCGACGCCCTCTGCCGGAGCTCCTCGTCGTCTGACCACAACTACTGGGCTGTTTGTCTGACTGCGCTCTCCAATGCAGGGGAACTACTGCGCGATCTTCCTCCCGACCTTGTCTTCAGCCTTCGTGAGTGCATCAAAGACGCTGAAATGGGCGCCAGGAAGGCTCATATTGAAGCAGCTTTGGAGATCATTGACTTGGAACTTAAAAATTGAAGCAGGTTCCCTTTGTCTAATTGTAATCGCATTTCCCACATTCCTTCAGCTACACTGTGTTCTATTAAATAAATGTTCGTTTCACTCAATTAACTTATAGTTACTCGATTTCACTGTGACTTTCGTTTCCTTTGCTTTAGTAAAATTTCCGAGGAGCTCTGCTCAATTACCCAAAAGTAATAATTGATTGAACCTGTGTCAATAGTCACCAAATCAAGCAGAAAATCGGGAGGTATCGGCATTTTTCTCGACCTTGGCTACCATAAGTCTCAACACGCATACACAGCCAGGTTGCAATATATTATTTTTGTAATATGCTGTCTCACAGTAGCCAGCGCCCTGCAGACACACCATTAGTGTCCAGTACCTGGTCTTGTGACCCTTGTAAGAAGTACAGTTCACACCATACCTCCCGACTATTGCACTTAGAAACGTAGCTGGCCTCAGGTGCAATCAGTGGATGCGTCGAGGTCGGGTGCTGCCTGTGGCCGATTTTCTTGGGCGAATTTTTGTACGTTCGCTTCAGTTTCGTTCGGAAATCAGAAAAACTGCACGGGAATATGAGTGGTCTTAACGTGAATTTACTCTATTTCCGTCTAATATCTATTTCAGAAAGGAAATCGCAATAAAATTACCAACAATTAGATATACCTCTTGGCCTCTTTTCTAACTCAGTGCTATGTTTGCAAAAAAAAACATTTTGTTATGAGCCTGTACGATGTTCGAGAAATAACGTGAATGGTGTCGTGAAATATCCCTTCCGTGCGTGACAGTTTTCGGTGTCTGATTTGTGAAATTGATTACAGATCTATATTTATTACTGTCGCCTTATTAAATTTATACCTTTACTGAGCAGCTCAGTGGTTTCCCTCATAGCATTAGTCTTAGGTGGAATTCACCGGTCCTAGTCATTTGTTTTCGGTTGTACTAAAAGAGTAACATCATTTTAAAATAACCGCAATCGGTTTAATGGATGCCTTAGCAACTAATGGCGATAATTGGTAGTCAGCAGATTCAATCCCAACTTCGTGCACTTTTCCCATCACTTGAAGGTCGTTATTGGCCAAATTGTTGTCCAGTTATGTGTTGACAACATTTCGCAATGTAAAATTGGGGTTTACTAACGAGTTATTCACTTTTAGTGTAGTTTAAACCAGCAACTGTAAACCACTAAAAGAACCTCGGAAATGTCATATATTTTGGCTTATTGTGTTGACAAAGACAAACCGTGGAAGTCACTTTGTTTGTTAGTATTCCTAGACTCCAGATTTTGAAATTCTTCTTAAGGGGAACCGGTGCTTGCACGTCTATTAAAAGACCTTGTCAGACGGTGGCCGAGTACGTAATCCATGTCTTACTCTTACTTTCTCTGTAGATACCTGCACAAACGCTAATAAATTCGATTTAGCCAATACAAACAAAGACCGCACTTTAGTTATCCTTGATTTGAACTAGTTGCATTACCAGTCCGGGCTCTAGCAAGTGTCACCATACCGTGATGCCACAATTGTCTGCTGTCACGCTAATTCTGCGCGTGGAAATCCACTCACTTCGGTTAAGCATAGCTTTGAAGACATCTGGTTAAATGAAATTCCTTTGACAACGACACGTTCACTCTGTGCCTCAAAAGCCATTTTAATTCTGTGGCATCAACATAGTTGACATCATACGCAGTACACCTGCTTGATAGGTTTGCTGCTTTTTTTCCCATCTCTGTAATAGTGAATTATGATGAATGTGTTGATTTCTTCCAGCTAGGTTTAAGCATACACAGCTGCTACCAACACGTATCGCTTGCAAAAGGAGGGCGCGAAGACGACCGACTTTTGTTGCAGTTCGTGTGCGTACTTAAATGGAAGCCTATCCATATTTCGCACTCATTGATGTTCTTTAGGATTTGCAGTCTCTTTTGCTATAAGCATATTTGTGTATGTGCACATTGACTTGCTACTTGACTAAACGTTGTTACTCCACTGTTAACTCCAAGCGTTTAAATCAAACCACCAAACCAGGCGTCTGTGTGTTGGAACGCATCTTGTGGATTTTAACGAATGCAGGCATCGTGATTTATTTGAAAATTCGTAAAAAGGCACCAAACGCCTTTCCCGTCTCTGCCATGTTCATTGTTTCCCTCCTCCACTATGTTTTGAATTGCGTCCGTCAACTTGAATTCTGTTGGGCACATTGTATTTCAGGGGATAAAATAGAGCCGTTGTAATGATTGCTTTCGGTACGATGAAGAGTAAATCTTAGTTAAGACTGTGTTAAGAGGTTCAAAACTGATCTCGTCAAGGTGCAATGCAATGGTGTCAAGACAATTTATCACCCCCACTCGTGTTTTAGACATTAGAATGAGAGCGTGCGACATGCGCAGGGTAGGTAGACTTAATTTTTTTGTGTGAAACTCCTTTGATCATGGCTGTCGCGTCACCTCCCTGCAAGCGACGGACATGAGTGGTTGTTCGTTTCATTTGGGCGAAAGGTAGCATGACGCATCCTCTATGTTTTCAAGATGGGCTGACGTGTATAACGATGATAAATACCTGTAGAGAATAAAGAAATTTGACACTGATACTAAAACAGTGGCAATGATTATGCAAATAGCCTCGGTCCGATGTCGGTTTGGTGTCATTTAGATGCCGTCTTCGCTAAATGAATACCTGACGCATTACAATTCTACTAACTTTAAACATTAAATTTGTTGAGAACGAGTGGAATAATCGAATATATTTAGGTAGATGGACTAATTGACTAGAAAAAGCACCAGATCATGAAACGAATACAAACGTGGATGAGGGAACGGTAAAGAGGGATGAAGCCATTATCGCAAAATGAAAAAAATGTTGAATTTTGACTTCAATGTACTATTAAATCTACCTCAAACTGAATTGTTCTTAGCCAAATTACCAGCTTAGACAAGTACTATTTGGGGATCCTTCAAGTGCGTTTTGGAGAGGTTCGGATTTCCGATATCTGACTCCGAAAGCCATACTTAGTCCCTTCCATTTGTAATTCGTTTTAAGCAGTGTCTCTAACCGATGCACGTGGACTACCCACTTACTCCCAAGTAGATGCCATGACTTCAGACAACGATCGATTTATCAGCCTTGCTATCCCCCCACTTGATCTGATGGTGCTAGTGGTTATCGTTGCAAAATGAAGTTACCGTAATGTTCAACGAAAACATGGCCAATCTCACTAACGCAACCGCAACCTTTTCTGTTTAAGCAAAATGACAGGAATCGCCTTTGTTTCCATTGGCTGATTGGGTGCACATACAAACGCAGGCACGACCAGAGTAAACGTGTTGTGCTCAGTAGTGCACATCACAGCCAGAAGCTATGCGAGCAGCTAGAAAGATTTGGGTGACTTTGGTGACGACCGGTGAGATCTTCGTCCTCGCAGCAATAGCCACCAACCTGACGGCCATTTGCACTCCCAATTGGATGGAGTACAACATCGACAAGTCTGATTTTTACCCAAACAGAGGACTTTTTCAGAACTGCAAGGGTATGCTTTGCCTTTCAAGCACAATCAGTCGATACCTTTTTCCTTAAATTTCGATTTTTATTTTGGCTATTGCATCTATTTTTGGCATCTAAACATTCGTGGGTTGGCCATGGTAGTAGCTAAGCCCTCTATCAGAGTTTGTTGATTCCGTCAAAACACCACCCTACTTGAAACGTAGTCTGCCATGTGGTGATTGGGTGCATGTGTAAGAACCAGTAGTAGTGTTGAAGCAAGGAAAAACCGCCTACTCCATGAAAAACCATCCCACTGGTGAATTCATGCTGTCGCTTCAGCCCGGTTGCAGAAACCAGACCACATTATTCGTAGTGGCCTGGCTGCTCAACCTCTAAATCTGAAACAATGGGCGATTCCGAAATCTCGCGAATGAAAAGTACGTGCTCACTATTGGCTTCATTAATTGTAATTACACTTGCTTACTGAAGATTGCGAGGTGCTCGTTGGGTTCAGCTCGTTTCGGAACCTATGAAGTTTGCTCCTTTGACCTCATCAGAACTCAGCACACGAGAACTTCACGCACTGGGAGGGATTGATCACATAAGCTTCCGCTGATTAAACATACTGGTGCGTTCAACATAATTGGGTTTAATAAGCAGGTTACAGATCTTCACCTTGACTTACATTTGACGTGAGTCAACGTTCAGGGAATTGGCTTCATTGGAAAATTCAAAAATTGATTTTGAAAATCGTATTGCTGTGCGTCATTTCCACTTAGCAATATGCTTCACAAGGGCCGGGTTTGTGCGTGGTCTGCCGGTTTCAGGTTTTTGTGCAATCACTTAATTAAACTACTTGATGGTTCGACAAATTCAATCCACACTCACTTTGCCCAAATGCACTGCGAAATGCACAACATTTTTGAAATACTACTGTTCTTATTTCAAAAAAGTTACTTCAGAGGAACTTTACTCTTTTAATTTGTTGTGTTATTACAAACATTCATCTACGTCATCCTAAAATGATCAACTTTCTTCTGCTTTTCAAGACAGATTCGCGAATACCAGCCTGCTTATTAAAAAGAATATTGAATGTTGAACTACTCATACTTCAAATAAAATTGTTCTCTTTTCACCATACACGTGTGAAATCGTGATCTTATTTTGGTCCACAACGCCAATACCACTATCGTCAACTAGGTCATCTAGTATATTCATTTTAAATGGCTAAATTTGAAGTTACTTAGCAAACGCACATATTTTGGGCCAAAGTAGTTGCTTTTTTGCCAATTCAGCACACTTTCATGCCCTTGAGTTTGAAGGTCGTGGAAAATCATAACAATGGCCCCCTTGTTTAACCAGTGCAAATTCTGTGCAATCCGGTGTAAGTTCAATAGGAGAATTTGATTTAGCTAGTTAAAAGTGCCCAAAGCACTTACTAATTAGAAAGCCGCAGATTTATTGTAAAGTTGTCTGCTATTGTGTAAATGGTGACGAATTGTAGTTGAATATTCTTCTAGATAAGCCTAAATACGGAGATTTGTCAAATAGGCAAAATTTTAACGATAAGTTACCGTAGACTGATTCCGCAAAATGTCATAAGGCAACTGTTTTGGCCTGGGTCCAGGCTGTTTGCTAGCAAACACTGATGTCGCATGTACTGACAGTTGCGTCGATTTCGTTACATTTGGTGTGCGACGCCTTGATGAAGTGCGCTTTGTACACAACCGCAAACAGCCTTTCGAATGCTCATTCGAGCAGATTCCACCCATTTTCACTTAACCATAGTTAATAGTTCGTGGTTTTTTTGGCAGAAACAAACTCTCACAAGTGAAGTTTTAAGTAATGCAATCATATTAAGAGAAAATGGCATTGCTTGCACTTTTATACCGTCAGGCCTTGTGTGTAGCTGGCGATGCGTTGAGCAAATATCCGGCTTCGCAAAAACGACAGTCGTGTCATCATTGCCAATAATTTTTAAGCTCACATCATCACTTTAACTCAATTTGATGGACCGATTTATGAATAAATTTCGCATTAGCTTAATTGCCACGATACATTTTCGCGCATGGTTACTAGGCTAAAAAGAACTCAACTATTTTAAAGTACGTGTCGTAAGAAGGATCTGCCAGAAACCGTGTTTATTATCTTTAGTACACAATGTCACTTTCTACTAATTAGTTCTCCAAGGAGGAAGTTACTTCCTACTGTCATTCCCAAGCCTGTTCATGGTTGCTTACATTTTGTAAATGATGGAAATTTTAGCAACAACTCGGTTCGTGTGCGTCAATTGTGTTAATGAAAAATAAATCTGAGGCCTTTTTTGTGTAAACATATAAGACTGACAATTGTGTACCTGGAACTCTCGGTCAGGCAATTGGCTAGACTTAAGAAGTGCCATCATGCTGTCGAACAATCGTCCACACAGGTTTGGGGGATGCGCATTCGCAGACATCACGAAGCCGTGGGACAATAGTCGTGACATTTCGTACCGTGTTAGTAATTTGGAAATTTAAGGTCAAATTAGAGTATCGCCATTTTAAGATGACCGCCGGAAGATGAAACTGTCCTTCAGTGATGGTTTCTGGGTCCGAGAACCTTCTCTTGTTTTGAAGGAGGCATTCACCTACAACCACCCTCTGCTTAGCTAGATTCGATTGCACCCCAAACGCATGTTATTTCCTTCGCAGTTGCCACTTTAGTCACACATTCATTGAGAAAAGAAAAAATTCTGAAATGATTCCGTGAGCATAAAAAGCAGTCTTGGAAGTTGTCAGGTATGTTTTTTTATGAAAGTTATTTGCTTCCCTAATTCGTAAATTATGTCACAAATATGTATGTGGTGGACAAATCTGCTCAGTCCTCAGTTTAATCCCCATTGAATCAGAGAAGAAAATACTGCTTGTTTGTTTGTTTCAACTAACGAAATGTAAGCATGTTTATTTCCTTGGGATGGTAATTTTTCCGTATGCCCAAAAGTCTTACTGTTAAAGGATTTAATGGCCTCCAGAGTCGTTTTTGAATGTTTGTTATCCGCAAATTAATGCGATGATTTGATTAATTTTTATTTAAATTCTGAGGATTACTGACTAATTAATGTGTGTGTGAAGCCAACCAAGTACACATTTTAGCATCCTCATCAGCTATTCTGCCATTCTGTGTGGTTGAAGTTAATTCGGGTGCATCTGGAGCTTTTTAGATTTCCGCCAATGAAATATCTACGCTTTCATTTTAGGATCACTTAATAGCGAGTGTCTCGAGATCTCGAATCCGCTTCACGCCTCTCTAGAATGTAAGTAGTTGTCGCAATTTAAGCATTTGTCACAGACTTTTGTGCCCAATCCATCGACTCTTTCAAGTCACCAGCAACCAAACCAAAAGTCTCTGTCGCCTCTCACCAATTTACACCAGTTATAAAGGGGAACACTTGTCGTGTGGTGCGCCTTAATGGTTCTTTTATCACAAAAGAAGCAAAGGTATAAAGCCACCGGGACAGAGTTGGCGGTGAGATGTGGCAAACTGCCCTTCCAAAGTCAATATCACGTACAACTGTTTTGCTAGTTAAACCTCACAGGCCTCCAGTTCTGTATTAATGCAATTGAATGATGTGTGAGAACTTTTAATTACGCACAGACTGAAGCATTGTCTGTCCTTTTGAATTAAACTTGATATGGTTAAAAGGAAGTCTCTGTGATCCGCCCAGTGGGTGTGCTCACAGCTTTACGAATTTAGGTTCCGTCATTACCAAGGCCATGGCAACCAACAGTTTAATCATGAGCTAAGCAATAAGGTATGTCAGTGTTGTCAACTGTCGCTGGAATTGAAGCATCTTTGCCATACTTGACAGAAAACATTGTCTTTAAATATATCCCCCAAAATATTATATTTTAAGAACAAAAAATAGTGTTTCAGCTTATATTTTCTGCAGGTCAGCAATAAAATTTGCTCATCTTTGCTCCAACCTTTTTTTCGGTTTTAAGTTAAAAAACCGAAGATTAGTCGCTATGCTAGAATCGGAATTAGTTTTGGTATAACTTGCAAACGCCATCAGTCGACCACAAATGTTGCAAACCTGCCAGATTTGGGTCAGAATTTGACAACCCAACCATCGGTAACAGCCCCTGTAACTTTTCATTTCTAGAGCTAAGATCTGTCCTAAGGTCAATTCTACTGGGGAACGTCGCAGCCACGTCAGCTTAACGAGCGGTTCAAAACTGTTTAGTTTAATTTTCTTCAACACTTACGTAAAAATGGCTTGATTTTAGGCCCATTTTACGTAATTTAATAATCTCGTAAAATGGCATTTATTTGTGTTACAAGGCCTTCCAGATCAAGGCACGTCATGCACCGAAGAACAGCAAAAAAGAACGGAATGGATCAACCGTAAGTGAATTCTCTGGTGCTATGATTTAATGAAAGTAATCCTTTTGGAGTATGCCGATTATTTGCTATCTATCTGCATTTACTGACCAAACTTAACTCTTAATGTGTTGGCAGTCACAATTACATTATTCAAATTGGATTCACATTGGATTTCTAACTTTTACAATTGCAGTCTAATTACTCGCTACTAGCGTTACCCCAAGTTTTGTGCGATCTCTAGACGTTAGTCTCGTTCCTATCTATAAGTTAACCCGCCAACAAAGACGTGCCAGGTGCTGTTAAAAGACCACAGGCATCTCTCTTTATAAAATACTCCGCCGACCTCTCACCCCTCCGTATTTTATTCCTCCCTACTAGAAAATTGGATCATAAATGATAAAAATGAATATTGTGTGTAAATTTCCCTTCAATTTTTTTAGGCATACGAATCGCAGACTGGGCCTTCGAATTAGCAGCCCTGCTCCTTGAAACTGTCACGTCATTTGGTTGCATTTTTTACCTATTGTTGGTACGCTACTGCATTAGCAAGCCAAGTGCCCAGAGCGCCCAAACATGCCTAGCCGTCTCCGGTTACCTCCTTTGGCTGTCAGGTTTGGGCATTCAGTTTTACGTTACCTGCCTTTTGCAATATTTTGAATTTTGTTTTAATACTATATCTTGTTACAAGCAAACATTAACCACACCAGGATTTGGTGTAATTAAGACATTCCATTTTTGCCTTAAACTACTCCTGGATATGAGACCGATAAATATTTACATCTTTTGGACATCCAATCGGTTAATTTTGCACATTTATTTCTTGCGCAATGTTAAACCTAACTAGTACACATTGTTTTCGTGTTTGATTTAGCTATCGCGACCGCACTTGGCATTATATCGTTTGAAGGTAGCCTAACACTCGAGTCAATAACAACAAAAATAAAAATAAACAGCCTGGTTGGAAACCTACAAGAAGTAAGTTCAGCCTACTTTTCCCGCCTATCGGTTTTTGGTGTTCAGTGTTAACAGCAAACATATCCTTGCTTATTCAGGCGGACTGGAATGGACTCACCCAAAATTATGGTCATTCCTCTTACCTGATTTGGTCCAGTGCCGGACTCAGTGTAGTCGCAAGTTGGCTGTGGATAGTGGCCTCATTTGTACAGCCGCCGCCACACATCTCACCCTCAATGGGTGCTTTGACAACTTCATCAACAGTTCCTCTCTATCCACTAGCGCCTAAACAAGCTTCTTAACTCCTGATTAAATTAGTACAAAGGTCGCGTTTTTCAGGACTGAGATTGCATCTTTCCTTCCAACACAATACTCTAAGATTACCCTTTTACATCCCTTTGTTGGTTTGATATACTCATGTATTAGTGTCAACTTTTCAATTCTAAAATAGTTAACGTTTCTCTCTTGATCCTTGCGGCAAAGCCAGACATTTATTCTCTGTTGTTCCTTTCGCGTTTTATGACTATTAACTTGAGAAGTGATTTCTTCATACCAAAATTTACTTTCATATCTTCTACAGTTGAATGCGTTCAAGTATATCCACATGAGTGCTTTTGATTAATTCTATTTAAAAATGGTTTAGAGATTTGCTTTAATGATGTAAGGGATGCTAAATGTGAAGCACCATTGACGCTATCACAATTTTTATTGTTAGAAAATAAAAGGTAATAACATGAAAAGCAACAGGAATTTTCACCCCCGAATACTACTTCTTCGGTTAATTAAACTAATCAACTAGTTGCAAAATCCGTCGAGCTGACCATAGAAAAAGGAAATTGTAGGATTTTAGACGTCTTACTCCTGATATTTTGATAAAGCGGATAAAATGGTAGCCGAGTATCAGTGAATTGTTGTTTTGTTAGCAAGTGGCTTCAGAGCACACGCCTGTTGTTTCAGTAGGCTTGTAAAAGTTAGATTAATTCGGATTGTGAAATCATTATATAAAGCTTTTTCAACCATGACAAAGGCTTTGTGGCTTGATTTTGAGTTCTAAAAACGAGTGCCTAATTTATTGTGAATCGCGTTTATACACACTCCTTAATCCGGTCACTCCACCCTCCGACGCAGGTTTCACCTTTTCGCAGTAACTTGACAGCCGCGCGGATCCTCAAATCCCTCCTAATTCGCACGAAAATTTACCTTGAATTATCCTCACATCTAGGTCTTAATGTTAGATAATCTATGACTCACGCATCTGAGGCATAACTACACATGCGCAAACCCCACACACCACACAACAACATCAACGTGGCTGAGCTCTGAAGTAAACAGTTTTGTCAACATCCTTTCCGAGCTTTTTTCTTCATCGTGAGTATCAGGGAAGCGTAATAAGGGCCAGAATAAATTCTGCGGCTTCGGCGTGGTTCAAGATCACATGCTGGGGCCCACAACAATCGATAACCCCGACGTGATGAAAGATTCTTCAAATCCCACAACAAATTCTTATTCAGTGAGGTCCAAATCAACACTTAAAGTCTTCATTTCTCCGATTCCCAAAAGACTACCAATGAAACCAAGATACTAGCGAGAATTTTAAAATAATTAAGGCATTTAGAATAGCATAATTTCAACATGAATGTTAATATTCTTAAAAATCTAAGGCGCATTAGTTTTTTCCCAAATACGTTTCAAGGACAATCAAGCAATTACTGATCTATAACACAGCAAGCTTGCTCATGGCTTTTAAAGACATGTGTGCGTTGTGGTATTAATGGGTTTCAACGCTGAAAAGGGCTAGTGTTAAAAAATCTATTTATCACATGATTCCAGCATCGAGTTAAATGATTCGAAACTTTTAATTTAACAAAGAGCCAATTTAATACTGGATAGCAATACGATGAGACGCTCCCACAATTTGTGTGACTGATGTCACATTTTTAATTTTAATATGCTTAGGATTGATCTAAATAAATTAAATTTTTTGTGAGTCACACCGTAAAGAATGACATTGGTCCTAACCTATTTAACCCAGACGTCTCCAAAATAAAAGATTTATTTTATTTACGATAATGTTAGTAAACCAAAACCTAGCTGTTGTTACTAGAAAAGGACTTAATGTGAGTTTGCATCTTGTAAATCTTTTTGTTTATAAACATAAGTGCGATGCAGGTCTCCATAGTAATAGCACGATAACTTATCACATGGTTGGGACAGGCAATGAAGTTAAAAATAGTAAAGAGGGAATTAAAAATTCCAAATCTGATACATCTGAACGACAGGGTTACATTATTCGCCCCGATATAAACAATAGATTCAGGCCGTCCAAAGTCCGTGAAATCATGTATGATATTTTAAAACAACAACTGGCTGATGCTAAATATGATTACGAAAAAATACCAGGTTTTTTATCAGTTTGTTTGACATTGATTAGATATGACAAAAAGCCTTTCGGAACTAATCCGTGACGAACTTCGAAATAATTCTGGATATTACAGATACACTTTCCTTGTACAAGTTGTCATTGGAGAACAAAAAGGCCAAGGTGTAAAGGCATCCTGTCGGTGTTATTGGGATAGTGATACTGACGGATATGCTGAAGTTTGCTACTTGACGCCGTCGTTGTTCTGCGTTGCTGTTGCTTTTGGTGTTTATAATTACTGATTTAATATAAATGTCGTACTTCCTTTTCAAAGTATGAAAATTTTCTAAAATCGCTATTTATCACTACAAACTGTGTAGTTGACTCAAAGTTAGTTTTGGTTAGTTGTCGTAGTTGTTGAAGCACTACCAGTTCGTGTCCCAAATTTCCAGACAGCATTAACTGTTTTTGAAATGGTGCATATTTTGTCATGAAAGATGTGACCTAATGCCTTAATTAGTCTTGCGACTAGTTTCGAAAGGCATCCGGTAGGTTCTAGAAGTATTGTGATAATTTACAAGCAATCACATGTACAAATCAAGTTGCTCTTTTCACTGCCGTGGCTACCTAATTGACTCAATGCCATGAATCTCGGGCCACAATGCACTTTCAACCTCGATAAGAAAATCTCACTGGTGACATTTATTAGTAGCAGTGCTCTAAGTTGGGGATTTTATTGTACCAGCTCTCTTTAATATTTTCTTTAGACCAACATTTTACCAACCCCTTAAAGATCATTTATCGTTATCTATATTGAAGGGTCTGTGTTGGGGATGTTTCGTTATTGCTCTGCCTTGCACAATGCAATTATCCAAACCAGTTTTGAAAAGTGTTTGGTTTATGCGAGGGAAATTTGTAGACTGATAAATAAAGCAATATGATTTTTCTAAACATGCTGCTGATTTGAAAGACGTCTCTGTATTGATTAGGATCTTTTTGCATCCAAATGCCTCTTGTAGTTTTGCTTTTAGTTTTAAGGTCTTATTTTCCCTTAAATTCCAGCCATTGAAACGAGCAGGTTTCAACCAGGTGAATTTGTGTTATCAGTGCTAAATCTGGTAGAGTCTAAAAATCACCCAGTTTTTGCTATTAGTCGCAAATTTTGGCTTAGATGGAGCCACAAATTGCAGCTATTTTAGTTATTGAAAGTTCTCCTGTTTTAAACGGATTCAATTTAGCTCAGATTTAATTAACTATCTTCGTCCCAGGTGTCTTTAAAGTAAATGGGGACGATATCTCTGTACCTTTTTAAGCAATATAAATTGAAAAATATTGAAAATTTAGTTACCTAGACAATATGAATATTGTGGCGTAACGATGGATACGCTGCTCATATCTTTCAAATTATCTCATCTTTAAGACATCGGCGACCCGATGACATAGTTAGGGGAGGCTTGATTGAAGGCTTTAAGTGGTGCATTAAGAGGACATTGTCGTTAACCATTTCTGGATTCGGCGAATAGGGTGCTCTAGAGCGGAAGTTGCTCAACTATGTGAAGATCAGGAATTATAACAATATTCACTACTTAGAGTAATCAAGCAGTACATTAAACAAACTCACTGTCAGAACACTTTCCGACACCAGAATGAAAATCTCCACAAGTCGACTCACTTAGTCCTGTTTCGAGAAGCCTTAGAGAACGCCCTGAAGCCCGAGAATCCAGGTTTCGGTAAATCCGCTTTCAACAGTCGCTAATTTTTTCGTAGCAATCCAAGTAAGGGTGTGGTCTATGTTCTCGACGAATCTACGTCGACCAAGGAACCGATGACTACGCTTTAAGTCGGGCGTGGGTAGTCAGACCTTCACAGTTCCCACATGTAATGCCTCTCTTAGTTGTGGGGGACTAACCAAGCACGAGCTCGTGCGCACACAAGCACGCAGCTGTTTGCACACAAGTCATAAGTAAAGGGGGCAGCCGTCTCCCCCTCTTCCTCACTCTCACTCCCCTACCTGTGCACACAGTTCGGTAAGTTATTAATTCATCAACTGGACGCACATCACCGGCACAGCCTAGCAACCAAACAAAAAGCCTGAGTGCGTGGGGTAATAAGGCATTTGGCGGGTGAACTAGACACAGGAGCAACTGTTCTTATACCTGGCGTGAGAAGGCAATAGTGAATGGCCGACCGTTCACAGACATGGCCTCTTCAGACAGATTGGAGACCACATCTGACAATAAACCGGGGCATAAAAGTCCTGTAGCTGGGCGTCCTCCCTTGGATAAGAAATGTCGCTCCCGCTTTGCCGTCTGTGGGATGTGATAAAGAAAACACGATGGATTCAATGAGGCATTTGGTCCTTTCCTTTGAAAGTGTTCTTTAAATTTTGAACATCACAAGTTGGCTTAATCGCCATAAAATAAAAATGGTAACCACGTAAGGAGCAAATCAGTTGATGGATGAAACTTCCTCTGTTTAAAATTGGGATGTGGATTGTAATTTTGGTATGACTATCAAGGTTGAAGTTTTCTCAGAAGAACGATAGTAAGCCTAATCACCTACTATGTTTCGTGATTTCTAGAAGACAGGCAACACCTCCGACTACCCTTATGGAGACATTCGAAGTGCTCAGTTGTCGAGAGGTTTAATGAGGTGACTATGTATATCTCCAACGAATTGTCTTATTTTCCAGCTAATTTGTTATCAATGGAATCACAAGCTGATCTGCCCTAATTACCACCCGCAACCACTATTTCACGAAATGAAACATCCTTGGAAGTGTCACGAATCAATGCCAGGGCTGGGAACTGCACGGGTAAAGGGCGTACTTCAACGCCTGTGAGAAAGGCGACGGCCGCTCGTGGGTGTGTGTGTGTGTGCAATGGCCGAGTGGCCCTACCACCACACGCCTCCCCGCAGATGTATGAGTCCTCCCGGAAATTACTGAGTCCACGCCATCCATCAGCCCCGTTCGCGGTTATGCACTCCAGGGTGAGTGGGTAGGACAAGTTTCACCCGGTGTAAGACCATGAATCAGAAGCGTTAAGCTACTGGATGTTACGATAAGTAACCTTCCCTAATTTTAACCGACGCTTGTATATGGACACCCTGCCACAGAACAGTTCGACCACTGTGTATAGTGGAGTTTACAAATAAATTGCAATCGGAAGCTCAGTAAACTCAGCACAAAGTAATGAAGTAAAGTATAAAGCATAAACGAGGGAATTCACGATATCTCTAAGGGTCACTTAGAATATAATTCAATAAGATGTGACATTAAACAATCAGGTGTCAATCTGGAAGACCAACTTGACACTGACATTCTTGCAATCTTTTCTCGATTGCTTTGACAATCAGTACAATCTGGAACAGCTTTCGAGTCGAGTTTTTGTTCTATCCCTTGGTTACGTTCAAACGCTACTCAATGCTACAGGTTTGTTGATTCCCTTTTTGGTAAGTGAATGTATAAAGGGGAAAAGAATTAAGCCGACTGTTAACAGTAAATATAAGTCGACATTTGCTTTCATAACTCATTTCATTTACTTACACCAGAATTTTACAACTCCATAATGTAGTAAAGACAACATTACTATTGCAGTGGGGTCATTTTTTAACTTTGAGAGGTACATTCGCTCCAAAATCTGCATTTGATTGGAACGCAAATCAGTCGTACACTTATCTGCTACTTTTTCTGCAATTACTTCAAGCTGCACCACGCATAATACATAAACATGATTAAAATTTAGTTTCGGTGGAACGATGGCCATGTGCTTCCTCTCATTTTTTGACTTCGTTAGAATCAGTCTGCCACTGACGCCAACTAAGCTCTGCACGTATGATGGCATCACAGAAGGGGATTGGATGGCTACAAATCGCCCGTGTCCTCGAGAGAGGAGGCCATGGTCTGGAAATGCCACTAACCGTAAGAGGTGGCTGTAATGTGACTGATGAGGTTGTTTACCCTGGCAACGCACTAGAATGGCAGTTCATGCGGAGGATCGAATACATTGATTTCTTGGCCTATTCCCGTTACCAGGAGTCATTTAGAGTCTAGACGACCTGACATAGCCTTCCCATTGCGAATGCACGGCGAGGGGACTTGATGTGGTTCTTTTTTAACTTATTTACGTTGATTTATAAAGTAGCTCTTCACAGAGCTGACCAATGTGTTGCGGCATAAGACCACTCGTGCTACCCAAAGATACGTCGAACCGGAGGAATCCTATGTGAAAAAGGAGGGTAAATCAGTCAAATGATGCGATTCAGAGCCAAAGTCCGAAGGTCAAGCGTGAGTAAAATGCCTTCGTGGTCGTGGCTTGACATCCAAGAGTCACGTGAGTACGTCTCACGAGAGGACACCGGGGTCAGCCATTGCGATGTTGGTCACTGCAGCTGGTAGGAAGGCCTGCCGTGCCTGGTCCAGGTGGTAATTTCTGCTGTTCTCACATCCCACCCGAGAGTGCTCCCATGTTATGAAAAGTGCTGACTTTATGTTACCTGTGCCACTTTGAAGGAGGTGCCGTAAATTACTACACAGGCCCCTATTCCTGGAAAGCAGGGTTCCACATTTTACTCAAGTGGACACGAGTTCCGCCAATTATCCTCGAAATCGACCCTTGCCAGCTGTGCCTGGAGTCAGGCTTCCCCCTCCTAAATGGGGACTGGTGTCGACTTTTGAAAGTGTCATGGAGTCGCCTCGTGTGCGCTGCGACGTGGAGCAGGTGCTGATTCGCAGCTCCCGGAAACTCCATGGGAGGCTTCTCTATGCAAATTACACGGATGCGTCAGACTCGTTCCGGGCGACGTGGTAGCATCGGCGAACCCCCATACAAGAACCAGTCGTGCCGCCGAAATTCACGCCAAAATTACCGAGCCCTAACTATGACTTATGGTTGTTAAAGGAGGCTTCAACTTACTGCAACCAGTGGCGTGCACCGTGTTAATTGAGTACGCAAAATGGCATTTTCTGTTCTCGTAGTTCCACGAATTAAATTTTGGCAACTAATTGCCTAGCCCCGTTGCAGAATACCGCGCTTAGACGGTCTGGTAGAATCATGAAAATTTAGACCTACGATGGATATTGTCATCTACCTACCACCACTACCACTCTGCACGCCATATTTCTTCCCACAGCCTGCGAATAGCTCCCTTTTTAGAGGTTCGACCAAAAGTTCATTTACACACAAAACGGGTGACGAGACATTCTGGCAAAACAGGGAAAGCCTCTCTACCTCTGTGCTTCTTTGATTTACCCTTGGATCACATAGAAAGCCATAAAGGTCCCGATGCAGGTATTAAATCACACCGGAGTTTAGTATCAACGTGAATACAACTCGACAAAGAAATAAAAGAGTAGCCAAAGACAATGGGATAAACCGTTTATTGTGGCGAAAAGAGGGTTGTCAGTTTCATGTGCTAATGTGGCAATACATTTACGGGAATGTCACCTACTACTGAAGTCAGCAAGTTAGAACCTAACAGATGTCAACATGAATCGAAAGCATGTCCCAAGTCTTTGGTGGTTGTAACGTACTAATTATCACCCAATTTACTTCCAAAGCAGCAATAAGGGAAGAATCATCAATACATATTAGGTAGCAGAAGAACATGACGTGACAGGCTATGTTTCGGGTGATTCAACCGTTTTCAGATTGCAACAGTGAGCAGGTGTAGCGCATGCAGCAAAACAGCGGTGGTAGTGCAGACCCGTCACAACCTGCTCGACAGCGGACGATGTCGGTGAGTGGCCGCGTGAAAACAGCGCCGTGGCGCACACCGCCCGTCCGCCCTCCCTCATCCGCTGTCTCCCCCTCACGGGCGAAAATATCTAACGAAAATGGTAGTAGAGAGAAAACATGCCTTGTGTGTTCGCGTTTGCGCGAGCGGGTGTGTCTGTTGTAACACGTCCTGCGATGATGTTGACAGACTCAACCAATAGACTAACTCAGAATCAACAGATGCCGTCCTCTCGGAGCCATGCCGATTGTCGAGTTACATGACTTTACATCTTTTTGTGCATAGACCACCATTCTAAGCACGAATTTATTAAATCAGGGTGAGATGCAGTGATTTCCCAAGCCTGGGGAGTTGTGCGCCTTGAGATCTGTTCGACTGATCCTCGAAGTACAATTCTGTTACCAACTAAAGGATGCACCTTTGAACCCCAACGTATTTCATCGCACCAGTAATTTTTTTTTAAATTAGTGCCACAATAAGATAAGCGAAAGTAGAGAACGCATTTCAATTTTTATACCACAGCTGACAGCACACAGGAATTCTGTGGAGAGTTAGTTGGACGTTTGTCAAATTATTGGGCTGCCCTAATGAGCTATCAGATATGTCGAAGGCCCTGTTCACGACAACCAACTTTTCACCTCTCTCTTCCTCTTTCCAAGAAGAAGAGTGACGTCTAGGGGTTCACGGGTCCATTGGCACTAACTTTATTTGGTTGGCAGTCAATGTTTCAATATAAAGTTTCCATGGCAATTTTTTTCACACCCATTCCACTTAACACGAAGTCTACTGCCAAGCCTATTTTAGAAAGTCCAAGGCCTCGCACATGGCGCGTTTTAGCCTTTTTTTACAGTGAGTGGGTTCGTCTTACAGACACACACCCGTTAATTCAAATTAGGTGTTGCATGTTTGCTTGAAATGTTCGCTGTGAGTGCTGTTCCAAGTGCATTCTGATTACGCCATCTAATTGCACCCATTTCAACCTGTCAACCATCTAATCCTGTTTCTGCAAGCATGTATCTACGTGGGTGTAGGAGTTACCGACTCTCGAATGTAGCTTGAGCTAAAACAACTTGGAGTGACTTTCTTTTATTCTGCTTTCATACCTTAAGAGCTTCGGTACTGGGTTAAGCCATTATTGTAAGATAAATTATTTAAATAAATTGGGCTATCCACATCGCCAAATTAGTTGATAATTTTGTCGATAAGGTCACCCCTAGAGATTGTTATGAGGTCAGGTCAAGTGCCTAATGCACAAATCGTTTTTTAGGCTGTCAACTTGCATGTTGGGCCACTGGGTCAACCTCACCTTTGATTGTTCCTCAGTAATGTTTACTCTTCATGCTAAACATCAATGCACCAGTGGCTTTCCCACCTAAAAGGCGACTTCAAAACTGTCTCGCAGTGGGTCCATCAGGCTTCTTGAGTGAGAAATTTATGTGTGAGTTAAAGTAGCTCGTTGAATTCTATGGAGCAATGACACATGCCATTGTGTCGCCTAATTAAGCGTTTGTAGTCAAATCCCTTTCAACACGTAATGGCTTTTAAACAATAAGACCTGTGAAGCCAGACATTGAAGGTAGTTGTTGATGACTAAACGTCAACACGTTGTGGCAATTTGTACGCTAAACCATCGCAACATTCTTACGGAGACTCGACAGGCTTGAATACAGCTATCAGCGAGTAATTGCTATAGCCGGCTCACAGCTCGTTCCTCTTCTGTCGCTAGGTGGAGGCCCTCGAGACCTCCCTTCGCCCACCCTGTCCACCTCAGTCGGTCGCCATCAGTCTTCTCCATGGCTACCTGCGTCTACTGGTGATTTATGCGATTATCTCTCGCATCAGTGCCAAACCAAATGGCCTAATGCAGTCGAAGCGCGACGGCTAGACGCACAGCGCGACCGAATACTGACTCGGTTACCCAACCATCAAGTTTAATTAGCCTGGTTAATTTTAAATTACTTAGCACCACTTGAAGGCATGGTTGCAACAGCTTCTTGTATGACAATAAATAGGGATTTGGGGTCTGATGCTTCACGTTCTACGTGTTCAAACATAGGAGGGTAGTGGCGTGTTTGAGCTGAACCTGTTGAAACACATTTGGCCAGAATGTCACTGGTCAAAGCAGATTTCAGAAGGGGATTAAACTTAACTGGGTCGACAACGAAGGACTTAAATCAAACCGCCTGGCCACGGTCCCAAAAAAGTGGATGGCAGTTAACTACAATAATCCTTGAAGTAGAAGCTACAAATAACCCCACAAGTTAGACAGAAATTCTATTAACGCTGCGTGATCATGCATAATCGATTCCAGGCAATTTGTCAAGTAATCAGATATGACAATTTTGTTTGGCACCAACTCACTGTCGAAAACACGCTAACACAACTTAACCTAAACTAAATACCACTTCCATTACAGTAAGGAGAATAAGCAATTTTCTATCTGTCGAGACGCCCAATAAATAAACCCTCTTAAACAAAATTGACCTTCACATTTTAATTGTTCCATCCAAGTGGGGCTAGAAGCTGTAGAGGAACCTAGCTCACGTGTAACAATGACCAGAATATGCAAGGTCGTGTGAGGTCGACCAGTGTGCTCAAAGCCTTGGTAGTTTTATTCACGAACTGCATTGTCAGAGAGCTGAAAAATAGCTGGAATAGCTACCCATGATTACGTCTGACCTCATACAGCAGTGATCACGAGGAGCCACATGGAACCGGGTTGGTATCGTCAACTACCACAAAGCAAAAATTCTGAACCACAAATATAAAATGTCGACTTGTTCAGAGTGTGGAGGCCAATGTAGGTTGAGACTCTGATTTAGCCAGTTCTTCGGTGAAGATCTAAGGGTAGTAGGTGTACTTGAGATGAACGCGGATCTCATCAATTTTTTGGCGTTCAAGCAGAATCGGTCACTAGCCGATTGCACAGATTGAAGTAGGCATTTCTGAAAGAACCTCCTTTGTTCGAGTGTAAATTTCGTTGTACCCTAATTCAGATATCTCCTTTTCACTGGACTGATCCCCAGTCGAAAGCGAGTCGAAGGAATCCCGATAGATATTCATGACGAAAACCCTCAGACGGAAGGTAAACTAGTATTCCTAACAAAACAACCGACTACAATGACTACTTTGAGGGAAATCCGAACCATTCGAGACTCCTTAAAAGTCGTAAATCACCATCTCCATGACCAGCCTCTAGGGTCAGAAGGAAAGACCCGTAGTTTACTAGCGGAGAGTTAAGAGTGGGGCTGGGATTAGCTTAGGAAGCAAAGTTTGTGGCCGGAGCCAAAGGATCCCACACCTCAGCCGTATCGAGATGAAACCGTTTTCTTGATGTCATCTCCATTTGGAGTGGTTTGATCAGGCCCGTACAAATTTAACTATTTTCACTCCACTTACTGCTCATGTTCATTAACGGTCTAATACACTTTGAGGGTAAGAATGCGACGATGGAATGTCTGAGTGGAGAAAATTACAGTCTGGATTAAGATGGAACATTTTTCGATCAATGACTGTAAACTCCCACAGGACAAAAACGCACTGCGAGTCGATAAAAGCGTTTTCATTCAGGCGCGTAATTCTGTGGGGTCTTGTCAAAACGCAACGATGGACTCCTCCTTCTTCGACTATTTCAAGCAGATTACTAAGCATCAGAAGTACTTTAGAATTGTCTATTGGAGGGCAGATTGTGAGTTCAGTAAGCTTATTTCCACATTAGATGTCTTGGAGCACATTTCATGGGTAAGTTCCGATGTGCACAAGTGGGAAACTGGCCGTCTTCATGGTCGACTTTACAGACGGCTAGACGTCTGACAAACAGGGTTGTTTGGGCCAGCAGATGGGCGCCTGTAATTGCACGCATCTCCGATGTAAACAATTCACATCATTACCACGCCGGTGTCTGGGCTGTGCCAGCGATGACGGCTGAGTGAAAAGGGGTGGGATTAGAACCACCATTCTCTTCGCGAGGCCTCCGCACAACTTGGCTGGTGATCAGTCAGTGGGCCTTCTACCCGGTTCATTCTTTGTTCCTGCGTGATCGATTTAGTTGTGCCGAATTGCTAACGCCAAAACCGACGTCAAGTTTTAGGCTAAAAGTACAAACACGCTGTAGGGCACTAGCCTAGATTCAGCTGGTCGAAATACACACGCGTCACAGCCTAAACATGCGGTAACTGAGCCCAAGGGGAGGAAAGCCAGAAGTGGCCAGTCTTGGGGAGGAGGGTTCTGGGACAGTCAAGTCGTTGACGCCATGACCCATTGGGAAATTGTTTGGGTTTCCCCACACAATTAGCCACGGCGTGCAACTTAGGGCGACAGTGAACGCTCAGCATCCCCCACCTCACCCCTCCCCTACAGTGATGACTACCATTCTTCTGAGCCGGGATGTGAGGAGGACTGTGACAGTTAAACCATCACAACAGGAGTGTCTAGGCTGTGGGAGTATTACCGGGAGTAGTAACTGGATGAGGTCACGCGGGAGCGTCAAGTTTGTTGGAGGGATGTTGCGTGACCTTAGCTTCATTATTCCGCTGATTAAGGTCAAAACACTGCAGTGGCCGGGAATCACGGGAACAGTGACGGAAAGTCACCCAAGTATTTCTCAAATGCATGGACATAAAGCCGCACAAAACTGTGATTTGCTTGTTGTTACGCTCTCTTTCCTGACTACCATCTTCATTATTTAGTAGCATGTTCGTTGGTCCTTGGAAAGCGTCAAGTCAGCGGTGGGAAAAAAGCCAGCATGTTTCGTTGTGGCCATGTCGCCTCGACATCTCCATTAGCACGATGCTGGTATAAGCCGCTGCATTTATTCGGATGCTTATGGGGATCTGCAGGTCACATGACTGCTCCGTTCTAGGAGCAATTCTGTCATTAGATAAAGATTTATTATCTGGTCAATCTTAGTTATTCGCACGACTAGCGTTGCCTAGCGTGACTTGAATTTCATATCGCCTCTTACATCCGGAAGGTCCCTTTTTAAGATCTCATTGAATATGAATTAATTCGAAATATCAGACAGGGTAAGATTGTGCCTCGAACAGAGACAGCCAGGACCCCGTTTGCATAGGGCCCACCATTAATTAGCAACACTAAGAAGTTGAATTGGAAGGAATCGGTGGTTGTCGCGTAACCTCCCGCCTGCCAATTAGTGAAAACGGTGAAAGCAGTAAAGGATGCCTTGTAATTAGTTGTACGAAATTGGTTAGAATATAAAAATGCAATCCAAGACAACCTTGTTTTGATTGAATTAATTCGCGGGTTTTGGGAAATATCCGAATGTAATGTTTAAGCTTTTGTGTATCACTTTACCATAAAACCAGCCCACTACGAACGGTTTTGTTCGCGAATTTTAGCTTGACTCTGCCCTTTCGACTGTTTCACACTTACCCTTAGTGTGTGCGATGCCGTTTTCGTTTATGTACAGCTCACGTGGCCCTAACCTGCGACGATTCGAAGAGGGCTTTGCTGTGGAGAAAACAAAAAAAACGAAAGGTTTGGATTTGCCAAACGGATTGTTGGCCGTGCCACCGCATTTTATAAAAGTGTTTACAATGCGAATTATATTGTTTTCAGGAACCTAATACAAATTTCTGTGTAAAAGTTTATGTGACGTGTTTTTCCGATCGTTGAGCGACTTAATTCGTCATCCACCTGGTTGGTTATTTCAAGATGCTTGTCAATTTTATAAATCGAGATATGCGAGAAGTGAATAGTGATGCAAAATGCTTGGACGACCCCTAACTGAAAGACCGATGTGAGTACGGTCGAAAATGCTTTCTCAAATGCAAAGACACCGTGTACAAAAGTAAATCGCATCACATCTCTCAATGCACGAGTACATGGAAAAGGCCCATCTCCCATCTGTGCACACTTACAACCAGATAGGTGACAGGAAATGTGACATCACCAATCCCATGGCTACCAAAGCAGGTTACAAGGGGATAATTGTGAACACTGTGATGCGCTTTTATTGCGATCTCTTCACATTTTTTAGGATCTACAACTGCATCCAGTGTGCCTACAATCCCGGACTTTATTTGAAACTGATTTAACTTACATTAAGTATTAATATTACCACATTACGCCAGTTCTTGATCTAAAAATCGCATCTGGTGCTTTTTAAATTGGGGTTCGAATGCGGTTAATGTTGTGAATAATGAAGAACCAGCTGCTTAAAAATATTAGCCTTGTTCTAATTTCAACTCAACCTCGCATTTCCACGACTCCATTCAGAGGATCTCCTGAAGAATAATCCTTTTTAATAGTTGTCCAACCTGGAATCTGTCTGAAGCGTGTTAAACTGTTGATTTGGAGCCTTGATGAAACTTACAATGGTGGCTCATTTAACACTGTATCCCTCTGAAATATTCAGAACACGACGTGAAAGTCAAAAAAGTCTCACCTGAAGAAACTTCCTGTATTCACAAATGTTCACACGTCGACACAAACGGAACTGTGTGACACCATCGGTATTGCTGCAGGACCGCTGAAAAGTTAAACAAAAGTTCTACGTGAGGCAACCCACACCCGTCTGTGCGAACCTTAATTATGGGAGACTAGTGACATCGCCAAATCATCGATACCGAAACATTGACTTTCAGTGATCTCGTTGCTCCCGTGATTTCCACTTTTCACTGGCTAGCTTGGGTTAAAAGAATGGTAATATTTGGGTTTTTGAATCTAGTAGACCACCACAGCCCAAATGAGCGTGACAGTTTGACAGATCTCCGCCTGACAACGTACGAATTACGAGGAAGCATACAACCGAGGTTACGGTTTATTCCTCCCTCAATTGAGTTGGTGGAGAAAACCCAGCCCCATGCAAGTTGGGTAACTCTTGGGCGGATGCTAGAGTAATTGGATTGAATGAAATGACTGGAACAGGGCGGAGAATGACGCGAATCCACCAGATTTAAGCCCGAACAGTCCACCACCTGCAAACCAGACACATCGCGCCTGTTTACGTCACCATGCGCCTGAGTTTATTGCAGCCTGTGTGGTTAAAAGGGGGGCAAAATACTTGTAATCGACGCAGACGACTTAATTTTTTACTGCTGTGGTGACCGAGGTCTGGTTTATGGCGCGACCTGCCATATGACGTGGCATGACGCGGCCAGGTGGCGATCATAATCGCACGCTACGTGGTGCGGTTTGAAATACAGCTCACTGACGACGGAAGCCCCATTTCGGAGCCTCCAAAAAGATCGATTTCTCGTACTGAGGGTGCAATGTTGCTTCCATCCCAGACTTTTCCGCAGGTGATCCAAGGGGTAACTATTAGTTAAGCATAATTATTTGAGAAATTCAAATACTAAAACCTCATTTTAACTTCGACCCTACCCTTATATCGCTTGTGAAATGCGAAATGGGAACAATAATCCCAATTTCAAATGCAGGTCGGTTCAGGATGTGCAGTAATCCTATGGAATGAAGCCACAACCATTCCACCAGCTGGAGCTAAAAGTTAAGTCTCGCGTTCCAAGCCAGGCGCTCAAAGTCTGACCACCTGGGATAATTTCAGGGCGTGATTTTAACAAAGTTAGGCATTTTTAAGCACCAACTGGAAGTACTTTCTGGGGATTCAATGACCTCAGTTCCAGTGCCTTGTCTCCTATTGGTTCAAAACCCCTGAAAAAATCTGATCTGCGGCATCTCAACGCCTAATAGAAGTGAAATAAAAAACCACTTTAAGTTTAACATTAGATGGGCGTAAAGTATACCAACTTTTTCTGGGTTTCAATTTCCAAGGTGTAGTTTCTTGTGTACTTATGAATCAGTAGAACTCCCATAAGCACAGTTGCATAAAGTTGCGCTACCAAATTCCAGTACTTGGGCTTGTGCATATATGTTACCGACGTTGTAAAGTGATTTTACTCAACGTTTCAGTTGCTGGTACACTATACGCGTTGAACCGCCAGTTATCAGAGTGAAACATCAATTACAAGCTTTTGTATCCACCTGGCATGGTAACAATGAGAACCGCTGTCCTCCATTCCAGACGAGATACCGTCTGGAGTAGGACTTGACGAAAGTACAAACGCGGCACTTATGAGAGCAACTAAAACCTGCAGGAATGGCCTCTTGCTAATCGGTATTACGGCGGTTATGTGGGGCCCGTGAGGTCTCGATTAGGAATAGATATGGAATAGATTCGGATGTTGGCGAATTCTATCGCATTCCAGCCGAGTGACTCCTGGTGTCACCGTCTTGGTAGTTAAATCCTCACGGACTTTTACGAAATACACTGACATGGTTTACTGGATTCAAACACCGCCTCGTTATTGTCTGGTTACTAAATAGTGGGTTAAAAATCATATGCCGCAAGGGTAGCTGGCGTCTCCTCAGTTGTTTTTAGCTTGAGTTAAGGTCACTTTGAAAAGCACCAGTAACCCCCTACCAGGTGTCATAACGTCCATGTAACTGAACCCTCCCCCGCTACCTTGCGTATTCACACACCGCCGCACTTGAGTACATCTGGCCCAATCATTTGCACGCGGAGCCCCATACCTGTCTGTCTTCTAGGCACGCAGTGCGGCGCGCTACTGTATGTCCGTACCACACAGTACGTCTAAGAGTGTTTACGCGGATGCGCGTTACAGACAAAACAGTAGTGTGCCTGCTGATCGCTATCGCGTCGTGCCTCTCGCCAGCATGGGAGAATTTGTAGCTGATGAGGATGGAACGGTGATGGCAGCTCCATCCAGCACCGATTCGCCCCACAGCAGCCCCAGCTCCTCCATAATTCCTCCAGTATCCTCCACCTTCCTTTACAATTCCATGATGTCTGCAACCCACTCTGTGTCCCCACAACCCCCGTGCCTACTCAATGAAGAGGAGGAGCTGGAGGAAGAAGACATGTGCCCCTCCTATCGATCAGGGGAGACCCGAAAGGCGCGGGAATTCATTCCAGAGAGTAAAAAGGATGAAAAGTACTGGGAACGACGTCGGAAGAACAACGAAGCGGCAAAGCGTTCACGGGAAAAGCGACGTCAGAATGACGCTCTAATGGAGCAGGAGATCGCGGAATTGAAGCACCAAAATGAGGCCCTGATGCGGGATAATGCAGCCCTACTAAGGGAGGTTGCCGCGCTGAAAGCGAGGCACAAAGTAGACGCAGCGGATCCGGTAGCACTTGCTCAGCCAACACCACCGCCACCACCACCCTTAGCTCCGACGTTGAACACCCTCGACCTTTTGGCCCTCCAGCGCCTCCTCTCCGCGCTTGCTTCGAACAATGGCACCGGTGTCTTGGATCAAGGCAAAACAAGAGCTGGCGGGGGATTGGATGAAAGCCCCTTGGACCTCAGTGGTGGGAAGCCGTCTCTCCTGCAGCACCAGTGCCTGGTCCAACCGTCCCCACCGAACCCCACACTTCCAGTTGAAGAGATGGAGCAAAGTGAGTTACAATTTGGCCTCTGCCCTGACCACATTGAAATAGCACCTCCCGTGCGTGTGTTCAACTCTGATGACCTTGGTTTACTGCTTAGGTGCACGGTTGAGAGGAAAGCGTATCTCTTATGATTTCATTACAGTCTGCACTGTTGACAATTACGTGAGTTACTTAGGATTGACCTCGCACACTAATAAACTGTCGCGTCATCCTCCATTTGGGCACATCCTATTTGAAAAGCTGAACCCTTGTTTTATGAACTGAGTCGTTTACCAGTGCTACGTTCAGTTAGTAGCATTCACACCGGGCAATAGTGATGCAATATTAGGTCTCCAAGTCGAAACCTTGCGAGAATGCGTTCCCGTTTTAGCCCGATAATTTGCCAAGGGTATTTCACAAGTTGAAATACGTGTCCATATCGGGACTGGTTTAGTCCGTTGTGGGGTCTACTGCACTTCTTCTGATTCACTGCCACCTTGTGAATCAGAAGGCAGACTGATTCACCGGCTACTAGACGTTCTTTATGGTTTGGACTTTGGTTACTACCTACACGCGGAAATATAAGTCTTGTCCAGGATTGTGGAGCCTCCCTCAATGACACGATTAACATCTCCGATAAGTGAGTTGGAACTGCTTATAGGAACATTCTTCCATCGCGAATTCCCTTTATGTATGTAGTTTTAGCCACTTCCATGTTACTAGGCGAGCTGGGGTTTTGTACCTTAGCCGTAGGTATGCAATAACGTGTTCATTTTGCTGGAGAATTGCGTTGGGCCACCTCTGCGTGTCGTCGGTTGTCCCTTAGTTAAATCCACCAGCAATTTGATTCTATCGTCAGGTTTTTGTTTGAAATTGCAAGGCAGAGAGCGTTACATTGACACCAATTATTCTAATTAAAAACCTGCGCCCACCCAACTGCCGTGAGGGCGCTCGTGTACAACTTGGCGACCCCACGACACAGGGCGTGTGGGCTGCTTCAGAAGTAAATTGCTTTCATTCTGCATCTGGCCGCGCCAAATATGCCCCCATGAGTCAACTTAGTCCCCATGCCCTAAGGCCCCCTAACAAGAATCACGAAGCTATCTGCCAATGCCGAAATGCACAAAAATCCCATGGATTCGGCAAGATTTCACTTAGGGAACCAGAAGTGAGCCGGCTTTATTTCCCAGTTCCTAAAGCGGCGCTCGTAAAATTTGTTCTGATCTTTGATGTGGACAAAATCGTCTTTTGCTTTTGCTCACTTCTCTTATGATCCTCGTAAACGAAAATTGTAGTGATAATCTACCTCGTTTGTGGTGGGATTATTTCACACTTGCCGAGTTGTCCGAACAGATATCAGAACTTAGGTAGAGGTTTCCCCATGCTTTACGGGTCTGGTTTGGTAGGCAGGAATGGGACCAAAAGACCCGCTCTAACTCACCTCGAGGCTTGCGCCAGGTTGTTAGTTGGGAATCACTGCTATTTGGAATGTTTACGGAATGCTGTCCCCAACTGCGCAGAATTCACCCCGATGCCCTTCTGAATTCGGGGCTTTGCCGTAACGTCACTTAATACCTCAGAGGCTCATTACCTTCATTTCATTTTTGCCACGCCACAAGTGTTGCGTCTGCCTACTGTGACCACAAATTGGTCCAAACAGCTAAATCAAACCCGTGGAGACTAATTCGATTCACCGAAACCAACATTTAGTGAGGGTTTTTCACCCTTAAATGACTTTGTCTAACCCACCCACACATCACTGTATGACGAACTGGCTGGGGCTCAGGACAACAACCTTGGTGTTGCGTCAGCTAGAAGTGCGTCCCTCTTAAAAGTGCACAACCCGGTGTCTGCTCAGCCATGGCGCCCGCGGACCTGTGGGTCACCGAGGTGATTTCGTCGCACAACTTGAGAAAATCGATAAGCAAGCGCCGGAAGCCGTGCGACTGGAATTGGTGCATTCATGTGTTTTCAAAAAAAGATGGCTGTAGCTCTTCCCACCTAGGAAATAGGGTGTATTAAAAACAATGGCCAAGTCTCTGTGTTACAGTTGACAAAGTGCTGAGGCCCTGCCTCTTGAAGAATCAAACAAACCCTAGAATTTGAGTAGTGAGAGACTGTGCTTTAAAAATCGTGCAGATATCTGATCAATTTCCCTTTTAAAACTGAACATGCAATACCGAGCGCTTGATGGCTGTTTTAAAGTAGTGTAGCAAAGTTGGCTTGAACTTTGTCAGCACTTAATGGCTGTTTTATCTAAAAGTTCATTAGCCCACTTTAGCTACATTGGCCTTTACGGCGCCAATGTCCTTAGAACAAAAGTCTCCTTCCTCATGAAAGAGCTCTCGTTAAGAATACCTGCATGTTTAGAAGACTCAGTGCTTTGGCCAAAGGGCATTGTGAACCATAGAAGAGTTCGAGTCCATGCGTTAACGAATGGGGTCCCAAGGTCATGTTGACCATTCCTCTATACCGCGAGAGGCACATTCTAGTTGGATTTCAGTAAAATTTCCTGCCACTCTCAATGAATGTCAGCGCTGTCTGAAGAAACGAAACCTACACCAGGCGCGCTGGACGCCAGCTTTTCCATTTTGGTAAAATTCAGCGCAGTTACGCACACGCCAGTGTGAAGAACTATCACCATGGAAAGGGCAGCAATTGTCACCTGTTTCTTGAAGGAGTTCCTTTTGCTGGTCGTGAAGTTGCAACCAACCTTGAGCGGCAAATTGTTGTTGTAGTGGATTGAACCTTGAACAAATGCGGTCTAACTCGGGCAATAGAGCAGAAATGCGTGTAGATCGAAGACATGTAAAATTCGTTGAAACGATTTATCCCAGATAAAGTCAGGAAATTCACGTTTATCTCTGAAAGGCAGGTGTCAGGCTTATCCTCACGTTTTTTCGAAGTGCGGGATCCTCTAGTTATGCACGAACAAAGTATACGTTCTTTTACTCGCATCAATTTGAAGGCTTGCCGGTTGCATGTTGGTGTTCCGCTGACCTAAGTCGTGTTCTTTGAAATGCCCCAATTCGGGTGGTCTCTCGTTGTCGAGGTTGGAGTCGCGTAGCTTCCTGAAACTCATCATATGCATCTGGCCTTCGTGGACCTTGGACACTTGTTACCACCCAGTGGATGTCACTACGCGCTGAACCCTTAATGGTCTGTTTTGTTTGAAGTTTCGGCAGATGCTCAAATAAACTGCGTATCAATTAGCCCAAATCAGGTCCATCTTTTTGCCTGCCGACGTCCATTTGTGTCTGTGGTTTTATCGGGGTTACGTAGCCACTTCGCACAGGCTAAAACCTGTATGATCCAGCGGTCTGGCATGGATGGTTTCTGCCACTCCTGCACTGTGGTTTGTTGCGGAGTTGTGGCCCAAAATATATTGCCAAAATCGCATCTCTTAGTCACGTTCGGCTGTTTTACTTCCCTTACCTTTCACCTATTAACCTCCTACAACGTGGGGTAGTTCTAACGAGATCATTTTGGCCTCGAAATCGTTCGTATGTGTGTGTTTGATCTCATCGCAACTCTCACCAATTAGGGCATTCAGCCCATCGTTTTTTTCTTGCTCTTAATTCTTTTCAGTTTTCAGTCATGTGTGGCAATAATAACGGTCGATTGCGTGCAAAGCCATTATTGACCTTTGCTAATTAGCGCTTTATTACAGCTTTAGAAAGCTGGCGGCGGCGATGCTCATGATGATAACCTCTCACGGCCGTTACGTGATGTATTGTTTACCGTGCACTCACGCATCCACACGGAAGTGTAAAGGTGCGCGCGCGTCACCTACATTAGTCACGTAGAGAGAAGGTTTCACCGTATCGGCGGCAAGGGGTGATGGGTAGCGTCGGCCATATTACGGCCACCCGTTCACTTATGCCCGCTCTTACTACACACACGTGTGTTTCAACGAGCGCGCAGAAAAAAAGGGTTACGCGCTTCCCTCCCCCCCCACCACTCACAGGCGATTGGACGAGGCACTCGCAGGCGCGCGTGCAAGATGAGTAATGTCCGCACACGTACGCGTTTGCGTGCTGGTGATTTGTGTGAGAAAGATACGCTATTTCTCTTCATAATTTGGCGTGCTCGAACTGGCAGGCGGCACGCTTTCGAGTCGACCGATTTCGCCATATTGTGGACCATGTTTCGTGGCTGACAGCATAAGTCCTGCAGGCGAGGTTGCCATCCAGACTCATGCACAATTTGGATTCTCAAAGTAGTGTTGATCCCCAATCGAGTTCTCATCTGTGTGTGAGCCGTCTTGTCGAAGCGTGTGTGGGATAGTTTTGCCTCCGTATGGTTAATCGTCTATTCTGGAATCAGTTTGCGGTAGCAGTGAATGATTGTGCATGTCGATTAACCATGTACACAGGCGGAGTTCTTTTCAAGTCTAGTCGAATTTGTTGCCAAACGTAGTGCTTTGGAGTAGTTGCGGAAGAGCCTTCAATGATGTTGTCGCATTGACAACTCGGTGCCCAATAGGCGGCACGCACTGTCCATGGCTTGGATGCACGGGTTCGAGGCATTGGTAGTTAGTTTCTGCTTAAAAATTACTCAAACTGCTGATTACGTTTGAGCCTGTGAGGGGTCTACCAAACCGCCTGCATCTCCGTACTTCCAGTTCGTTCGGATCAGTGTTTCCGTGTCCACGACTCCTCCCACACCAGTTTTAGCCAGCGTGATTAGCTTTGTTAATGGTCGATGTGGTGTATTGGTGACGCGACGGTGTTTGCAGTTGGGGATGAGTCACTAAACGTGGCACAAGAGAAGTTGATATTTCGCAATCCAGACCGTGAATCATGCGTTCTTTTCTCATTCCTAAAATAGGCACCTAACTTCTAGGCCCTTGAGTAAGTGCGGCCTTGTCGTCGAAACATGAAGCTTTGCTGCTGCTTTTGCGGATGGGCTGGGTCAATTTTTTCGCTAAAGCAAATTTAATTGGCCGAGCCACCAGCTGTGCGCCGCTGCCACGACGCTCCTGTGCCTGCTGACCGTCTGAACCCACTATGGGTTCGTATCCCTCAATACCCAGGCCATGCGTGCATCCACACGTCGATGTTGAAAGTTGTCACTGCCACCATTCCACCCCACTCGCCATTTTATAACAAAAAAGTTGTTATACGAAAGTATGCAGCGTCTGGCCGTAGAGTTTGTTCGAGCGCTGACTAGCGTTTCGACAGCCTCACAAGCATGCAAATCACGTGACGTTTTTTGTAGATGCATTAAGACACCTCCGTGGTTGTTTATCTCTTTCAAGACGTGGGTTCCTCCCCCTCACCCAAGCCTAGGGTGCTGGAGGGGCGCCCATTTGGCTACTTTGGCAAACGTGCACGACCAAGTCAAATGTTTACCTGACAGGCTAATTTTGTCCATTGGGCTCCATTCGCAAAGACTCCAAAGCGTGTCGTTTTTCTTTGTAATTTCTTATCCCGTGGGTTACTCACTTGCGGAGTAAAGTCCCAAGAGCGGATCGTAGCCACCGATGATGTGCCCTCCTGCTTGCGTAACGACGAAATTTCCGGGTGAATGCGACTGACACGAGCTGAAGGGGTCTCTCGACGATGCCTCATTCACCAATCGGTGCCACGCGCGAAGCCGACGTCCGCGCCACGTGGGTGTGTGAAGTTACGCAACCGGGTGACCAATCGGTAACATGGCCGAGTTACGCAACGTGTTAACCAATGAAGAGTTAAGCCTGTTGCGCACATAACTGGACCAACCAATCCCAACAGAGACGCTCTTTTCATTACCGCACTAGGAATCACACACTTGTGGCTGGCCCGGTACGCACGTAGCGCGGAGAATCTCCCACCGGCCCCGAACGAGCTCTTTGACCGAAAAGGGCCTATGAGCAGTTACAGACTAATGCAAATCTTGTATTTCATACGCGATTCGCTCAATTTTCTTGTTACCTTACATGCATTCGTTGCGTTATAAGCGATCGCCACTTGATGATAGACCCGTCTGGTTTGACGTCACGCCCAATGCTTGAATACACCCAGCGAATTGGCGTCTGTGATGCAGTCGTGTAAATGTCGACCTACCCTAACACCTTGGCGATGCTTGAGTTTATGAGCGGACGAAGGTCGCTGAACGATTTTCAAAAAAGTTATCACACATAAAAAATAACGGATAATTTACCCACACCACAATGGTTCCCTCCTTTCTTCCCTCGCCTAAAACGCTGACTAACGTAGAAGTGGGGAAAAGCATCTCACAGCGGAGGGAGCAAGAGAACTCTGTGGCACTTCCTCCTCTTCCCCCCCTGTCGCACGGGCGCGCAAGCGCGTGTGAGGATTGTGATGTGTGTGTGTGTGTGTGTGCGTGCAGATGACTAGTCCGTTGCGTGGCCACCAGCCGGTTGTTGTCTAACCTAGTGGGAGGAGGAGGAGGCGGTGGAGGGGTGTAATGTGAGTAATGCCGCCCTATTCACACACATACACGCGTGCGCGTGCGCCTGTATTGCTACCGCCGAACGGGCATGAGTCATTCACGTATAAATTGGGCGGCCCTCCTGGCCCACGTCATGCAGTGACTAATGAAGTGCACCCGCGAGTGGAGCTTCGGGATCCGGACGCGTGTTAGCAGGACGCCAGATTGACGTCTCCGTGCTTGCGTGTGCGCCGTACAGGTGGTCCCACGTGAATGGTCAATGTGTGCCACCTGATTGGTTGTGTGTCGCCCACTTCCCGCCACCGGACAACCTTCTTCCAGGAAGTGTTTCTCGCACACCGGCCAGTCCCTTCCGTGCCTCCTCCACGGTGACGTTTGTTTACGTGTATCAATTTCACCGGTTCCCATGCTTCCAGAAATTATTACCGAAGCAAAGTGACGCGTGTTTCCCACTCCCGCCCCAGCGCGCATGACTCATGTGGGCTACGCGCGTGACGGTAATAGCCGCACAGCTGTCGATGGCAGTAATGCACAGTGGCCGTGTCGCTCCCTTCTCTCCCTCCCCACCCCCGCCACCACCACCACCACTCCGAGTCTTACAAGCTATGACGCGACGGCCACGCAACTTGCGCGTGCGTGCAGTCATCTCCGGAGCAGAGGGGAGCTTTGGGATGCGACTTCTAGGGCCGTTCTAGTTTTTAGCGATTGTGCCTCGTCATGCCACGGCAGCTGCACAAGCACGCGAGCGCCAACACGTACACCCATCTACTCATGCTCGCAGTTGTTGCTCTTTGTTAGATCTCAGTGGAAAAACTAGTGGCCGTGTCGGGTGGGTTCGGACGCTGGCTGCATTGCCAGGCCACGCGGAAGGTCCGGTGTTGATATCGCCATGGCAATGTGGTGCAAGTTAAGACAGGTCGCGTTACGCAGGCGGTGCACGTGGTGCTCACCAAGCAATTCATTTGCTGAGTGCAAATTGCGGTAATGTGGAATCAGGAAGGGATGCTTGTGTTCCCTTCAATCGATTCCTAAAGCCCCTCATCCGTTCTTTTGAATCGCCACTCCTTTCATAACTCCTGTCTTCAGGCCAACGAGTATCCATTTATGTCTGAAATGTAACGCGTGGTTTCTCTAACTCACTCTCCCTGGATTTCCACTCACAGAGGTGGAACACAGGTGTGACTTGACATCTGTGAAGTTCTCGTGGGTGCGACGACCTCTGCCACATAAGTCGTGGGTGGTTGTCAAGGTGGGCAGTTGTACGTTTGTGCCGGTTCAGTGCCTCTAAATCTACACTTCTACCCGTCTTCCAGAACATGACCACATTCCAGATGCGCTTTTTTGGTAAACAAACATTTCAAACGGAATTAGACCATTTAAAAAGAGATCGTGGTAGTTCATATGTCATAGCTTCCGATATCTATGACTGGGCTGCCATTCACGCAACCTAGGGATTTACTAATTAAGCTCTTTTTCATCTTTTAACTTTGTGCTCAAGTTAATTTTGTATTTTTTTGTTAAACGTGTGTAGTCGGAAGGCTCACGGAATTGGCAGTGCTGACCTCGACGTCGCCGCAGACGTGCTTCGATGGTGTTTACACAAGCCGGCAACAGCAGCAGCAGCAGCAGTCGTGTAGCTGGGCTAACACCCCGAAACCCACCACCCCCATCGCCGCCACCGCTGTCTCGCCCGGTTGCAACGGCCTTCAGGCTCTGATCTCCGCTGCGGCCCTCACCGCCTCACCTCTGCTGGCCGACAGTGGCGCATCCGACAGCCGCACAACGGCCTCCTGGGACGCCCATCAGATGTCTCCGTGTCTTCCGCTGGGGCTGCAACCGCCGCCTCAACAGAGCCTCGAGCTTCCAAGCGATCCACCGAAGCGACGATCTGGAGGTATGTCTGAGTCTGAATGTGTGCTCCATCATCCAAATGTCTAAAGGTGGAGCCACAAAAATGAAATGTACTAAATGTTTTACTCAAAACGATTAAGTAACAAGTAATTCGTTGAACATTTCAGTCATTCGAAGTCCGTCGGCCCAATTCAACGACGAGCGGTACAGGGAGCGACGACGAAAAAACAACGAAGCGGTCCGCCGGTGTAGAGAGAACAAGCGGGCGCGGTTATCGATGAGTGACGAAGTGACAGGGCGGTTACAGTCAGACAATATTCTGCTGCGGTCCAAACTCGATGGGCTCAATTCGGAAGTCCGGGCGCTTCGTCACCTCCTCCTTGCTGGCCAGCAATCTCAAGCCCAGGTAAGGTCCCTAGGACTGTCCTACGGAAACCAAGCTGCATGCTATCAGTGCTCTGAGATCCCGTTCCAGGTTGGAACCTTACTCAAAGCAACTTATGTGATCATGGCGACCTAGCAACGATTTTTCTAATAGTTTAACTGATATTCAATTAGTCATGTAGATTGTGACCCCTTTTCCATATCAATTGGTGTGAGAACAGATTTGTCGGAGACACTCTACATTGATCATCTGTAAGGAGAGGTAATTGGAACAGTTAACGTAGATTATTATTCCTATGGTATAATTGTGAAAGATTAGAGTTGAAACGTAGTAAAGCATTTGACCTCCCTACTCTAGCCTGCATCCAGTCCTCGTATGGTTTGATTTTCCCGTTCGATACATAAACGACTTCCCACATCTCCGTTGGCTCGTGTGTGACGTAATTTTGCTATTACTAAGATGTTTAAGTAGACACAAAAATTCATGCCATGGAAGTAACCATCCCGGCATTCCTCGAGACCTGGCAAATAGCATTCTCTGTGTCTGCCCTGTGTTTTACTGGCCTGGTTCGATCACTGAGCGTAATTTCGAATTTGTTTATTCAATGAGCACAGCCTCGCTTCAGGTTTACCGTATATGTTCTGCTTTGGTTAATACATGCATTCTACTCCGAGTTCCATCCTGATTTGGTGAATAAAGATAGCAATGTTTACACGGCACCTTGATTCGCCCAATGTCTTTGCTAGATGGCTGGCTCTCAGTCGCTGAAGGAAAACCCTCCGGAGACACCAAAGGCCCCTCCACAAACAGCCGAGGACACCTGTGCACCCCTGCCAAGTCCTCCTCCCGCGCAGTCCCCCACGAAACCTCTGCCAAAGTATGCGCTCCCGAAGAAAGGCATTCCACGCGTCCCCAGCCACCTTCCACCTCTGAAGCGACGCATCACCCTCCCTCCCACCTTCAACCCCTTGGCCGGAGGCGGCACCACCCTAGTTCCGCTTGAGGGGGGTGCGACTACGACTAACTGATTGACAACGCCCCCGCATTTTTACACTTCAAATTTTCTACACTTTTACAACGGCCACCTGCCAAACTCCTTTTGCTTTTTGTACCATGACGAAGAGCGCCAGCTTTATTGGTTGGTGTGAGTGTGTGTGCGTGCGTGAGTGTGTTCGAGCACGCGCGTCTTCCTGTTAGTTTTCGTAAGCGCTTGTGCGTCCTATTGGTTTCTATGTGCCCATTCATTTTCTACGCCAACTTTTCTCCAACCGAAACCGCGACTAAGTCCTGCATTTATACATTTAACATGCCTAGTGTATTCTCCCGTTTGACGACGGTGTAATTTGGTTTTCGAATTTGAAGCAAATGACGTCCGCCAAGTTTATGAAGTGCAGTTTTTTATTTTCGCGCATACAATGGGAGATCTTAGCCGGTTCGGAAGTCTTATCCATTCGAATTTTAGGGGCCCAGCATGTAAATAACGCCAGTATAAGCAATAGTGGATATGCGCCCTGGAATCAAAGCACAGTAAAAAGAGATCAGTACCTTGAATTACTATTGTGGTTATCCTGAGGGATAAGTATTATGTCAATAAGTAGAACAAATAACAAATGTTAAGCAGTTGATGCCACAACGAGTACAGTCACTAACCCCTACGAAGGACTTTGAATAGTGTCCCAACAAAACCAGTATAGTAAAACAAAGGGTTGTGCGGAAATGGCGCGACAAGCGCTACTCCTGTTTTCTCCTTCAAGCTGTAACGTTGTAACTACCTTGGGAATTTCCCACCACGGTGCTGTAGTCGACAGACCGCCACCTCGCGTGAGTGATGCGTGTACGATGGCCCTACTGCGCTAATGACTCACTCTCTTCTTATTGGCTCCCGTTAGCGGTCGCCTTTTACGTACGCGTACTCATTCACACACAAGACTACTTGGCTTAACGCCAATAAAAGGCCGTGTCCACCGTCGCTTCTCTTCTCCCTCTTCGCGTGTTTTCCAAGTTTTGGATCACTCGGACGACTGACCTGGTAACCAGCGAAGATTGTCTTAGCCTTCTCTTGGGGTCACACTGGGACGGTGACGGACCCGACCTTGCAACCGTCGTTGGTAGATTCTCCGTGCGAGTCCAAAATGTGAGACATTGGGGGGAAACAACCCAGGACCACCTTTGGATCAGGCATAGCAGATTAGGGTTGTTTGCATGTTGGTGGTGATATACTTCAGCGATAAACAGGCTTCTTTTTGGGTGATTTTGTGGGTCGAGCAATCGATAAAAAGGGCAGGTAAGCTGGGGTCGGTACGTGGAGAAAGATAAGGTATTATCTGTTGTGTTTATTACGGGAAAATGAACCACACAAGTTACAAATTATTGAGGTCTGTGAAGGTTACATTGAGACTTACCCACCGCACACATGTGTTTTAGAAGTTCGCTAGCAAACTATGTATTGGTGCTCGGTAATTTTCTGACATATCACGTCGTGTGCTTGAAAGATTTACCACAGGAAATCATAATATTTAAGAAATACATGCAGTGGTAGTCTGGTGATTGATTACAAGACCGTGGTTGAGGTCTGTCGTGATAATAACGAACGTGATAGCATAATTGCCAATCTTTTCCCCACTAGGCTGTGTGCCCAAAGGCGGCGAGTACAGGAGCGGTTTGCCAAATTATGTAATGAACACTTTCGTGAAGCGATTATCGCACAATAAAGGGGGTTCACGTGTTTGGTGTTCGAGGTCCAAGTGTCCAACTGAACTGAGGCGTTTTAAACCCTCCGGAGCGAGTCCTGGCGCAAAGTCTCGGATGTTTAATTACACAGAGGAGTTATTCACATGAACTTAATGTTCTTCGGTTGAGCCTCAACTACGCACGATCGACTTGCCGCAGAATAAAGCTGGATTGTGCCACATGGTGTCCGCGGAGAGGTGCTTGTGGCATCATTTTGCTCATCTTCTAAAGGTTCACAATTTGGCATTTACTTTTTTAGGTGACACAAAGAGCACTAATAAGTCACGTCTCAACGACAATGGGTGTAGTACTTTCACCTTTATCCTCTTGAATACCAGAATCAATGTTGTGATTCGTGTTTATTCAACTCCTTAATCCGATCGTTTCGCCTCCGATACAAGGCTCCCCTTCTCGAAGCATGGCAACAACCGCGCAAATCCTTAACCCCCCTTCATTCACACGTATATGTATCTTGGATTAACCTCACACCTAGATCTCGATGTTAGCGCATCTATGACTCACGAATCCGAGGTATAAATACACACGCGCAAACCCGACACAACGACACCAGTCTGGTTGATCTCTGAAGTAAACGGTTGTCTCGTCCACTCCGGTCTTCTTCTTCATCGCGGGCATCAGGCAATCGTAATCAGGCCAGGGTTAATTCAGTGGCCCCGGCGTGGTTCAGGACCACATGCTGGGGCCCACAACCGAAGAATATTTGCGCTTGAAAATACTTGGGCGAATTTCGATGCCTATGGGCGCTCTGCATGCTTAGTCAGTTGTTCAAACAGGCTAATATTACTCAACTGACTGGTATTTCAAGTAATTTCAAAGTAGAAGGGTAAGTCGGAGAAAGTATGCATGCCAGTCGATTCTCGGCATTCTGGAAGTCTTCAGTAACAAGGTTAGAATGATAATTGGGACCACTATTTAAAGTAGACTTGGTAACAGTTTAATAATTAACTGAAGGCTTGGACTTAATCAGTGGTCAAATTTCAACTGAGATGTCGGCATGCCCACAAAGACTGTACAAGGATAGGCAGTTGATCGGTCTCAAATGTGACATTTTAAATACTATGGACTTCGGGATAAAGCTGTCGGTGAATCTACCATAATTCTCCCCAAATTCGTACCACAAAATGAGGCCCCTATTAGTATGCAGTCTGAAATATTCCGAACAGGAGCAAAATTCTTTGTCTTTTTGCCTTGTTCTCAGCCATCTCATCGCCAATTTCCACTTAGCCTCTCCACTAATAAAATCGTCTGTGTTTCTTTCGCCTGAACGCAGTTTACTTTTCGGAACTGGGGTATTAGAATGATTTTAAAAGATAACTATAGTTCATTCAAATTATCTATGTTATAAATCAATTAAAGTCTACCAGGTTCCTTAAGGTACTACTTATTATTTCAGTTTACCACTTTTTCACAATTTCTAACAAACAATTCAAAATCTGCATCACGACTTTCAGGTGGTAATTTGTTCATGGCTGAACTGAAGAATGGTGAAGTGGACATTGATATTAAATTCGTCAATTAACCTGGTTGTGGATGTGTGTGGTTTCGTGTGAATATCTAACTAATAAAGACCAAGGAAGTGTAAGCGCCGACAAACTGTTAGAGCAAAATCGGACGAATAGGTTGAAACTAGAACGAGTTACAAATTTTAACAGTGTCAAGTCCTGTAAGAAGATTGCTGGTGCTACGATTTCGCTTCCCTAAAAAAATTTTCATTTAAGAGCGACCCATTAATTTAACGTCTCATTTAATCCTTTTTAAATTCTGTTAGACCTTAATTCGGTCTAAATAATATATGTGAGAAAATCAACTTGTTATTAGATTAGAGAAAAGACAACCATCAAGTACCATCCACTAAAGGACAGAAATAATACACTTTGACAAGGAAAAAAGGTTCATAAATAGCAATTCAACTTTACGTCCACATTCAGAAATCAGTGAAAAAAACCTTGATAATCACATAAATGGAATGCGATTCCCCCATTCATTTGTGCTTGTGTTGATGATTTGGTAAAGCAATAAAAGAACGCTGTGTAAAAAATAACCAAAGATCCATAGTAATTTTGAGGAATCGAAGTATAATGAGCAAATTAAATTAAAGTCTAAAACATCCACATCATTAGTTAGTAAATGCTTTATAATGAATAGTAAGACACATAAGCTTATAAATGAAAAGTAGGAACGCTTAGACTAAAAATGATTTTTAAAGATTACACATAATCCATTTATGTACCACGAAGCGTACCTACGACAATTAATTTAATAAAAGCAAAAGTAAAACGAAGTATAGGAATGTTTAAAAAAGCAACTAATTTCATTGGAATCTTCCATTGACCTGTTTTATATCATATAATCTAAAAGTAATGTTTACCACTAAATAAATAATTTCACAAGACGGATTAAATGTCCAAACAGAGTCTGTTACAAAACGAAAATGTCTGAAATAGGTTTAGTTCATAATTTACATAACTAATACGCAAACTACTGGAAACAAATTAGAAATAATTACATAGAAATAAATGCACGATGTTAAACTAATGAAAAAAATTGCAGACATTGATAAAACTGTAAAAGTATTAATGTAAGAAAGCATTTATTGGTCAAGCTAACTTCTTTATAGTGAGCGAAATTATTTTCTAACCAATGAATGTTGTCATGGGAACACACTACCTCTCGTCATTGTTTTAATCAACCTTTTAGTCTTTTAAATGACTGCCAATCTTTAAATATTTGTGGTTTTTACATTAACAATGGCAGGGTATGATACCTCTGCTTTGGCCATAGGCGTCAATGTAGATATCGAAAGAACAGATGGTATGGACTGTCTTCTTTACATATATGTTTCTACGTACTTTATGTTGGTGTTATTCACGGTAACACTTTGATTTTTTGTCTCGTGCAAAATGATTTCCTATTTGAATAACTTTTAATTTATAGTAACTTGATTATAATAAGAATCCCAAGTACTCGATGGTAGAGTGCTTTTGTATGCTATAATGCAATCCGAGATCCTTATATTTAGTTGGTACAAAGAAAATCAAAACTGACATCTGTGTTGCTTTAGTCGTTTGTTTTTTGGTTTAACTAACTTATGTTATTGCATTCTAACAGGCAGTTAAAATTATCCTTACGTTTAGCATATGTGGTGTTTAGCTGGTCCGTTTAGATGATTTTTCAAGCAGTTTTTTCGGTTAGCTGATGTTAAGCAAAGCAAATTCGTTTAGAGAAGTATACACTTAATTTAATGGTAGTGCATGCTTAATGCTTTTGGTGCACTTTGTACGTTTCCTTGTCAACATGCATATTTGATCTGAAATCATAGTCAAAATTAGTAAGTTTAGGATGGTAGTGAAAAGGAACAAGTTTTAATACATCCTAATTCTGCTGTCGATTAAGCGATTGAAGTAGTTAATTGTCATTTATTAGGATCTTTTCACTAATTTCGGATCACGGTCTAAATTCTCCTGAAAGTGTCAGGTGGGCTAACCCACTAATTATCTCGAAGATTAAATTCTGATTTCCATGGTTTAATCTCCAGCATAAACTAACTCCAAAAACAATCGGTGGGGGGAAAAGTCTCTTCTTTCGCCCATTGATAATAAGCCTCGACAACCCAGTCTCCTTATTCGTGTTAAAAAACTAAACCAGGTGATGGTGTTCCAGTACTGAATTTGGTTTAATTTCACTTAGTGAGGGCTTTTTCGCTGCAGTAATTCTTCAAATATAATCAGCCACAGGCTCTAATTGTCGTCAAACATTTTAGTGTTTTTTTTGTCTAAGACCGCACGTAACTCAAAGCAGTTTAAAAGGTAGATGCCATTTTATCAGTTTTTTTCTGAACTGGTGATGAAAGATTCTGCAGCCCATGCCTTGCTGCAATTACAAGAGCATTTACACTTCTTTTTTCGATCGCGATAATTCGTTTAACCGTCGATGTAATTTGGTTTTATCCATAACCACTTAATCAACATCCACCATTGTTTGTAAATCGTGACACCACGTTTACGTGCTGACTCCAATTGTCGCTTTTGATAAGCGGAAAATGATTTTGGACATTTTCATTAAAATTTTACCAATCTGTTAGCTCCCTATATCATAATCAGGTTCTGGCTTTTTGGTGACCCATAATTACCTTCAATTCCTTAACCACATTTACGTTTATGTCACCGAGACACTTTCATTTTCATTGCTGAAATACTTAACATCGTGACCCATGGGGTTGTGAAATATATTTGCTTTTGCTGATAAATTCATTTAAACATGGGCCCTAGTTTTTTTTGACTATACTCTTTAGTTCTATACAGTTTCAAGTTTTCATGCAGCAACACTGAGCCATCGCACTATTTCTTATTTACATGTTTTCCTTGTTGCATCAGGTCGGATTCACTCGGCAATAATCAGTGGAGTGAACCAAGAGCGCAAAGCAGTAACCGTTGAATGGTATGAACGTGGAGAGGCCAAAGGAAAAGAGGTACCGAAATGCTACCTTTTCTTACTTATGGGGTTGTTTGTCATAAAATTTGTGTTTAGCTCTAGTCGCCCGTTCAGTGTTCACTACAGAGGCGATCATATTAACTTCCATAAAGAGCTAGAGGCAAGAATAGTAAGAAGTACTGGAAACTTCGGTAATGGGGATTTTTGAAATAATGGCACTGAAGAAAACATGTCTGAATCATGCACCAACGCCCCCGCCATGTGTCACTAAGTGCACATTTTGCTAGTTGACGACCTTTACAGCAATACGTCATAGAGATTAGAAAACCATCTTCCCTCCGTAATTTATTGACACTTTTATGCATGCCTCACGTTGAAACAGGCGATAACTTCGTAACTGGTCACCTTTTACTAGAAGTACTTGTTGGTTGGTAGTTCTGAGGTCAGGAAGCTAAATGGTAGAACTTGTTAAGCGTTTGGTAATGTGCGCATTTTTCATACGGTGACGCCGAACCAGGCTGGATGGTTATCTGGCCAGCAAATATTTGTGTTTGTGAAGTCCTCTGCTGTACGTGAAGGCAGACCCTTCACAAAATTTACTGAATCTGGAAGCTTCTATTCAGTAGTGTGTAATTAATTCCTTCTACGTGAGTATAGGCCACTAAAGTCCATTCGGGTCCATGCTCCAGTGAATTACCTTTTTGACAGGTTTGATTTCGAGCTGCTTACCTAGCCTTAATCTTATTTCACTTGTAATTACTTTACGAAATAGTGAATCCCACCCCTTTTTCCACCAGAGAATGTGAAAATGTTGGACAAGCTTATATTATTCGAATCCATATTCAAACACTATGAACCCTTTATCTTTAGATCGAGATTTCTGCGATATACAGGCTGAATCCCTCACTCCGACCTTTCGACGTAAGTTAATTGGTTTATTGCATGGTGGTCCCGACACCACAGCTGAAAAATTAATATCACGTGTTATGGTGCCAGCCCACTAGTCCCCTCACATTAATTGTGTAAGTTATGACTTTGAGAAACTATCAAATACAAAAAAGATTACTTTTCCAAATGTGCGAGCTCACTACCGTTCTACCGACTCGCCTCCTATTTATCTATTACGATATAGCTGAGGTAATGCTGAATCTGCTCAGCAGGATTTGCAGTGATTTTCAAGATCCTATACTTGTAATTTTTTAATCAAACGTTGATCTGAATAGGAGGTTAAGACCGTTGTCCTAATTTTATGGGTGCTTCCTGAGGGTATTCGGTTTATCGATTTTCCCGCGCTCTTGCCATAACTTATGTTTTGCGTAACGGTTTCCATCTCGTACCAGTCTTGAGTTGTGCCTCCTCTACATCAAAATATGCAGTGAAGCGGCCAAGAGCAACGGGGAATGCATTCACGATTTACTTGAAATACAAGGGCTTATTTTGTGTCGTATTTAAACTTTAGGCTGTTCTTTTAATTTCTTTACAGCCCTCTAATGATACCACGTCGGTGCTCAAGGAACGCCCCGTCAACGAGACCGTACTCACCAACCAACCACCTTCACAGAGGAAGGTCACTCAGACACCCACCCCTGGGGCATCTACCAATCAGGGTGGAGGCCCTCCTCGACAGTATCGGGGTTCTCGTTTGCCCGCACCATCGACGCGACCCACTAGGGCTCGTGCCAACGCCGCCTCGAGTAGTGTAATGGCCGTCGCCGAGGATCTTGCTCAGCCTTCGCGTGGGGGTGAATCGGATGCCATACAGCATTCAATTGCCACCGACACTTGTAAGGCTTTTGACTAACGACACTTCGCACAGCTACGCGTACGGTACACGCAAGACCGTTGTTACCTGTGTTTAACGTATGGTTTTGTACTGAAACATCCGTTTCCTAGGCATCTAAGTACATCCCGCCAGTGCACTGCAGTACGTCGTGGCTTAGAGCTTCTAGAGCTTGCCTTAAAACCGATCGTTGTTGACAAGCGGGTTTTGTCATGAAAATAATCTGTACAGCCCTTTTCCTTCCCGTCACCGTGACTATACTCACAGCTTCTATTGTTAGCTTGTTGGTTATTAATGATGAGTGAGGGATTATGCCCTTCTTCCGTTGGTGTTACGCGAAACAACTCAGAGCAATGTCTGTTACTTAGTATTTTTCACACCAGTGCCTGTTGCCAGGCAACCAGGACATTCTCTTTCGCTGTTGCCTCCTCATTGTCCGCTTTCAATGGTACAAAACATGCCGCAACGATAGTGGGTCCTTTCTTTGCAGCCCTCGCGCAACAATCAGGTTCCCAACGCGTGAACGAAGCAATGGACACGGATGAAGTTGTTACCAGTACTACCGCCAGTCGACTTACCGACTTCGAACAGTTTGATGAGCGGGCTTGTGAAGATTTGACCCTGCGGGAGGACCTCGATTACGAAGTGGACGATGGGAGTGGTGGCGGTGGTGGTGGTTATGCTCCAGAGGATCGTCAGGATTGGGAAAACTACCATCAAAGCAACGGTCGGAATTTCCCAGAGACTCGAGATGTACTTGGACCGATGCCCGGATTCGGTTCTAAACAGGAAGCAATGAGGCGAAATGGGAGTAAGATTTGCGCTGGAATTGCTTTCTATATCTGTGCTTCGATGAATGGTCTTCGAACCTCTTAGTAATTGCGTCTTCGTGTATTCTCTGGACACTAACCGCATTTCTGTAGGATGAGGAAACCAACCCATTACTCACACCTTTCTACTACATTTCATGCTTGAGTTGGGACCAGTGCTAATTTGCAGCACCTTGAAATGTTCATTATGTTGATTTTGCGAAAGTCAACGTTCTAGCATTGAATATTGTCCAAGGAGTCAGTTACGACTGCTAAATAAAATTGGCTGTAAATTTAGCTCGTGGTACGTCAAATTCAGTGACACCAACAACGGCCAACCAGCCAGGCGCCGCAAACACTTCAGTGACCAGTAGCAGCACATCGCGAAAGTCCAGTGTTGTGAAGGAAATTGAGAGGATTCAACAACGCAGGGAGGAACGAAGGGCCGCCCAGAGAGCCGCCAGGGAACAGCCCGACGTTGATCCAACAAGTCCAAGTTACGAGTTTCTTATGATGATCAGGTTAGTGACCTCTTCAGTGGTTGTATTTAATTCCTGTTGGTGTTTCAAACTTTTTGGCCTTCGTGCCTAACCTGATCATTTCCAGGCTAGAGTTTTGTTAGCCGTCACTCTCACCATTTCATTTATCGAAAGCAGAATTGTTGGGCGTAGTGTCTACAACTCAAATTCGCTGATGCATCTTAATTTCGTGCCACTCGTCCCGTCATTAGGATCATAATTATACGTCGACTTGGATTTTACCGGTCCGGATAATAAAAACTAGCGTTACCTCGTGACAGAGCATTCTACCAACGAAGCATGCCTGTCTTGGGTCGCGTTTGCAGTGTCATACATGTCCTGAAAATTTTGCTACGATAGCCTTGTGGGTGCAGGGAAATAAACCAACTTAGTCTTTAAGAACTTTTCACTTAAATTTCAGGGGGCTTAAAAATAATTTCTAGCAATGTCAGTATGCCAATCACATTCGTGTGTAAGCTCTGCAAGGTTTAGGTAATCGAGTCTTTTTCATGTTTAAGTGCACGTAACTTTTTCAATAGGGAATACCAGGAGTCTCTTGATTATCGACCGCTGACGATTTCCGATGAGATCGAGTGTCACCAGATCTGCGTGTGCGTCCGAAAACGGCCAATGAATAAAAAGGGTAGGTTATGTTTGAAGCATCGGGTTGGCACCGTTTGGTTAAGAAGGCTTTATGGGATAATTTCCGGGACAAGCGACATTCCAACGTTCAGGTGGAAACACAAAGCTGGTCTGTTGCATTAAGTGGCTTTGCATCAGAGGGCTCATGCACATTTAAAAGTGGCATTCAATTTTGTACATTGTTGTGCGTGTTTTAAGCCTCAACTTCTTGAGACTCTAAAGTGCTGCATTTTCTTTTCCAGAACTCGCTCGCAAAGAGATCGACGTCATTACCATACCCAATAAACAACAAATTCTTGTACATGAGCCCAAAACCAAAGTAGACTTGACAAAGTATCTGGAAAACCAGTCCTTCCGATTTGATTACGCATTTGACGAGACCGCCGACAACGCCTTGGTAAGCACGTTTTGCATGCCCTTAGTAACCTGCGCCATCACCATTTGCCTTGATAGATGGTCGGGTCGCCTTAATTACTAGCTTGACGTGCATCTGGCATGCCATTTAAATCCAGTGAGAAAGGGTTTTATGCACAAGAGAGGTGTGTTTAATCAATTATACGACAATTTTCCCCACTGCCAACCAAGGTCATTTGCCTCCGTTTGTAGTGTGTGTGTGTGTGTGGTTCCGAAGATTGCTCTGATCCTGCGTCCCTTCTCAGGTTTACAGGTACACCGCCCAGCCCCTCGTGGAAAGCATTTTCGAGCGTGGAATGGCCACGTGCTTCGCCTATGGCCAGACAGGCTCGGGCAAAACCCACACAATGGGCGGTGAATTCCATGGTCGTGGTCTGCAGGACTGCTCCAACGGCATTTACGCTCTGGCTGGTAGGCTTACTACTTCCCCTTACCTTGAATCTCATTCACTGCCTCTGCAAAGCAGCGTCCTGCTTATGCAATTGCTCCATACCGTTACTGAAATTAACTAGTAGTATTGGCTTTGATTCATCGCTACCCGCCTCCTTGTTTTACTGGCCAGTGAGGCTGCATGCTCGGCCCTTTTGACATGTTGACAACCCTGCGTGCGAGTGGGTGCTGCGTGATAGAGCCATATTGGATGTGAGTCACGACTTCAAAATTGCGCGCTACATGTATTACGCCATTTGAGTATATCGTTCAAGACAAGTAAGGTTGTCATCAGAGTTGTCTTCGTTGTTCTTGACGTGTCTGACCTCAGTACACTTATTGTAACAACAGAACCAAAGTTGCGGTTAAACAAGCAATGTGTACAGAACGTGACTCACAAAATACTGGGGGTGGGGTGCTTATTGAGTATTTGAAAGAAGCTAAGGAAGTGTCAATACATGTTTTTACAAGCTTGGAATTTTGAGGCTGTCTGTGGTTCACACGCAGCTGTCATTCACATGGATTCGTTTTGCTCAAGCACTTCTCTAGCTACTCTTTAGTGGGTTTTTGCATTAGCCTGTATCTAATCTACTTGAAACAGGCTGTGACCTAGTCGGTTATCTGCGAGTTTCTTTCCAAACTCCTAGGTCCAGCCATTTCATGTGTTAAGAGACCTGTTGAAATTTGTGTGTGCGTGGCTGCTGCACTTTTTTTTAGCACGATAAGTGCCAAGACCATGAACAATTTAACTTTTTTGACACTTGATTCTCCCTAAGAAGCAAGGCGTTAGTGTCTCCTGGCGCTATTCATGCATTAAACGTGCTGCGTTCTGAAGTCTAGTCCAATCATTCAGTATAGCACGAAGGGGCAAAAACTCGTGGTCATCGCGGATAGAGTGCCTGATTGGTGCTTTCTTCACAAAGTTATGGATGCATCCACTGATCCTAAAAAAACCAACAGTTTTCGTTCTTTCACGCGATACACCGCGTCCTAGGAGTCATTGGCCTGTTGGAGAAAGCCAGTGGGAGTGGGGATGATGCTCACAAATGTGGACTCATCTGTTTCAGCCTGGCAACGACCCAAGCATGGTGATTGGTTGCGCGAGCGTGATTATAATAGCCCTCTTTCTAAATGAGTCATATGGGTGGCGCGCGAATAAATGATTTCCGCAGTGTATGCCTCCATCTCGTGCGCAGCGAAGGGACGTTACTGCTTCTGTGCGGTGATGAGTCAAACACCTTGCTGCCTACATTTAAGGGAGGCTGAACACTTGACATTGGACAATATTTTAAGATTCACATGAACCTAATGTAAACTGCACTACAGTCTAAATGTAGCAGAAATTGTTCGCCAAGAGACCGACGTTATTACCGTACCCACTAACTTGTAACTGGGCAGTATTTTAATACTCCCTTGAGCCTAACGTAAATTGCGCACACGAGTCATTATGTTCGATTATTTTTAAACGTCACTTCAATAGGGTAGCGTTATGCAGATAACTTGGCGTCTTGCAAATTAGTGTTCTAATCATATACTTCAATACTATGTTGCATGTAATCTGCCGAAAGTTCCCCATAATATAGTCTGCATCTCCATGGTCAATGTTGCAATCTCGATTAACTTGTATACAGCTTGTGAATTCGATAGTTGGACTACTTGTGATTAGCTCTTGGGTTCTGTGTAATAATTGAAGCCAGCTTGAATTGTTGTCGAATTCTCCGACGTTAATCTTATGATGATGAATACTATTATTATTACTTGTAGGAATAAAATAGATGTGATTTTTTTTTACCGATAGTCAACTTGTGGATGGTAATTGTTTGACTTTGCGTCGCCTTGCTATGCCTCCCACGTTTTCCTGCACTTTAGCTCGAGACGTTTTTCACCTGAACGCCACAAAGTACAGCCATGAGGATCTCTGTGTCGACGCGGCCTTCTTTGAGATTTACAGCGGCAAGGTGTACGACCTGCTCAACAAGAAGGCCAAACTGCGAGTGCTTGAGGACGGGAAGAACCAGGTCCAGGTCGTTGGTCTCCGACACGAGCCTGTGCACTCCGTGGAGGATGTGCTGCGTCTGCTCAAATACGGCGCCGACATTAGGACCAGCGGGCAAACTTCGGCGAATCAACACTCGAGCCGGTCCCATGCCGTGTTCCAGGCAAGCCCGCCCGCTTTAATTGAGCTGCCATTTGGTTCTCGTGTGTAGGGTATTTTTTTGATTAAGCCACACTCAATTAACCCATTAGGATCCCCCACAAAAGTGCCTGTTTTTCCTGATTTATTGAGATTCGCAGTCTTTGTTTGCCATTACTGGGTTTATGGGTTTCTGGTGTGTATTTATGTGTTCCCACAATAAACACTCTCGGCTGATACTTGAACAAACAGAGGTTTCATTATCGATGATGTCGTGGATGATTTTTTGTTAAACTAATCGACTTCTTTTCTGATTAAGTGACTTTCCACACTGGTGATCGGAACTACTAGCGTGCCTTCAAAAAACCGAGACTAGCGTTTCTGTGTGGTCCAAACCATTTCCATGCACAGTTTTATTGAATCTTTGAATTGCCCACTTAGCTTGATTCCCGAAATAATGAGTTGCAACCATTTACTTGTCGTATTTCTCCCTCCAGTTAATCCTCAAAAAGCGTGGACCGAACAAACTGTTTGGCAAGTTCTCCCTAATCGACTTGGCTGGCAACGAAAGGGGAGCCGACACAAGCAGCGCCGACCGAATCACCCGAATGGAAGGAGCGGAGATCAACAAGAGCCTTCTCGCCCTGAAGGTTAGTGCTGCCTCGTGTCCTAAAGCCAACCCCTAAAGCAAATTTTTTAATGGTTAAAGTGTAAGGGTGCCTTGTAAATTTGATGTCGGTTCATTGTGGCAGGAAGATTAGTAATTCGTACTTTAATTTTGTCTGCATCCAAGCAAGTGTGGGCGTAAGTGCTATTGGTATGTCAATTTTGCAGGAATGCATTCGCGCTCTTGGTCGCAAAGGCGCACATACGCCCTTCCGTGCCAGTAAATTGACACAAGTCCTCCGCGACTCCTTCATCGGCGATCGCTCACGGACATGCATGATCGCAATGATCTCACCTGGCATCTCCTCTTGTGAGCACACCCTCAACACCCTCCGATACGCCGATCGGTGAGTCTTGGTAATGGCGTCATTTTTGTGCAGTATTCTAACTTCACGGAACCTCGTTCACCAGGATAACATCCTTTTTGCTCCTCGTTAACCGACTTTTTAAAAGGTTCTGGCGGTCTCCAGACGATAATATGTCACATTCTTCAAGCTGATCTGATGGCTCCGCTGTCAATGAAAATGTTGGTTAGGGTTGACGAAGACATTACATTCATCACAACTATGCGTTTGAATAACGGTATCCTTTACCTTGTGACTGATTTCCGACACAGGGTGACTATTTGCTTTCTTATGCTGTCACTTCAATCCAGGCAATATTTTCAATGTGCGTCATTCGATATGGCACTGGTATTGATGCCTGGCGATGATTGTGGCGTTAAGTGTGCAACTTTACAGTGACAAATTCTCTCTGTCGTTTCTGGCCTCACGTAACTCCATATTTTTTGCATTTTAGCGTGAAGGAATTGGGTCCTGGAAATGCGAACGGTGAGTTAGATGCAACTTTCACTCCACTCATGCACAATCCAAACATTGACGAAGTGTGCTGTTTGCACCCGTGTGTGTGCAAGGCCGGGGTATTCCGTGTAGTGTGTAAACAAGCAAGGCAGTTTGCGATTCGTATGTGAAATGGGTTAACTCGCTGTGTAGGAGGTCGATTTTGATGCACCATCCCGGGTTAACGGGTCAGACAAAGTCCCCCTAATTTAGTTACACACTCGTCGCATTAAATCCTTGCAACTAGCATTTTTCTGGGGTTGGGCTAAGTTGCGACCCCCGTCTGGACACTTAGCTCTTAGTGGGAACTATGTGAAAGCAGCTGCACCTGCACTCTGTTACATTGATCTAACATGAAGCAACCGTGAAAACGAATTGCATGCCTTTCTCAATGCGTAGTAAACTCCAGTTATGCTGTTTTGTTTGCGTGATTTCGGGAGTGATGATGAATTCATTTTTCCTTAAAACGGTAACCTGGAAGTTATTATGTCAGTAGAGCGTTCTTTTTTCTCAATTACAAGGGCTCACTCGCAGTAGCTCTTTGTTGTCGACCTTCACTTATCGCTGTAAGTAGGAGGGTGGAACGGGCTCTAACAACTCTGCCGCGTGCAGTTTGTCTCTTGGCGCCTCACGGCTGCCTTTCTGCTTTGCTTGGTTAACTTTTGCCTCCTCCGTTTAACCCCTTTTCACGATAAATCTGACCCGCAAACCGCTCGAAAAAACCTCGCTTCTTTTTCTCTCTCCGCCTCAGTCCCGTCAAAAAGTACCATGTCTTCACGTGTTTTGCACTCTGAGTTTCCCTCACATTACTACCAAAATAAAGACCTGTAGCTGGTGTGTACTTGTTAATTCGAACTTGGGAGAGTGTGGATCGATGCAAATCTGTTCCATAAGTTCATCCATAACATCAGAATTCTATCGTAGCCACAATTTCGATAGAGCGTTTCCATCAGCTGAGCAGTTCGCCTCAACGTACTCGAAACCTTGGCCTGGTCCACACAACCACCCTTCTACGCGTCTGCTTAACTTTTTCCCCTCAGTTAACATATTTTGCGCTAGAACAGTCCTTGAATTACTGACTAAAATTGACCCCTTCTTATTAACCCACACACAGGCGCATCAGGCGGGACTGTGCCTGCTGGGGACAGCAATTTTTCAGCACAACCAGTCCCACCAATCCCCTCGGCCATTCCGTCGAATCGAGGTCCTGTCACGAACCGGATTGGAACTCGCGGCGGAGGCGATGCCGCTGGTATCTACTCCTCCTACAACGGCAGTGGACCCCTCCGTGGCTCGGACGATCGATATGGCATTGGGGGTTCTGGAGGACATATGATGGATCATGATCCCGAGGACGATGATCTAGCCATGTTGCGATCAGCCAATGTAAGTTGTACAAGTCGATTCACTTCCAACTACCCCCAAATGATGGACTCCCAGAAGTTGCCATGCCGTCCCATCTAGGTTCTGAGTTCTAGAAAAAATTATGCAAAAATAAGTTTCGTTAGAGGGGTAGTTGACGTGTTTTTCCCAACTTTTTGCAAGCCTTCTAGTCGTCTTCCCATGTACCTACTGCAAAGGGCTCCTTCAGATTCTACTTAAACTCGTACAGTTTTAAATTTCCTCTACTAATTGTCACCAGACTTAAACTAACAACCAACGAATACAAATGCTTTCTGTCGAACTTCGAAAGGTTGGGAATAAAGTGTGCCAGATGTGCGTTGATTTGTGCATAGTGTGACGGCTTAGGTGAATCAGGGTGCAGCGAATGATTCCGTCAGTTGAGTTCGAAGGAAACTCGCACTGTTGCGTGGACTCACCGTTGACGTTGGTAGTCCCAAGGCTCTGGTAGCAGTTACCATTTGACGTGGAATTTTGGCGAGAACACTGCATTAGCGACCTAAGTTCTTTTTCAAAGACAGTGCAACTTGTAATTAGTGGTTGAATTCAGCCGAGTAAACGTGGTTAAAAGATTAGTAAAATCTGGTTAGATTGTTGAAAATGCGTCTCGTCCAAAAATGTCATGTTGTCTACGTGGTGAAGGTGGGAGGCGAGTTATGCACTAACCAAGTTTCTACCATCATTGTTGGTCAAATGCAAGAAAACCATTGACAGGTAGATGCCCGAAGTGGTCACAGAACATGGGCTGTCTTCCACCACCTCAATGCCTGGCTATGCGTCGTTATATGCAGGTTGAAGTTTCTCGACGGTTTACTCTTGAAGTGCGTAATTTCAACGGAACGGGACGCTTGCCAAGAGTCATTTAAGTCTAATCCAATTGCACAAGTGTTCATCGTCTCGGCCTTTTTTGCCGTCTGCGAGGTAAAGTCTCATTTCTCTGCGCTGCGGGTATTTTATTATGATATATGGAGGTGCCGGGAAGTTTATGTAATGTCTGAGATGGTATCTCCCTCTGCCTTGGCCACCCCTCTGTCTGCAACGTGCCCTCGGGCTTTGTCGCGCTGACTATTAACTGCTTGCCCTTTGGAAATCGTTTGCCTTCCAATTTACAGCTGGTGTCTGTAGTACCTACCTAAATCCTTTTTTACCGTGACAAACTTGTGCTACGGTGATTCTTTCGTGATTCCAAAAGGCCACGAACTAATTTATTTGGAGCTCATTGACTATGCAGTCCATTCGTGCAAAACAAGGCCTTATGTAGGCCGCATTATCGTATTTAATTCCGTTCGCGGAGAAGTTGCAGCTGCTTTCAGGCTGCTGGTTTGCTGTAGCTTTAGAGTTTGTAAATCGTCGGTAGAAAACTGACGCGTTTATTAACTCGAGTTTTCTTAGGACGACAAAACGTCTGCAGACGTGCTGGAACTCGACATTTGTCCTGAAGTAAGCCAATCACGCCACCAGAAGTGTGCTACTTTACTCAATCGTTGTGTTATTCAGAAATGACATCGAAATTTCCGTTTTTTTCCCCGAGGAAATGTCACCTGGTTGCTTATTACCTTAAGGTCTGCAGTTATCTAATTTGCTAGATGAGCAGGCCCATATTAGCTCACTACTAAACCCATGTGTCTATTTTTTGTTTTATTGATTCCAGAAGGTGAGTTAGAAAAACCTTCGTTGTGTGTTATTACGCTTTTTAAGTTTTGGAAGTGCGCATGTGTGTTTGCGACTGTCCTCACGGTGTTTATTGCCTTCAGGATGGCGAGGTCTCGGAGGAGTTGCTCAACTTCCACGAAGTGGTCCGCCACATTGAACGACTTGAAGAAGAAGTATGCGATGACCACGTCGCCCTATGCAATGTGAGTTCAGCCGTCTCCGTGTGATCATTTGTTTACACTGTTATCAACTTTGTTTTACCTATTCATCAAAATCACTGGACTCCTCGTTTTTCTCACTGTGGAGAATATGCATCGTTTCACGTCGCTTCTCAATGATTCGTTACGCGTAGCGCTTTTGGGCCCAAACTTACTAGTGAACTTGATTGCTTTTGTGCTACCGGGCTAAGTGACCCACCGGTGAGCACGCATTCCCCCTCCACTGTACTCGTCAAACGAGGCGCAGGTTGCGTGACCTCTCAAGTCATGATTGAGAAGGGCGTGTGTGCGGTCGTTGGAGTGGGGAAAATCAGTAATCGTTTTGGTTTGTGGCCTTTTTTACAAATTAGCTAAGGCTCGTCCCAGATCCAACTCCAATTCAGGTTGTTTGAAGTAATAAGCGTTATGAATGTGCTCACCGTTTTTTCCTACGCGTTTTATTAGAATTTTAACAAGTGGTCCAGTGAACATCATCGACTGCAAAGGGAGACCATGAAAGTTCCCTACGATGTTGAAGGTCAGTTGTCCTTCTGCTTGCCTTCTTTTGGCGTTTTATTGATTTTTCTGAGATAACTTCCACACGGCGGAATTTCGGTTTTTTGTACTAGCGCTTCCACTAAATCAAAGCGTTTTAGCAAGCTCTGAACAACACACTCCTCACTACCGTGGCAGATTTTCTTATACTTTATTCAGTTTGAAACTTATTTGTACGTAGGCGGGGGCGATTGAGAGCCCACCTCACAACCAAGAAATCGGGATTGCACTTGGAGTAAATGGGGGGGGCAATTTCCTTCATTTATCCTCAAATGCTGCATCTTTACAGTAATAACATGCAGCCAAATGTCTTATTTCAATTTCACTCACACGAGTGATCGTTTGGCCTGGAGGTGGTGGTTGCATTCGGTTTGCGTGTAAAAGGCGAGCAGCATTGTGTTACGTTTGATTGCGGATGGGAGAGCATGCCACACCATACCTCTGAAATGAGACGGAACCCCCTTTGATATTTTAGCGTACGCTTCTCGCTTGGAGCAGCTGCTGTCAACACAAGCCAACACACTCTTGGCTCTTAAAGGTGTGTCTTCGTCGTTTTTCACTTAATTTGCTCGGTCCACTTTATTATCTTGCTTTGCGTTAATGCTGGCCACCACAAGTACTACTAGAGTGTTTAGTAAGCACTTCCCAATTAGTTTTTTTACCACCCTTCAGATAATTAGTCAAATTAAGCGCCTTTGTCAGATTACGCATCTCTGTTATGCGTTTTTTTGCAGACAAAGTGTCAACATGGCGACGCGAAATGCGCCAGGAGGAGGAGATAAGCAGCAAGCTTCAAAAGGGCCGGCGACTGTAGCGGTGCTTTTTCCCGCAGTCAGTCTCACAAGTGATGAACCCGCGCTGGGTCACTTTTATCCGCTTCTACAATCTCTCCACGCGCAATCCACCATCATCCCAATGTATTGATAGGCTGTGTCCGCTTTTACTGCTGGTGGACTCCACGCGTCCCGTCCCCATGTTTTGTTCCCCACCCATTTCTCCTCACTTCTGCTAACAACGATAGTCATTTCAGAGCGTTTGTGAATGTGCAGATGTACCGATGTGCGCGTAGGCCTCTCAGAGACACTTGTTCATAAAAGGCACATCGTTGAGCTTTCTACTCTCCTAAGGTTGTTAAGTGTTGGGAGTGGTTGAAGAAGCCACGCTCCCCTGTCTCCCTTGTTGACTTTCGATTATTGCACCGGTTGTAGAAGGCATCATCCACCCATTTACTACCTTCCATCCACACTCCCTCTAGACTTCCTCAGCGACTCCACACTTCTTGTCTGGTGGATTTACGAGAACGGACAGATCTCCACTCCAGTTAGTAATTGTTCACTGCATTTGTCAATGCGACCGTCGAGCGATGCCTCGGGTAGTCGAACAAGTGTTTATGACCGCATCGGAGCCTTCTCTGACAGCGGTGTCGCCACTGTCTGCGTAGTGGTTTGGTCATTCTGCAAACACGGTTGAAGGGAGATCTGTTCTTGCTTTAGTGAATGGCCGCGGCTATTAGCCGACAGATGGGCTGTAGAGATTAATGGCTTTAAAATCGGGCGTGATGTCGGCTGCATTGTTCACCGATGTGCCCCACGTGCACAGCGTCGGCTGCAAATCGTGTGTGAGCGCTTTCTCCTTTTCCAACTCGATTCGGTGAAGGGAGCATGTACGATAACTTTGGACTTAACTAAAAATCAGATTAAGTTTTCGAAAGGGACATTTTGAACAATGCGGTGTCGAATTGTGCAAACTACTTTAACGGAGGTAGTAGTTGTATGCGTGGGTCCTAGGTGTCTTCGCGAAGTTTCGGAGTGTGATCATGCAAGGCCGAGAAGATCACTGTAAAAGCGAGTGGACTACTTCTTCCAATCGAAACCCTTACTACTACGTAGTACGAGTAGCGTGGTTTTAAACATCGAAGCTACGGAAGCCCTGTGGTTTTGCGTTCTTGGTGCCGAATCGACTTTACTGCCATTTGCACCAAGAGTCTGAAGTCGGTTTCGTTTTGAAGACATCGTGGAATAAGGTGCTTAACCCCAGAAGTCTGATGTTTAATGGGAGCGTTGCTAATTGCCAATCAAGCATTGGGAGGTACTGCAAAATTACCAGCGTACGAAAAAGACCTAGGTAAGGGCGCGTACATTAGTAAAATTGACCGACGAATCAGCTAAAACGTGGAACTCATTTTAATAGGAGGTGTTTGCCAGTCAGCAAGCACAACAGTGCAAAGCTATAAAACTCGTCCGGGGAGGCAGTATCGTGCTGGTGCGAGCTCAGCAGACCTGTCAGTTCACGAAAGGCGAATATTGACAACAGCACAGAACTGAGATGCACGTCTACCCAATCTATGATTTCGCCTTCTGATGAGGTATTCAAGAACACGAATCGCCAACAGAGTAGCTAGAATAACACTTATATTGTCGTGTGACATTGTCTAACCAGCCAAAAAATAGTACCTATGGTGGCGTTGAAAGAACAGTAGTTGCATCCCGCTACAAGCATGCAGCACACAAATAACAAAAAAACATGTACTACTCAATTTATAAGTAGCCACTTTATCTGAGAACCGCTAGTGCGGAACTGCAACTGTTGGGGCGGTTCCGGTGGCGAGCAAAATACGAAGGAAAGCTAAATAAGAGGAATTGATTTCTGCAGCATCCAAATGCTCAACTGAAAAGGTAATTTTAAAATACTCGATTGTCTGCTTTTTGGAGCTTCGGCCTACAGCGAGTGGTGGTGACTGGTTTTGTTTGATTTAATGAGTTTTGTGATTATTAAAACTACTCGGGGGGATCCCTTTACCACCGCAGGCGCCTCTCGTCAACGTAATTTTTCACCACAAATGGTCTGAGGAACTGTAATTAATACATTAACCGGATACATTTATTTTGTGTGGTGTTCTGATTCAAATTAAAGGTAGGCTCGTGTTAGATAACAATAGCATGGCGAGTAATCAGGTTACTTTGAATGCAGGTGGGGATGACGCATGCAAGGCGACTACGAGAAGTCGCGATCGGGGAACATGACCGGAGCCACAAGGGTCCAGATGTAGATGGCAACGCACACCCAACTGCTCGCGCCCTTAACCCAAAAACTACCGTAGTTGGCCGACAGCATAGAAGTCTGGCTGTCGGGGCGGTACCAGTCGGTGATGGACATCATCACAAAGAGCGTTGCCAGCGACATCATGAAGTGGAACATGGCGTAGCTGTAGGCCACGCCCTCCTTCTCGTTGTCCCACACCAGCTGGCCTCTCTCTGCGGTTTCGGTGGAGGGACTGGTTTCCGCATTAGAGGTATCCATACCACCCTAAAAAGTAAGATCAGGAAAGTGGAGAATTCGGCCTGTAGGGGTTGGCGTAGAAGCTGGTTCAGTTAAGAATGACGATGAACTTCATAAGGGAGGCGTGTTTAAGTGTACTACAACGAACCTACAAGGTTAACGCAATGTGTTCAGAAAGCGCAAGTAATGAAGCAGAACCTGTGCGGCACGAGTGACGCAAAAGACCAACTCCAATATCAAAGAGGTTGGAACGCATTCAACAGAATTAAAATTTCATGTGTAATTAGTGAATTCTTGGAATAAAAACGCAACATACACGATAGATAGTGATTGTAATATTTGGGGAATGCAGAGTGGACAACACAATATGAAATTATGATGTGAACAAATTAGTCAACCGTGTGAAACTTCACACTCACACCATACAAGTTAAGTACAATTCAGAATTGGTGCAAAGCACACAGTGAGTTGCTTGACTAATGACCAACCGCCAAATCGGCACAAGTGTTCACTCGAGTGCTGCTGCGGCTATGGTGACAAACCTGTCTGGACTCGCACACGCTAGCTTCTGCGCTTTTGAGAGAACAAACCGAGACAGGATCCATTGAAAATAGCAGAACACAATTCGGTTATCACAGGCGTTACAAATTGCCTAGAGAGGGGGAGCTCTATTAATGCTAAAATCGACCACCACTAACTTCCAATCTCCGAAGTTAGAGAAATCAACACAGACAGGAATCCAAAGCATTTTAAAGCACAGAACAAAACTGTCATCATACGGTGAACAGCGAGAAAAGACGCCAGCCTCACATTGCCAAATACAACTCAGGCCACACTTGTGTAGTTGGAATCAGAAGCAACCAAGGTAGTGATTGACTTGGTCGAGACAATTGGTGAGATGTGCAATAGGAAAAAAACTACGTATAGAAGGCGTTAGTTCACAAAATTCTAACGATGGAAACAGAGGGGTTAGATTCTGCCACTTACCAAGAAGGTGGGCTGGAATCACACAAAACACAAACAAAATAGCAACAAATTATCGGAACACGGCAACTGAACTCATCAAGGTTTCTGCGAATGGGCTGGTTTATCGCAGTTCAGTGATATGTGGTAACTAGAAATAACGTCGACAAAAAAGTAGTGTCAACAAGAGTACTTTTTAACGGAAACTTACTCGCTGTTGTTCCTAAAGATGGGAGGATAATCTCATAGGATTACAACGAAGTACTGAGACACACAGTTAGAAACGTCGACGCCTTTGCGCACAAAGGGATTTGACGTAATTTAGCAAGGTTGTTTGATTGCAAACGACCGGGACACACGTTTGATAGAATATACCACTTGCTAAGTCACGGGGGACTGGCGCAATGACCACAGGACGATGCACGAGACGCGAAAATAGACGTGCGAATTAGCGGTGATACTCCTTATAACGCAATAATGGTAATAGTATTCACGACGAAGAGGTTAGCATCATCCAATAAAAATAACGAGTAAAGCCCAGGCTGTTTGACGACACAGGAGGCATTCCCTATGACCACTAAATTGTACTTAATCAGCGAATTCAGAGGAGTTCCACAAATGAGCACGAGTGTTTTTTTAAGCTAGCGAAGCGGTGGCTGAAAAATTAATTGGAAATAAACGGCAACGACTTGGGCATGGACAAAAAGACGTTGGGACTGACAAAAGTCAGATTGTGGTGATTGGAGGGGTAGTGATGCGGTCATGTTACAAACTTGGACACGGCATAATATACGCCAACTTGGGTTTCGGTAAAGCTGGAGTGAATGAGTTAGAGGATGGAGGACGCGATAAAAAGGGAACAAATTGGAGTCCATGTTGTGTAGGCAATTTCAATTTAGTTTATTTAGGACTACACGACGGGTCAGGTAACGAAACCCCACAGTTTTTCGTATTAGTAATAAAACGCGAAAGGCAGAGTCATGCAACATCATTGCATCATGGCAGTCATGACCGATTGAAGTTAGGCCGGATCGCAATGCAGTGCCAGGGTGGCATTATCTAGAGATGAACTAAAACACACTAATCGGCAAGTGTCCAGCATAATGTTTACGCATTCGTAAGACAGTCGGCGTTAATTACGTAACAACTGTCACGGCGAAACGCGACAGTTTTGCAATCGAATAAGCGATCGCGCCTCTGGTTGGGATAAATCTCAACCCAAAAGGAATACAAAACTCCGGATAAAAGGCCTACCCAACGTGCATTCAAGTAAAACACTGGCACGAATCGCATATCGTTGACTGAGTTCCTTCTGACAATGTCAACAGAAAACGAGCAGTCCAGTAAAATATCCAATATCGATGGCAATAGGAAGCAGAAAAACGCACATTGAGTAGCAAGGCTGCATTACGTTTGCCTTTAGCAAATCACAGTTCCGAGTTTCATTTTGAGGTAATGTAGTGGTCAGTCTAGAAAAGCTTATTTTATCCTACTAAGTAGCTGTTGTGGGCCCCAGCATGTGGTCATGAACCACGCCGGGGCCACGGAATTAACTCTGGCCCGATTACGCTTCCCTGATACTCGCGATGATGAAAAAGACCACCAGAGAGGACGTGGACACAACCGTTTACTTCAGAGCACAACCTCGTTGGTGTCGTTGTGTCGTGTGTGGGGTTTGCGCGTGTTTATACCTCGAATGTGTGAGTCATACATGCGCTAACATCGAGACCTATGTGTGGGGATACTCCAAGATAAATATTCGGGCTAATGAAGGGGGAGTTGAGGATTCACGCGGCTGGCGACATGCTGTGAAAAGGGAAACCTGTGTAGGAGGGGGAGCGACTGGATTAAGGGGTTGAATAAACACGATTCACGACATAGCATTAAAGTTTAAGTGCATCAATAAGTGTCCATTACAGAAATACGAATGATTAAAAAAACGTGACAGTCGGAGAGATCAAAATCTCGAAACGGTTCGCCACATGCCCCCTGCCATGTTACGAAGGTACTTATTTGAAGGTACATTCACCATCACTATAACATTTTACGTTAGGCAAAATATGGGAATTAATTTTTTCAATTAGCGGGCTGTTAACACTAAGAGAATGAGGAGCAATGCAATCATAATGACAAACGGTTAAACGTACGGACATGGTCAGACGGCCGACAGTGTTATGTGAGCTGGTGCGGATGCTTGCATACACAACGGAGATCATGAGTATGACAAGTGAGACTGCGGTCTGCCAGCCGAAGTTAAGGTCGGCAGTCACCATGACAACCTCCTTACCGTCGACGATGATGGTCTTGTTGGTGGTGCGCAGTGTTGGGTTACATGCAACCTCCGGAACGTTAACTAGTGCAGACCACGTGAGGAACATGATGTAGGCTGAAATGACTGATGACTAAATAGAGGACAATAAAAATGCGCTCTAGACAGAATGCTTAAGTGAAGGAATTAGTTTTCACAATGAACAATAATGTCAAGAACCTGGTAGATATGTTAAAACCAAGCAGAACAATCCAGAGGTAGAATTGGGGATTCACAGCTCTTTAAAGAGCATGGCACTGAATTCTGTCTGAAGGGGAATGACATTAGGGCGGAGACGGGGAGGAAGAGGGACAAATAAACGTGAAATCCGAAAAACCGCGCGTTATTGAGCTATGGATGACATATTTTAATCCCTTGGAGCAAGATATTTAAGACACACGAAAAGGGTAGGTCGTAAGCAAGTCGAAAGAAATGCTTAGCAGTCGTAAATACAAACCATATGAAAGGGGTACTTGGGGAAAAGACACAAGCTGTATTAAAAATGCTTCTAAGATAGTGACAAAACACCAATGCCGGTTGTGGCGGAAAGAGAGCAATCTATCAGAAAAAAAATTTGACGATGGAAAATATGCGAAAAGACATCATGAAGCTGCATTTGCCCACTTGAAACCACAATACTCAAAAGCTTTATAACAAATGCAAGATTAAGCATTGGTTTCGACGTAAGAATGCTACGAAGGTAAAATGGCGTCACTGCTGGCTCAAAATAACCAATTCAAGTACCTATAATGTCGGTACAGCTTCAGCAAGAAAAATGATATTGGTAGGAAACATAAATTAGGCGAAAACTTCCTCGAATTTGTAAAACGAAGCTAAACAAAAACCAAAAGAGTTAAGAAATTAGCGTACCTGGAGCAGACCTGAGGACGGCAATTTGTCTTGGACAACTGGCAAGATAGAAATGACACTTAATATAACACAAAGAATCAAATTAATGCTGACAAGCATTTTTCCAAGGCGACAGCACGGTGCCGAGGCAAAATAAATGTAGAAAAGGACAACGGCTGCAATACTTAGGGAGTAGAAGAACACTGTGGAAGATATGAGAGCGCAGACATAAGAACGATTTCCCGATTCATTGTAGGCTCCAACCCACTTCTCATTCCACGTGTGAGCAAAGTCAACAAGTAACACCAGCTGGAGCAATATGTAGAGACAAGCACCGATCATTCCAAATATCATCCAAACCGAGAGAAATAGAGGGTCGTGTATGAAGAACGCCCCAACCATTATGCCAATTATGGCTAAGATTTTGAAAAACCAAAATCCATTGTGTATTGCCGATCGAAAGTCACGTGAGGACCTTACTTCGATCATAATTAATGAAAAAACAAAGAAGAAAAGCGATAACGCAAAACACATTCGATAAACCGCACCATAACCAGTTATTAGCTGGCATATATTATTTGGTTCGCCTGGGCACAATGATGGAATCCGTTTCAAAAGTTTTCCAACCTCTGGACTCAAAGCAACGCTTGACAAAATAATGACTGAGAGTAATAAGAGACCATAGACCAATCTGGTTGATGTTGAACTTTTGCAGGATGGCAAACATTTGCAGCACAAACTTGCCGCCGCGTCACAAAAACAACAGGCTACACAGGAAAGTAGACAACCCATTTCCACAGCACAAGAAGCCTCAAGCAACCGCAAAGGCCGCCACGGATGACCGCCGAAGTAGACATTATTTTCAATCAACTAGCTTATTCAAACAAAAATAAAATATAATTCAATAACTAAGAGGATTTAGTATTTCACAAACCTAATTTTTAAAAGTCTTTCGCAGATTTTAATTTGCGTAAAAAAGTGTTGTGGCACTAGCAAGAATCAAATTATTCATTTTGGCGCGTAAATTGTGATGCAATTAGTTCTGTGCATTTATTTAAACTAGAATTTACACAGAAGAATCACGCTCCTTTAGACGTACAAAATTGTACAGTTAAAAGTCTACTCACATATTTGTGACGAAGGCTTTAATTTTATTTTCAAGTGCCTACATTTCATGCCTATACATATTAGCATAAGCCCATTTCGAACAAGTTTGCGTAAGGAATTGATTTTTTATTCACCTGTAGGCGTCGTAAGTGATTCTGTCATGATAGCCAAATCGATCGCCCCACCATTCCTCGAAATCGCCTGTACAACCCATTCAGCTCGACAAGCATTCATCATATTACAGTCCTATGTAGGTTGTTGTCATATTTTAAGATTTTAGGATGCAGAATATTAACACTGCGTACATTAGGATGCAGAATCATAATAGTCGGGCGGACTATTATCTCTTGACTGTACTATCTTTTTAGATCTTATTAGGATGCATGCAAAAATCTAAATTTAACACCTACGAGTTTTACACGGTCGCAGTCTGCTAATTTTTAAAAAAATACATGTTGAACTACTGTAACTCAATTTAGAACGTGTATATGAATACATCCATTTATTGAGTCTCATAAGGGGTCATATTGCGCCATTTTCTTATTCAGCGAAACTAAATCACAAAGTAACATGCGTACCTTCAGAATATGCAGATGTTTTACGAAAAACCTAACCAATAGCTAATGCTTGTTTAGAGTTCTATAAAAGCAATTATGCTCTTGTTACATAAAATGTTTCAATAAAAAGTTGGAGGATCCCTAGTAACAGATTTTTCAAGAAGCTGATAAAGGGCATTTATATACAGTTTAACGAATGTGTGATGTCCGGGAATACATTAATGGCTCAAAACACAAAAATTAACTTATAATCACCTCAAGAACTAATAGGAAACTAACAATTTTGGGAACTGTAGTAATTACCTGATACAACAAATCATTTCAATCATACTCTTAACAATATTGTTTAGTTCATCAGAAATAATTTAGAATTTTCGTACTCGGCCATCATTAATGAGAAAGAGTTTTCCATTTGCAAATTATTGATAAATAACCTGGTTATACATCTTACTTTTGCAATTCAAATGGCCTGCTGGCAACGAATTCAATACACTAAAGTGACAATGTCATTGATTTTAAATAAAAAAATACATAAATTTTTTTAATTTGACATTCGAACATTTCGCGTCAGGGGCACTGTGTTCAAATTTCAGGTTGTAATACTAAAGATCATTCGAAAATAATTCACTACGTCTTAGGAACTAAATTGTTTGGTGCATGATTTACTTATACATAGTTCCGGATTGCACGTTATTACTTAAAATGATGGCTTTATTCCTTTTTAATGCAAATTACTGTGCATTCTAGAAAACTTAATGAACATTTTCGCTTCATTAATGCAATAACGAAGATAAACAGAGATTTAACCCATGTAAACATTACTTCAAAAATAGCCTAAATGGCAACGAAATCGGATTCAGTAAAGCAACTTATTTCATTAAGGGGTATGTTCTTTACTTTCCGTTCGCTTAAATGAAATTCTAGCTAGTTGTAAGAAACTGTAGCTTTTACTTGCTTTTCCGTTTTTGATTATGCACATTTGTGCATTTTTATTTTAAACATGGTAGGATCATCAATAAACTTTGGGTATTAAAGTAATGGGTACGTTTGTCCAATTTGTTCGAAAAACTTGTTGAAAACTCAAAGAAGTGAAAGAAGTAACTTGAACGTGTGGGTTTTTGAAACGTCAGATTTTGTCAATAATCTTGGACTTTATAAATCGGACTAAATTTGGGGCACGTCAGAACTGTATCCAGATAACAAATCGCTATTTGTTTCTTAGTTCTGCTTACAAATAGTGATCCGAAGCATGCATCACACGGCAATTCGCTGCTTGTGATATTTGTCATCGAAAATAGGCATTATTGAGGTACACACGTATGTAAATGACTTTAGGTATTAGTCGTGTAACAAGTCGATTGTATCACGTGAAAATATGCAGACCCGCCATCTTACGGTGGTTCAGTAATCTAAGAACCAAAGGCTAATTAAATGCATCGTTTATTCGCTGAATTAAATTTTGGAAGTGAATTTTCCGTGTGAGTTTGTGGTAACACCCTCAAATACCTTGTAGTTGACAGAGTGCAAACGTTTCCAGGGGAGCACAGGGTGATGTCGAGGTCCCATGCATGCTAGCGTTTCTCATGATCGATGAGCAGTACCTGTC